TCACAGACACAGACATCCCTTAGGACATTAAAAGATTGTTGGTAGTGTAAGAAACATGTGCCTCATCCTGTATAAAATTTGGTCGTTGTATCTTCATTAGTTATTGTGTAATCCTACGTCATTAAACATGTTATGAACCATCGATTATTCTGTTATGCGTTTCTTTTTTTGGCCAGTGTAGTTTGTGTTCGGCATATCAACGGTATCTGTTTGAGTAAAATTAACGAAAGACTTAAAACTAACGCTAATGTCAATCAAACAATTGGATCAGGAAAGCGATCAGACAACCAATCAAAATTTGGATTAAAATCATAAATATCGCCTAATTGAGAAATGCAAAAATATTTATTATGACAATAAATTTGAATATGTTCTGTGGAAACCAGCGTCGGGGTAGCCAAGTGGTTTAAGCGTCCTCGTCACGAAAAATTCTAGCTTACGATTCCCATCATGGGTATATACGTGAAATCAATAACGTGTCCTCCGCGGTGTAAAACGATAATCATTCACTCACTTAGATAAAGGAGGAGTGGGAAGTTTCCTCGTCATCATATCATCAGGCGTTCGTCGCCATCATCATGAAGGTCTGTGATAGGGCTGAGTGGACTATTAAAGCATTGACTCGTCACACCGAAGATCGGGTTTGAGTCTGACAAAGGTACGATGTGTAAAGTTCATATCATGTGTCCCCTGCCGTGACAGCACTTGTTGTGAGACCCGCCGTGATATTGCTGGAATATTGCTAAAAGCGGCGTAAAACCATACTCACTCACTCACTTGTTGCGAGACACATGAGTTCCTTGAACCTTCGTTTGCCCATCCTCGTATCTCAAAGCATTCAAAGTATTTGCTTTTAGATTTGACCAAGGTTGGTAATCTATCAGGAAAGGTCATTATGTTGTTGGGCTGTATATGCGACGTGGTATCAGTGATTGTAGAGTGACCCTGCTGCATGTAGGTCACGTCTCTCTGATCCCCACAGTTCACGCGAACACCATGTGCACAGTCAGTGTTTGAGTATGTGAGTGAGTGGATATATCAATGAGTGAGTATATGTGTGAGTGAGTCAATGCGTGAGGGAGTGTCAGCTAAAGTTTAACACATGATGACGCTGAGTGTTCATGAATACGGCCGGGGCAAATCGGGATGAATCAGATCGCCTTACTGGGCAACCCCAAGACAAATTTCGAAAGGAACTCAAAATCATTCCAATTTAAACATCACCGCTGAACGCCGCATTCGAACTATCAACCGTTTTGGTATTTTTGTTTTATGAGAAACCATGTAAATAAAATCGCAATTTGGTTCTTATCCTCCAATTAGTTACATGGGTATATGACCGTTTTCCGTCGCAAAACATATCAGCTCTACGTTTTAGGAAAGATATGTATATAGAGAAAAATATATCCGTCCGGGATAGAGACCCGCAGAGATGACAACAATCAGACACATGTCCACGGAAGGCGTCAACAGGTGTGCACTTCTCATGGTTTGACAAATCAAGTCAGGTTTGGGAATGTCTGAAATCCCAGGGAAATAAGTTTTTAGCCGACATCGTACGTTTGGACTGTTTATGTGCGTGGACGATGTGTGTTTCTGGCCATCATGGTTACCATGACATGCTGAAACTGGAATATTGTTGCTGTGTAGAGCTCCGTATCTAATATAAGGACAGATGCCTGGTTTGAAGATTGACTTGGTTGGCATGATCAACACCTATCGCAGTTGACTTCTGACACTAAATTCCGTTACTAGGCAACCGTAATGATTTGAGATAAGAGATAAAGGCGTGTTCACTCTAGATCTGTTCTCAGCGTTCAGTATGTCCGATTATCCACGAACCAGAGTGACAGTGCAGGCACACTGAACACTTGTTGTCAAGAAAAACCAGGGAACTTCTGATAAGTGTTGGAATTAGTGGCCTGTCAGGTTGTGAGTTGTGATCAATCTTGCAAACAGCATATATAAATAACGTGATGATGTTTGCTAGTAAATAGTTGTTTTTGTTCACAGAAACAAAACAAATTCAGCTTGAGTTGTGCGATGTGGAACGTTTGACCGAGCGATCGTGTGTTGAGTGAGTGAGTGAGTGAGTGAGTTGGGTTTAACGCTGCTTTTAACAGTATTCCAGTTATATCGCGGCGTGTCAGCTTAATGTGGGAGGAAAGCCCGAAGTGATGCAGGTCTCGGACGTTTACCAATTCGGTAAAACCAACGAGCACGGGTATGGTGCTGACAAACCTAGAAGCATAATCGGGGCGAACCCACAATCATAGGTTTCTGGCGTGCCCAAGGGAAGCAACTCTGCAGAGCGAATTGCAGCGCCTTAGACGACTGGATCGTGTGTTGAGGTTTCTAGAGGTTGTATATATAAGAGAAGAGATAAGCATTACGTGCGTGCATATTTTCGAGTGATAATCAGCATACGCTTCCCAAAAATGTCGTTATAGACACTGTTCCCCAACCCCTGCCACCCTCATAACCCCACCCGCCAAACTTCTGATAAAGTACAGATTGTAGTACTTACTTGGGTTCCGTCCCATCCGGGATTCGAACCCACGCAGCCAGAGTGAGGCACCTAATCGCCTGCACACAAAGTGAGCGATCGGTACCACTCAGACACCGAGGTGTCCATAAAATGAAAGTCCGACAACTTTGTGTACCCCTCTAGTTCGCGATCTAGGCTACCAGCTGTCGGACTTTCATTTTTGTGGAAGCCTCGGTGCCCGAGTGGTTCTGATCGCTGACTTTGTGTGCTGGCAATTTGGTGCCTCACTCTGGCAGAGTGAGTTCGAATCCTGGATGGGAGGCAACCCTAATATGATCGTAGGTTCGATACTTAAATGCGCCCCGTTAATACTTCTCGCTGTGTCAGTGTCATGCTTGTCGTAAGGACTAAGACTTGCTTCTCTTCGGGTCTTCCAATTTCAAGCCAACTCATTGTGATATAACTGAAAAACGGCTCAACGAGGCGTTAAACCCAACAGGCACACCCATGCACATTAACATGGAAAGGTTGGGCCTCTGTGTGTTCAAATCATGGGGACTGTAGAGTCCCTAGAGTCTAGATAGGGATCACTAAGCGCAGTGAGGTAACCTTTGGTGAGACCGATCCCAAAAGTAGATAAGACTTTCTGATGATTATAGTTCTCTGCATTTGGGTGCGTACGTAGTCCAGCATTAGACAGATAAACAAATAGATACATTAGATTTACAAATACCTACATTTTGAGTTACTCAGATGACACCGGGTATAGCGACAAAGTAAATGTGGTTTAACGTCGCGCTCAAGACTATTTTTCATATGTAGCAAATAGCATGCACCTGTGTGTGGCTGCTTGTTCTTGTTCGGACTAATGCCAGTTTTATTGTGTGAGATACCACCGCAGTTAACATGGAAACCCAACTCTGACACACTTAAACACACTGCAAAGTACTATATTCTAGGTCGGTACGAAGTGTGCATACTGTATCTGAGTGGGGTGTCCATGCTAAACTGCGGCATGCTATCTAAAGCTCAAATGTTCATTATGACTCTGCACCCCAAGGAAAATCCCTTCCAACACTATAGTTTAGTAAATATAACCAACAAAATAAAAATCTCTTATATTTCTAGTTCAGGTGGTTAAATCAGTGGAAGGGTACTGGCTCTTTAACCATTATTGAATTATCAGGTCATCGATATACCTGAAGCTTAAATAAAAGAGGTCAAACCATTCGGCTCAGCAAGAAGGGTTGCGCTGGGTGGGGTGGGGTGGCAAGATTGGTGCCCCTGGGGGTGCCTACTTCTTGTCTTATCCCCCAGGCTCGCACAGATGTGATCAATGGGGGAATTCGAGGATTTCACATACTAAGTATTCTTTTCTCAGTAACCTTCAGATGGTATTTGCTTTCATCTTTGACCTATTGTCCCGATTCTCCGACGATAGAGATGTAATTATATCTATAGTCACCACACATGCCTCAAGCTTTTCCTCAAGTTTGTTGTGTGGGATAGTGGTTTACACAGTTGAATGTTTCTTGCACAAAAAGGAACTTGGTTTCTTCTCTGAGATTGCAAATATTGAAGTAAATCATATCTAGAACATTCAAACCTTTCCTCGACTCATCGTTCATGGACGCATCATCATGATTCATCATACTTTGAATTCTTCTTATTTTGCTCAATCTGGTTCTACAAGCGCTCATATGGCAAAACATTGTGTTCCTGTGCTAACATTTTAGTAGGTATTAGTGGTATTCCATACATTTATTATAATATGATCAATGTCTCATGTAGACATTTCCAAAATGTTCGTGGAAGATAGATGAAAATAAGCATGTTTAACACTTTACAATGTGTATTAATGACCAGCCTTGGCAGTAACTATTCTCAGAAAGTTCTCAACAAAATGCACTCTACCTTCTACATAATGACATACATGCCCCGTTAAGGAACGTAAAATGTGATAATCTGAATATATTATTATAGATCCTTATCAATAAGATGAAACTGATTTTCCTCATGTACGCTTCTTTTTGATACTTATTTTGCATTTCCTTATTCTATTATTCCGATACCCTTGCGTTTGGTTCATGCAATCGTTCAAGAATTGGGTTCAAGAAATTAGCTAAAAAGTTGGTCTAAGAATTGGTTCAAAACTTGGTTCAAGAATTTGGTTTAGATTGTTCTCACTTTTGATAATATAATGAACACTGGATAAGAAATTTTGACAAGTCTCGATGACAAAATTACATTACCTCTTAAAGTCAACTCGTATGTTATAATCACCTCTTTCAAATCAGCAATTACTTCAATAGAGTGGGGATCTCAGTGGGTCACCCTTCCAAGAGGATGGTCACCAGTCACACTTACGTCAGATTACACTGACCGACATATCCAGATAACACTTACAGCGGATGTCCTAATTTGCCCTACCATATGCCATATTTACATCCAAGTATGGCCGACCACGTGACAGCATGAAAAAGTTTAAAAAGACAAGAACCAAGCCTTTGACCTTTGTCTTACCACCCAAACCAAAGGTGAGAAATGTGCCCTTTGTATTTTTTTACTCTGAATTTAATGGTAAGGTTATCTATAGATGTACTGCCTGACATTGTTGTTCCAACTTTCCTATACAATACATGTTAACAGTTGGATGTCAGTTGTTACTTTAGTGATACAAAATAGTTAGTGAGTAAGTGAATTTGATTTTTACTTTTTGGTTTTTGAATGCTGAAGTATTACACTTACAGGTAAAACCTCGAGGACGGGTATGGTTATTATTATTATTATTATTATTATTATTAATCATAATCAGGAGAATCACCAACGCTTGAGGGACACAAATCTGTACAGCGAATTACGTTTTTATGAAACTGGACCACCTGTGCCACCACGTTATAAAGGATTACAAAAAATCCCCAACATTGATGTCGTCATCCAGCAACTCATCTTTTGCAATCGCCAAACAAGCACTTGTAGTAATAGATGAAGCTCAAATTTGCTTAACGAGTAAAAAAATGAAAAGGTTCAAAATCAAATGTATTTTTGTTTGACGCCACAATATGGGTTATAGTTACTTACGATCTATTCATCTGAAAAAAAAAGAGAAAAGAAACCAAACCAGCTTTAGAACATTTCGAATGTACATAATCAAAGCCTGGGCTTGGCTGGGCTGGGTAAACCACTCGTTGATAGCACGCAATCAACAGGCCCTCATTTTGTCAGATCTTGTTATTAGCGTCACGGACAGAGCACCCCAAGGCCCTGGTGTCCACACTCATACTCTCATTAACTTATTTGTATGTATAGCAAAAGTATGAATGGAGTCAAAATAATAAAATAATAAAACATGTGGACCATTAATTTTGTATGATATACTATCTGTGTTTGGCAGTGAACATGACGTGCTCCATTCCCAGATCTCTATTTTAATCATGTCAGCTTAACAACTACTATTGGTCCAAATTCAATAATATGGATGTTTGTCCACGTGCATTACGAAGATTATATTAAGTGAGGAAAATGATGAGACTGTCATTGCAATAATTACTGAACATGTTTACCAATATGAAGAGTAAACTTCCTTGGATGTTGTCTTCCAACTTAAAGCCACGTCTGAAGCTCACATTTGTGTACTTTACATTCCAGCAACATGAAGGTCCTTTTCATTCTATCCGCTGTTCTTCTGGCCACGGCCCAGGCCAACGTGTTCAGTAATATCGGCAGCTCCCTGACCAACGTCTTCAAGACCCTTGGTGGGGCCCTCATGCACCAACTGGACACGACTGGAGTTGATCTTCTGAACGCTGGACTTACCGCAGGGAAGACTCTTATATCTCAAGGAGTTCAAGGCAAGTATACTTCAAAACAAATCATAATTATTTACATTGAAGGCTGTTGATTATGTCCATACTGTCGCTTCTCGTTTTGTCGGCAGTGAGGTAAATATTTTTTGGAACATAATAAATATTGACACTTTAGTCCATAAAGGCTTCTTTGCGTTACAGTTGAACCTCATAATACCTGTATTCAGTATAAAGTAGTGTTTTATTTTAGTGCTTGTCCCATCAGATCATACATGTAGGGTTGACGGAAAATATGAAAAAATGGTTGTAATTATTAATCATAATCATTCTAAACCACCCTGGAATAAGCCCTCCCGACTAACTCACTGACTCACTATTATTGTGTCCATTGGAATCCACCGTGCATGGTTTATATGGTCAAGTTAACCGCACTGACTATTTGACTACACTGTGGTACGGTCGTCAGTGGCTAAGGGCTTTGGAGAATGAGAAGGTTTGAAGGTGTGTGTTCAATTCTTGATGAGACATTGTCATATAAATATACAGACTTGTTATTCATCAGGGAAACCAAACGTCAACCAGGTAGTAAACAGCAAAATTTGAAAGATATGAAAACTAGCTCCTTTTAGTATATCTATCACTTCCTTGCTCCTTGGTTTCACGAAGGTTGTAAACGTTTTCAACGTGTAACAATTTCAACTTTCCTCCATGTTTAGACGACTTACCTAACCATGAAAGTAGAGCCGTCCTTGCTTCATTTTTGCTTCATTTCCTACCTATTGCTTCAGCTTTAGCTCTGAACACTGCGAATGCCCTGGCGAATAAGGATGGCACTTCCACCAGAGACCTCCAGTATGTATAGATACATGTCAATTAGATGTCATCTAACAAAACCGTATGAATACATGACCAAGACCAACTGTTGTTTTGCATAATCACAGTCGTGCCCCTTAATCTGCCTGTAATGAATAAACATAATACACAAAACTAGCTGAACATTTTAAAACTGACAATTCAACCTAATTCATCCATTTTTGGCGAAATATTGACAGTTTTTGAAATCGTAAGAAACTCCATTTGCTGATTTAAATATCTCAGCAAATATTTCGCATGTCACATCTCTCAATGGGTGTTCTTTAATATGTGCATCTTGCACTGAAACTACTTTGGAAGGTGCCTCTCAATTAAAGTTAGGGGTAAAGTTCTTCTATACTGTTCAGGTCCCCCTCGCCCTATTCAGTTGTTCTATCTTCCCATAGGCTCCCCGCTGTACTCCAAAACGTGGAGTCCTCCCTCCACAACGTTGTTGACACTCTGATGGGCGAGATGAAGAACATGTTCGGCTTCCTGGTCAAGGGTCTGAAGGGCGTCATGGATAAACTGTCCAAGCTGGAGATCACCCCTGAGGAGGTCATCAGTGAGGTCGACAAGTTTGTCAGTGAGTAATGTGCAAGGTGTACTTTACATATTGAATTGTACAATGTATAGTCAAGCAAAAGCCAATTCATCATCATCGATCAAAACATAATGATTCCATTTGCTTGTATGCTTAGTAACACATTGGTGGCCAGGTGGTCACTCACCCTCAAGTCTATCATTTGTCATTTGTGTAACTGCAATGAAAATGCAGATATAATTCAAATGCGGTGAAACCAGTTTTAAAAGTCTGGACCCGCATCTATCAAAAGTCATTTCTTTTAGACGAATATGTTTGGAAACGTCATTCATCTATAATAGTTAAATGTGATCTCACTGTATGTATGTAAATTGCATGCATTTAAATTATCAGAGATCCTGTTACATTGAATAATGCCAAATACAAGTACAAAAAAATCATGCCTGACTATTCAAGTGAAATATCAATGAATTCATCTCCATGATATGAACTATCTTTCTCACAGACACCCACAACCTGGTTGCTGATAACTTCTTGAAGACCATCAAGGACAAGGCTGAGGAGGTCATCTCCAGCCTCATCAAGAGCAAGAGGAACGGCTTCACAGACTTCTTCTCAGGGATTGGACAGAGCCTGGCCAGCACCTTCCAGCCAATGGTTGATGGTGTCAAGTCGGTACGTGTCTCCTCAACCATTAGTTAAACTTTTAAGCCACAATGGCGTACAGGGCAGACGAACGTTGCGGATGAAGCGTGAGGTAGAGGAAGGCGTAAGGAGATGGTCAAATGAAAGGCCCAACGAAGATGGTAGCTGGATACTTATCTGGTCCCGTAATGTAACTGAAAACAATTACTGTAATGCTGTAAACTGGAACAGGCTTTTAGGTATATCAAGGACTAAATTCTACCTCCTGGCAAATGTGTGTCCTTCGCAAAATCAGTTAACAGACCGTAATTAAACGAATAAAGACGATATAGATATGAGTTATTATTGCAGACACTGGGGAAACGTTTGTTAGTTTCAACCGTGATATCATGTTCTTTGTAGCTTGCCACTTCTGCTGGAACTGCTATCAAGACCGGAGCCAGCAACCTCCTCCAAGCTGCCAAAGACTCCGTCACCCAGCTGGGACAGAAGCTCCAGCCCCACCTCCAGGCCCTAGGCACCCAGCTCGGAACCGTCGTCATGCACGGAGCCAACGCACTCAGCGCCATGAAGGCAGCAGGCAGTGACATCATGCGTATGTGTCTTGTCTTTTTCGAAAGTCAGACTTAAAACAATCTGAAAATGAGTTGATATTTACACAACTCCAAAACAGATATTAACAATGATGATTGTCTCTTTCTGTAACACAGTAGCAGTAACGACCCTGTAGTTATTTGTTCATCGATACCAGGATATTGCATGTTATGATAATAGCTGGTTTGATCCGTTGACAGAACAAACCCTCTCCAACATGAAGGAGCCTCTCAACAACATGGCCAACACCGTCGCCAATGCTGGACAGACCGTCGTAGGACACGTTGCTGGAGCTCTCTTGGGCACCAACACCGCAACTGATGCCCCCGCAACAAACTAGTTCTGCAATAAACTGTTTTGTAAACCTTGTTTCATAATTTACATTTCATTACATCTTGACAATCGGGAAAGGGTCATTTGTCACACAGGATCCTATTTTCCAAAGCCAGTTTAGTGTCATGGCAACCATAACGCTATGTTGAAGAATGGAAATTGCAACAGTAAAAGCCTTAAGATAACTTTCTAGAAACTGGACACAGGTCATCACAGAGGATTTGAGTGAATGATTAAGTGTGCTGTTTTTTTATGCCACTTTAAACGGTATTTCAAAATAATCCGTTAGGTACCAACCAAATCAAAATAATCTATTTCCAAAACACGTTCGAACAAATAGGTTTGTCCTCCAGCTTTACCCCAAACGAAATATCAATCTCTGAACACACTAGGTCAGCTGAAATAAAGTGTGCTGGGGGTAAAAATAAAATTGTCCTGTTCTTCCTTTCGCCTTTTATTGAAACACTTTCTTAACAAAATAGTCTGTCTCAAAGCAAAATCGACACAAACGCACACACACATACACCAGGATATAAATGGTCGTCCAATAACTTGCCTTCGTGCATGATGATCTAAATATAAACAGGCCTCCGATCATTGACACGCGAACAGGTCGTGTGACTCGAGTTGCATGTATACGAAGTGCTGTGAGATAAAGTGAATGTTGAAAACCCACAGTTGCTTTATTCAAGAAATAACATGTACAATAATCAGTATGAACAACGATCAATCTAATCGATACAAGAAGAGACGAGATCGATCAAGTCACATAGATGGCCACCAGATCTTCTTCAGCTGATAAATACTGGACACTCGGGAACTATCCTTCCAATCACTTCTTTCAGTGGCATTTCGAAGTTGGTGTGATGAAGAAAGACAAGTTCTATGGATGAACAACTTCTTTATTACAAATAGTGCGATGTTTCGGTGTAGAGCCTAACACCTTTATCAAGCAAGAAGTTGTTCATCCATAGAACTTGTCTTTCTCGATCCTTCGAATCGTTTTGGTTTGAAGCCAGGCTGATGGCAATACCAGGTTTAAATTAAACCTAGCACAGAGCCAGCCCTTCAAGGACAGTAACATTTTCACATTCTAAACTCGGAGTACTATGCATTATCTTCAGGACGGCGATATCTAATGCCACATTTCAGAACAAACAAATCTCCCAAATCCTCACATGTATTCGGCTTTTAAAAGGTCCTTTATGCTGCAATACTTTTTCATTTAATATTTCAACTTTTGTTGTTATCAATGTAGCTTAGGTGTGTATTATGTGTACCAATCTCTCAATATATGTTTTATATGCATTTTAACTTATATATCATTTACTTACGCACTATAACTTTAACGAATTCCGTTGTGAGTAAGTGTCATTGTCATGTGCTTGCATGGATGTAGTGTCACCAGAGGGTAGGGTCCAGTATTTTGGAGGGCAAAACACAGTCCAGTTTTGCCTATGTCTGTGTCCTATATCGCCTCTCAGTGTCCGTCCCAAGCATTTTCACCCAGAGAGAGCATCCAGAGAGAGAGAGAGAGAGAGAGGGGTCGGGGTGGCTCAAAGAAGTCATATAACTAAAGCATGTTGGCATTTCGTTACACAATAATTACAATTAATTTACAAAGTGTTGGCTGAGAAGCGTAAATCGTTTCCCGAACGTTTTGCTTCAAACTTTACATTCTTGGTGCACCCCAAACCGTATTTAACAAAATGGCATCACCGCTTGTATAATCATCAATGCATTGATAGTCTAAGTCATCAGATTACTTGTATATGTATGCTTGTCTCGTCTTCCAACAGTTTAAAAACAGAAGGAAATACTCGGAATTTACTCGGAGTTATTTTTTAAAAGTAATGGTCGCATGATAATAATAAAGGAATCGGGAACACATTTCAACCAGGAGTGAAGTATGTTAGATAATTACTCGCCCGTGAAGAGATCACCCGTTTAATAAACATACGGCTGTACACATTATGTAATACCAAGGCGCGTGCTTATGTTATATGGGAACACGTTTCACAAATAAATGATGGGCTTTTTCAATGACGTTGCGTGTGGAGAGCTTATGCACACTCGATGACCCCAGGAACCCTGTTGCTAGGCTGACGTCACATAACATTGTTTTGCCGGTGGATTTTGCAAGAAAATTCCACAAATTGCGTCATAGGGCATTGTGACGTGTTGTATATTTTGTGGTGCGGGGTCCCGTTGCGCACAGCAGTCGTGGCGCAACGACAGTCGTAAGTCTATGTCTACCAGAACTATTCACTCATTTCCTAAAATTGTTATTACACGGGAGCTCGTTTAGTATTCTATATAGATGTTATGACCGCCAACGATTTTGAAGGACGATACGGATAAGATGGGAAATTTTTATAGCGGACGCTGTTGGATCAGTTGTGCGTAATATATACGATTTGTCAAATATCCATTCACTCGACGAGGCACACTGCGTCTTAGTCTACCAATTGCGATTTTAGGGAGTCTGACCTACTCACCTTGCAGCGCCTTGCCGCGGTCGGCGGCCCATGGCGTTGACACGCATGTCTAGCCATCGTGTCCCAGACGTGTTCAATGGGGGGGGGGGGGGGGGGGGGGGGAGGTCTGGGTTCATTGCGGGCCATGGCATTCTATGGATGTTGTGGGCAATGATGATTCGTGCACGGGAAGCAGAGACGTTGCCGACCTGAAGGACAAAAGGTCGACCCGCACGCCTTGCAAATGGGATGAAAATGGGTGTCAGTGTGTTGTCCCCACAACAACTATCCAGTGACCGTTCCTTGCACAGTTGGTTTCACACAGTCATAGTCATACCACCCCACACCAAAACCGATCCAGCGCCACAACTGTCATGAGGAGTGAGTGAGTGAGTAGGGTTTAACGCCTTTTGTAACTGTATTCCAGTTATATCACGGCGTGTCAGCGTAATTTGGGAGGAAAGCCCGAAGTGATGTAGGTCTCAGACGTTTACCACTTCCGTCAAACCATGAACACGGGTAATGTGCTGACAAACCTAGAAGCATAATCGGGGCGAACCGCTATTCGCACCCACAATCATAGGTTTCTGACGTTCCCAAGGGACGCAACACTGCACAGCGAATCGCGGCGCCTTAGACGAGGCCACCCATGTCCCCTGTCATGAGGACTTTGGTTGACATTGGCTTGGCGTTCATTTCGACGTCAGCAGATACGGCCACGCCTATCAAGGAAGTGCATGTAGATTATTTCTGATCGTCTGACCCATAACCCCTGATGAAAGTTTGCAGCAATTTGATTCTCCGTTTGAGCTCGATTTCGCATAGTCTGATTTCGGATTAATCGATCCTGTACTCTTGTCGTTGACCTGGGACGCCCTGAAAGGGGTCGATTGTCAATGGTTTTGGTTTGTTGGTACCTGTTCCATCGTCTTCTAATTGCATACTCTAAAATAGACCCATGAAGAACCGCGTTAGAATTGGTCTTCAGCAACCCATGCTTGTCGTAAGAGGCGACTAACGAGATCGGGTGGTCAGGCTCGCAGACTTGGTGGATGCATGTCATCGTATCCCAAATGCGTGGATCGATGCTCATATCATTCACTGGGTTGTCTGGTCCACACTCGATTATTTACAGACCGCCGTGATATAGCTCGAATACTAAGTGCGGTGTTAAACAAGAAACAAAACGAAAACTGTAAAACATTCAAGATATTGGCCGCTGCACGTTGACTTCGACCAGTTTCCATCATTTCATTAACCCGTAGACAAGGTCAAAAACAGACAATGAATGAAATCAAATAAATCAAATCTGCAGGAAAAGCAGAATAAACAAAATTGACAAAGGTCACGGTCCGCAGAGATTAATCGATCATTTTTGAAAGTGTCAAAATCAGGAATGACACCCTTCGCACGTGGCTCTACTGCGTGTGAGGCACGTACAATCTATAGGATGCCTATAAGGGTTACATTTTACATATATAAACGTTAATACATAGGATGTCTGTTCACATTTATATTTCATGATCCCCTACTTTTTTTAAAGAGTATATTACCTTATGTGCACTGTTCATGGAATAACGATCCAGATACCAGATACTACCATTATGTTCCCGACTGAGTAGCCATATCACAGCATCGAGTGAGCTGTCTCTGAAATGAACTGTCTCTTACAACAGTAGCACCAGACACAAAAAACTAATTACCACTGTCACCTACCAGCGGTTTACAGCGTTCTGCCTACCAATTTATGCCTGGAAACAATACATACTGTTTTAACGAGTTTTAAACAAGCATATGTGTTCATAAGTATTTGATTAAAAATGACTGAGCAAGCAAATTTTACATGGACTCCACAAACCTGAATGAAAATGGGCTTTTTCACACTGACATAACAGATCGTGGAAGTACTGCCAGATCTCTCAATCTTGGATGGAAGTTTCCACAGACAATCTGATAATGCTTCCATATGGTCCGACTTAACATGACAAAACAGGTATATTGATGACATTAAGGATGCAATTTTGTAACATAAAAACTTGTCACTTAAAAAACTAATTGGCTGACGATTTTGATATCTTACAAACGTTCATTTCTATCGCTCTGATGGCCTACATAAAACATGTGTCAGTTTCATAAAGGTTGGGTTTTTTGTTTATTCATACCACGTGATCGAACTTATCTTTAAATGTTAAGAACCTCTGCAGAATTTTTTGTCTTCTCCTAACAAGCACCAAGGTAAGATCATGTCACATTTCATATGGGAAGCCCCCTATAACAAATAGACGCTGTGTATCCAGACACGGAAACTTCCAAGGGGTGAGAAGACATACTGGATGTTTAAATGTGAAATTACCTAAACATATGGTTTCATTTGAGTAATGTTTGCTAATTATCATAAAAGGTGCTAGGATCTATGAAAATGAATACTTCTGTAAGACCAATTATAATATGATATGTCTAAATTGCACGACACAGCTTACAACTGGACTGATAAATGTGAATGCAAATAAAAATGTCTTCTTATATTCTTTGTGTTGGATTTAACATAGTTTTGAACCTTAAAAATATACGGAACTGAATTTACCAAACATTTACGAACATTTGTAAACGTTTTATTTAAAATCATGTTATCTCGAGATTGAAAACTAGAACTGCACAACATATTTGACTTTGCTCAGTTTTCCCCAATTTGCTTAAATTTTCAAACAGCGAAAGTATGTCAGGCGCTAAAATAATCGAAAATGTTGAACATTAATTTCTTATTCCATCATGTCTGTGTTTGGCAGTGAACCTGGTGTGCTCCATTCTTAGTTCTCTGTTGTATTTGGGGCAACCTAACTACTGATCCAAATCATATAATATGGATGTTTGTCCACGTGCATTATGGCGAAACTAAATAAAGATGAGAAAGAATAAATCATGGGAGGTTGTCTTCTACGGGATACTGCAGTGAGAGTTCCCGAGAGTATTAACGCTCACGTGTGGTACATATTCCCACAAAACAGAATGTGTCCATGTCATTTATGTTTCGGGCATCAACTTCTAAAATGTCATAAACTTATTTCAGCAACATGAAGGTCCTGTTCATTCTGTCCGCTGTTCTTCTGGCCACGGCCCAGGCCAACTTCTTAACCACAATCGGTCAAAATCTGTCCAACGTCTTCAAGACCCTTGGTCAGAGCATCATGCACCAACTGGACACGACTGGAGTTGATCTGCTGAACGCTGGACTTACCGCAGGGAAGACTCTTATATCACAAGGAGTACAAGGCAAGTTTAGGTCAAAAACTAGTTTCTAGATTATTAATATTTGTGACCTTATTTTCCCTTTTCCTGTTTCTTCATTGGTACAGACGGAAGTAAGAATTTAATTAATTTTACTCAGTTTTGAGACTTTGTCTCGCTTTTCCCATGGTCCTCTGTATACCACATTCAACACTGAACACACTTATGTTTCACCAAGCACAGGGCATATATACGTATGTATAATGGTGTATACTCAATACTGAATGTATGAAACGGAATGCCAGTGCATAATCAGCCTCAATTATCCGATGGAACATAATTCTATTGGATGTATAACACAAAATAGCGGTTACAATTAAATGAATTGATAAACATTATGCATAGACGTCACATACTAATTATATAAGACGTCAACGAAAGAGAATAATCAGTCGCAAGTATCTGTAGTAAAAAAAACATCAAACTAGTGGTCAAATATGTATATGCATGGATCACTGAAAATCAGTAATGACACTTGTGTTTGGGAAAATGATAAGTATGCCCTGCTCTTCGGGCAGCAACCACCACTCTCATAATTTGCATACAAATGTGTTGCCTGATGCTTGAATGTTTACCACTGTGTTATGTTAAATCCTGATCCATGATATCATATGAACATGAAACATATAGAAATTGTAGAGAATCAATGTTGAGTCTTTTAAGCAGGAGAGAATACAATCAAAGATGTTACAGTCTCACTTAAACAATTCTTTATAGCTTTTGTCGACGTCGTTAATTTTGAATAATATCAGTTCCAGGAGCACGTTGCATAACCCCTAAAATCAACATCACTCTATCACATCACACCGTAGAGTAAAATAATAATTTGTTGTCTTGGAACTCTAAAGATGTACACGATCATGTCTCTTGAACAGCCAAACAGCTACATGCATGAGGTGTTGATTGATATTACCCCACCATACGTTTTATAACAATCAGGTAACAACTGTTGAAAGTCTTGCCACATATCATTTCAGCGCTCGCTCTGAACACCGCTAATGCCATCGGCTCTTCCGGAACAAGAGATATACAGTGAGTAAGTTAGGTGTAGGTTAGCAAAACACTACAATACTCATTGTAACCAATGCCATTCAAAAGCTATATATTTGGAAACAGATTCCACAGAGTGGTCAAACCACACATAACAATCAGACGCATTCAATACATTTTCCCAAAAGTAGCTTAGTTGCTGTTTTCCCAGGGGTAAGTTTCTGTAAAATGGAACTATGCGTTCTAAATATTGACTCATCACTAGTTTGGAATGCAAGTTTAATTCATGTTCCTTCAAGTTTGAGATTATTGCAGTGCATTTGAAGAACCTCGTGAATCTAAACTGTGAAGATTCAAGTATCGACACTGAGTTGTCCAGGTGACTTCCGTCTCATTCCACGGCCTTTGTTTCTGACAGGCTCCCCACCGTGCTCCAGAACATGGAGTCGTCCCTCCACAACGTTGTGGACACTCTGATGGGCGAGATGAAGAACATGTTCGGCTTCCTGGTCAAGGGTCTGCAGGGCGTCGTGGACAAACTGTCCACACTGGAGATCACCCCTGAGGAGGTCATCAGTGAGGTCGACAAGTTTGTCAGTGAGTATTGTACTTGATGACATATTTTTATACGGTACGAAGTTAAGTACATATGCCATCTTTGTCATCATGTGCATGTTGAATACTGATTGTTTGTGGTTCCAGATACAAATTATATAATTTGCATAAATTGCAAATAAAAGCAACAAACCATAAGAGATACCAACTATATCATAACCATGTTAATGAATCACTGTTAGATAGTGCCGATACCAAGTGTTCATGAAAAGGTGGGCATGTCCTGGTCCACAGGTGACACCCATCACAAACACAAACACATACAAAGACAAGTCAAGTGTTCACCTGAACAAACATGAACAAGTTACAAGTCAAAATAAGGAATTGCATCAGACATCATCAGACGTTACTAATGCATTAATTTTGAAAATGTCCTCCTCATGTCTCCGAATTTAAGAAATAAACAACGAGTTGTCTATTGTACAATAAACTATGCAGGGAGAATAAACCATGAGAGGCGCAACCCCGAGAGGTTTATTCGTCCTGCAGTGTTTTATTGTACGATGCACCCCGACCACGAGCCGCTTATTTCTAAAATGAGATATCAATGATACGTACAGCCTCGTTGAGGATGTTAGCAAAAAGTACATGCTTAAATTTACCCGTATTGAAATGATGTTCAATGCCTGAAAAAGAATCCAAACGCGGCAATGTCGGACAAGTCAATTTTAAGAACATGGCGGTTACATTCGGTCTTTCCCGCACATTCTCACAATTTCCTACTCGATTATCTGTACCGATCATCATATGTCTCCCACTTTTGGATTCGAACGTTCAGCCATTGAGCTTATCTACGTTGCCAAGCTACATCTATGGGGATCAACACACTAGACACTTCCCTCTCAAAGATAACGTCGTTCAATTTACGATATCAAGTTCCGAGCGCATGTTCTAATGACATCATAAAAGAACAATGTTTTATCTTCATTGTTCTTTGCGAATTATCGCGCAGTTATCTGATATAACACTTTTGGAATGGTTCATGGGTATTGGGTATTAGGTATGGTCACCTTGGCAGGGTTACACCATCAATACATAATGTATTATTGCGTCTCCAGACGCCCACAATCTGGTTGCTGATTCCTTCCTGAAGACCATCAAGGACAAGGCTGAGGAGGTCATCTCCAGCCTCATCAAGAGCAAGAGGAACGGCTTCACAGACTTCTTCGCTGGCATTGGACAGAGTCTGTCGAACACCTTCAAACCAATGGTTGATGGTGTCAAGACTGTACGTGTCTCATCAATCATATTTTAAAACTTGAAAACGACAATGGGGCACAAGGGTCAGATGAACCTAATTGGTAGGGGTAGGGGTGAGGGTAGGGGTAAGGGTGGAGGGTAGGGGTAAGGAGTGAGGGTAGGGGTAAGGGTGGAGGGTAGGGGAAAAAGGTGAGGGTAGGGGAAAGGGGCGAGGGTAGGGGTAAGGGTGGAGGGTAGGGGTAAGGGGTGAGGGTAGGGGTAAGGGTGGAGGGTAGGGGTAAAAGGTGAGGGTAGGGGAAAGGGGCGAGGGTAGGGGTAAGGGGTGAAGGTAATGGAAGGGAATGCATTAAACAAAAGCGACAAAACCCTTTCCATGTTCATAAGCAGAGTCGATTGTACGATTCCGACTATTTAACCATCAAACAGTGATGATACCAAGGGTACCCGATTAGCCAATCCTGCCCAATCGGTGGCAGAACATCCTAAATCCAGATACTTATATTCAAATAAATTGACGTGACATTGTGGCTGTGCTTATTCAATCTATTTCTTTGAGTCACTTATGGTTCACTGGTGATGTTACGTACGTTGCAGGCTTGCCGCTCCTGCTGGAACTGCTATCAAGAGCGGTCAATGAAGCAGCCATTGATGACAGATACATGATATATTATGTATTTGTTCCTTTCCCACAGTTGGCTACCGTGGCTGGATCTGCTATTAAGAACGGAGCAACCAACCTCCTCCAAAAGGCCAAGGACTCCGTCACTCAGCTGGGACAGAAGCTCCAGCCCCACATCGCAAACCTCGGCTCCCAGCTCGGCACCCTCGTCATGCACGGCAGCAACGCCTTGAATGCCATGAAGGCAGCTGGCGGTGACATCCTGCGTACGTACTTCAGACAGACAATATCTCACGTACCCCAAACCAGTGTAGCTAAATGTAGCAGTGTAACCCAGTGCAGCTTATGTGTTGGCGTGAATGAGATGAAAGAGGTTTTCTGAAAGAGATGTAGCAGAGTGTGTGTCGATTGTGCAACCGTAGGGGGATATTTTGAGTTGGTCAAATGAGCGCAGTTTCTTTGATTATTGCTTAAAACTGCACTCATCAATACCGTACTCTTCAACCAAAGACGGAATGGCATGTTCAACTTCAAATACCCGCTAAGATAGTACATTATTAAGTACGAGATGCATATCTGTTCTATGTTTTGAGAAATGAATCGGATATGAAAACATTGAACATCAATTCTTCCATATGGCTTAACATTCATCGCAGCAATATTGTATTCAAATTTCGTATTTGTTAATGAAAACGTGGCCTCCAATTGCTAACGTTTCACAGAGCAAACTTTCATCATTGCTGAATATCATGTATTACTTGGAATTCTATTGAAATGAACCTGTCAAGATCCGGGGTACAATAGGTCTTCAACAACCCATGCTTGCCGTAAACGGCGACTAGGCTTGTCGTGAGGGGACTAACGGGATCGGGTGGTCAGGCTCGCTGACTTGGTTGATGCATGTTATCGTATCCCAATTGCGTGGATCGATGCTCATGATCAATCACTGGATTGTCTGGTCCAGACTCGATTATATACAGACCGCCGTCATAGAACAGGAATATTGCTGAGTGTGGCGTTAAACAACTAACGCAACAAAAAAATCTATTTTTATAGTTAAAAAAAGAATATGGTCTTACCATTTTCGGATTGTTCATACACATTCGTTTAAATGAAATGTCATGATTTGGAAACTCATTGGTTCACTTCCACAGAGCAAACCCTCACCAACATGAAGGAGCCCCTTAACAACATCGGCCAGACCGTCGTAAATGCTGGACAAACCGTCGTCGGCCACGTCGCTGGGGCTCTCCTTGGCACCAACACCAACACCGAGACAACCCTTGCACCATGACCACATTATTAAGGAAATAAAGAAACGAACATCAATCACCCTTTCTATGTTTCAATGGAACAATTACTGTTTTGATGGTTCATATTTACATAAATATGAAATTCAATAAAAACTTGAGTAAATCAACCCATTCTAGGCGAGCACTTTTCTACTCACTCACTCACTCTTCAGGCTACACACGAAGAGGTTAATTAGATCTGAAAACGCTCGCATGTAAAAGGATTAATTTTCTTCATTGTATTTTTTTTTATCTGTACACCGCCTGAGAGTTTAATGTTATAATCTATCCATTATTTTTCATATATTATACTACTTTTTTAACTCATGTTTTTTGTGTCAATCTTCAAGAAGGTTATCCATGGTCACTTTTGTGTTCTAGATGTGTTGAGGAGAGATTAAGTTCGTCAGTAGAGTGCATTATCATTTAGGTGTTTCGATCATAATCTACAGGATTAAAAAGGCCAGGGGCGATAACAACTGCAAACGATACAGTGAAAGGCCTTTAAAGCTGACGGTATAGTCCAAAATACCTCTAAGCTCCTGATCACCAGGGGGCAGGGGTGGCCCAGTCGTCAGTCGTCTAAGGCGCCGCGATTCGCTGTGCAGAGTTGCGTCCCTTGGGCACGCCAGACACCTACGATTGTGGGTTCGAATCCCAGTTCGCCCCGATTATGTTTCTAGGTTTGTCAGCACCATACCCGTGCTCGTGGGTTTTACTGAAGTGGTAAACGTCTGAGACCTGCATCACTTCGGGCGTTCCTCCCACATTAAGCTGCACGCCGTAATATAACTGGAATACTGTTCAAAGCGGCGTTAAACCCAACTCACTCACTCACTCCTGATCACCAAAGAATGGTTATCTTGTTTTTGATTATTTTGAGTCGGCATTCACGCCTATTGGGGCCAGGAAAGCAGGGTTCAATACCATCATGTAACTTATATTTATGGTCTCAAATAGAATCATCCCGTCGTGTTAAAGACATTCAGGAAAAATATGTGTTTTCTTGTCGACGAGGTCAGCAAAATAGTATACGTTCGTATGTTTTTTCATATCGCGAATTCTCCAGAATCAAATTTGGAAGATGGCATACGTATACAAGGAGATACAGATCTCAATCAGTCACAAGTGTCAATCTGCATAAAGCGACCTTATCCCCAGGACAATCGTTTGGGAGTCCTTGCACTAAGATGTTTTTGTACAAGACCCCGTGAATCTGGGTTAGAATAGGACCAGCTTACTGTGCTGTTCGTTGACTGCGTACCCCAACAGCGTGGGTCCTTGCTCGCAATATCGATCACTGGGTTGTCTGGTCCAGACTGGATCATGTACAGGACGACGTCCTATGGCTGGAATAATGCCGAGTGCGGCGTTGATCAAACAGACAAACAAACAAATATAAAATCTGGAATATTCCTGATGGCGTCCTTAAACAACAAGCAAACAAAAATTATATAGGTTCCCTCTCCCAAATAGCTTGTTTTTTATGTAACGGCGCACTCAGCAATATTCCAGCTATATGAAGGCGGTATGTGTTTGACTAAGTATGGACCAAACAATCTAGTGATTGAAATCATGAGAATCGATAGCATTGGGATGCGATGACATGCTTCAACCATCAGCTGGTCTAACCACCCGATCCCGTTAGTCGCCCCTTACGACAAGCATGGGTTGCTGAAGACCAATTCCAACCCGGCTCGTCACGCGGTGCACGTATGGAAACGTAAGTGTCATGTCAACTTAACCGATGAGATCCTAGTGCCTAACGTGGAAAGACTTTGGTTGATATATTATATCATTATTTAATGTGGTATCTACTAACATAGTCCATTGGAAAATCCATCACCTGAATATTTTGTTGTACCGTTTACACATCCCGGGAATACTGTGCTAACAACAAGAGGACGTGTATACATTTGAACTGGCACTATACGTTTTTCATGACAGCATATGGCAGGGCACATTTGGATGTAAGCTTATGTCAATAAAACGGTGCAGATAATATTCAAGTCCATATGACTCTTTCAGATGAGATCCTCTTAAAAATTCACTGATAAGGTCACGTGATTTCAAACTTTAAAAGAACAGTGACCAATCCTTCTTTCAGTTCTACTTTGCAGGGAGCCACCAGGTAGGTCAGCTAAATTGTCTGCAATGATGGAACCCTCTTAAGGGAAACTTTCGAACAGATGCTTCCATCAATGTCACTTCCACTTTTGTAAACGGCATAAGGATTAAAGAAGAGTTGCTGAGAATCAGCCGTATGGTGGTGTCGAATTTCGGAATAACACGAACGTTTCGATAGTGCGATGAAAGGTTCAGCGCATGGGAAACGAATTACGACGTTATAGAGAGCTAAGGAAATGGGTACCGTTGACAAACAAATATAAACTTATTAAGAATATAACCAGTAACTTAAGTTGACTTCCGCACAACTGTATCACCTCTTTGGGAGAAATTTTCGAAAGAGAGTTGGAGAACGTAAAGGATCTTGAAAGTTTCTACCGAGCTTACAAGAAAGTGACATTAAGTAAATACAAGGTAGTCATGGTATAAGGATAGTAACGCCACAACTACTGAAGAAGACAAAAGCAAGAGATTGGACTGATCTTGGACATTTAAAAACAATAGGAATAATTAAGAGTAAGTGAGTGCATATTGTTTGACGCCGCAGTCAGTACTATTCCAGCTGCATCATGGCTGCATGTAAATACATCGAATCTGAAAACACCAGCAATGGCCCTTGTCCTGAGAGGGTGTTGAAAGATATATCACCACATTTAGCAATATACTAGAAATATCACTGTGGAGTATGCCAAGAAGGCGTGACTCATTGGCCATGTCGTGACTCGAACTCTCTTTGGCAATACCAGCAAATCCCTTGACAAATAAGCTTCTCCAGAGCCCGTACATGATGAGGTAGATGGAAGTGTGTACGGGGATGACTATGTCCTATTCAGAGAGGCGGGGGGGGGGAGTTGTTTTTGGATTTTCATAAAAATAATTTGTTCTCATGTGGACATGCTGGATGTTCTGTAAAACTTTAGGTCCACAAATAACCTGCCTGGCTCTTCCTTTCGGCAACAAAATAGTCTGTTGCCAGACAAATCACAACCGTTGACAGTCGTAATGAAGGTTGTTACATAGTCAACAATTGTTTGTGTTTTTTAGATGAAACAATCTAGTATTATCGTGTGGCTTAGAGTACATAGTCGAAATGGTAGGGATAATCTAGTCGAGATTGGCATTGTGTTGCTTCGTTTCACGCCGCACATCACAGGGGCGCAATGCATTTCAACCATATGATGAAATGCATAATTCAAAATTCAAGAGTCCAAACATTACAAAACAAAATTTATCCATGACTCTTTTGTATCTGTTTTGTGAACACTTACTTCTTTATGTAAATAGTGAGAGAGATGGGTGTTACTGGTAGCAAATGGCATGCTTACACTTTTAGGGACTGGTTATTCTCTATTGTTATATTTAAACTTGTATCAACTTATTTCAGCAACATGAAGGTCCTGTTCATTCTGTCCGCTGTTCTTCTGGCCACGGCCCAGGCCAACATCTTCACCGACATCGGTCAAAATTTGGCCAACGTCTTTAAGACACTTGGTGCGAGCCTCGTAAAACAACTGGACACGACTGGAGTTGACCTTCTGAACGCTGGAATTACCGCAGGGAAGACTCTTATATCTCAAGGAATTCAAGGCATGTATACGTAAAAAAAATCAGATTTTACTGTTTAGTTTAGTTTGCTATTTATGTAGAAGACTTTTTGATGCTGTCGGTCCTTGTGTTTTCAGCACGACCAGATGTAAAAAAAAGAACTTAACTACAAATGGTTCTTTGCCTTACATATGATGCTCATGATACCTGTATATATCTCTTTATCTCTCAAGTATTTAGTGGTAAGTGTATGAGTATGATTTTACGCCGCTTTTAGAAATTTTCCAGCAATATCACGGCGGGGGACACCAGGAATAAGGAAATGGGGGAAATCGAACCCGGGCCTTCGGCGTGGGGGGGGGGGGGGGGGGGGGGGGGGGGGTGTAGCCTAGTGGTCAAAGCGTTCGCTCGTCACGCCGAGGACCCGGGTTTGACTCCTCACATGGGTACAATGTGTGAAAGCCCATTTCTGGTGTCCCCAAGAATGTATTATTGCTACAATATATTCACTCATTCATTATATCTGTCATTACCCAGGAGGATATTGAATGAATGCTACAAAAACCTAAAATTTAAATCCTCTTGGATCAATGGAAACACTGGAATTACTTTTATTCCCCAGGAAATACAGGATTGTGTAATGAAAGTACAATTTCTCAATAACGTAGCCATACTGGACACGAATAAGCTTGGTATGGGAAATCTGTGTGCTGATAGAGGGCGAATCTTTGATTCAGTGAGGTAAGGAATGCCAGATGCCAGAACTCCCAGATGGAGTTGAATTAAATGAATCTGTTGCTGAACGAACTTTCTGAGAGAGTCATTATGGTTTAATACAACACCGCTTTGAACGGCATTACACTTTTACCACGCCGTTTCAACTAAACGTAGAAGGAAATTCTTGGAGTGATGCATGACATAGGCGAATATCACTCTGGTGAAACCACCACAACATGCAGAGGTTTCCATTCCTGCACGGCTAAAGGACGCAACGTTATCTACACGAGTACAATTGGCCCCAAGAACCTATGCTGGTTGAAGGGGCGACTTAATGGATCGGGTGTGTAGACGCGGTGGCTTAGTTGATGGCGTGGCATCTTACCCCGAGGACGTTAACCGTTATTCCTATCGATCCTTTGTTTGCCCGGTCAAGACTCGATTATTTACAGATCGCCGTCATATAGCTTGAATATTTAGTGTCGAACAACAAGCAAGCAGAACCAATTTCCTTCTTAGTCTTCAAATATATAGTATGGTTCTAAAATGGCGAAACTTAAGAACTCAATGATCATTATGATCCATAGTGTTCTACACTCCAAGAAACCCTTTGGACCAAACAAAATCTATTATGTCAACATTTTGTCATTCCATATTTTCGTACCTTGGGTACAATTCTAAATACAGTTATTGCCATATTTGAACTAACTGTTGGTTTGTTTACAGCAGACTGTCAACCAGGAGAGGGTCATTAGTGAAGGGCATGCTACTGTATTTGAAGAACAAGATGCACTGTGCTTATATTTCTGTGTTTCAATGACTTTGTAGTATATGTTGCTACCCGATCGTTGTTTCAGCTCTTGCACTGAATACTGCAAATGCTCTGCAAGGATCAACTCGAGAGATAAAGTAAGACCTTACAAATACTGAATGTTGACTTTTGTTGTATTTACAATGGTGAATACATTTGTAATAACATGATTTGGTTTCTTGTATTGATATGAGGTAAATAACTAATAAAGAACATGATAATTTGCCTGTTTGTTCGTACAACTTCTGGCGCATTTAAAGATGTGTTCAACCTTCTAGCTCCGCACCCTCTCCAGTTTGTAAGAATGGTACAGTTTATTGATTGGCTTTGTTAGTCGGTTGGTTAAGAGAATTACGTCTGTTCATGGTCTGAAATATACATCAACAAATCTGACTAAAATTTAACTTGAAATTTTAATTTCCATGGACATTTTGGGTTCTAACAAAAAATGAGAGACTACTCGAGAGACAGAATTCTTTTCTTTTCTTTCTTTTACGTGTATTGATTATATTGATAATGTAACAGCAATGTTAACTCTTTAAACTCGATATTGATGTATTGCAATCGGATCATGGGCAATTGCTATACGCCGAGAGTAAGATACACAGTCACACCGATCTTAAATGTAATGGTGCGAGGAGGTACAAATTGAACCCTGTGTCCATCCCATGCCTGTCCGGGTTAGAATTGGTCTTTAGCAAACCCTGCTTGTCGTAAGAGGCTACTAATGGAATCGGGTGGCCAGGCTCATTGATGCATGTAATCGTATATATACTTGCATAGATCGATGCTCATGATGTCAATCACTGGATTGTCTGATCCAGACTCGTTTATTTACATACAACGGGCAGATAACAGGAATATTGCTGAGTGTGGCGTTAAACAACAAGCAAAACAAAACAAGCAAAGAACCCATTTTCCGTATTCCCGATTTGGTTAGCATCTGCAAACCAGCGTTTGACGGGTGCTACCGGTAGAGCAGGACATGCTTACCCTTTTTGCGAACACCTGGTGTCAATCACTGATTTTCAGTGATCCATTCATAAATTTATACGGCTGTTTTGCTTTTTACGCTCAAAAGAATTTGTGTCGGCAGATAATCGAGACTGGGTATTCACTGGTGTTTAGATGTTTCCAATCCTGTCCAATGCAAACGATTTCGTTATTGGGTAGTAAACCGACATAGCTCCTTACAATGCAACCTGGCACTTAAGGCTTTCTCTCGTCAAGGTTAGATGGAAAGAGGGTTAGGTCCATATTCTGTCAAGCTTTGTCAGAAAGTTGTTTGTTGCAGTAGAACTGCCTTTGAGGAACCCCCAGATGTTTAGTAAAGGAGGTTCATTTATCAATATTGTCTTACCCAGATCACTCAACCCCATATGGTCTTTGTTTCCGACAGGCTCCCTCCCGCGCTCCAGAACGTGGAGTCCTCCCTCCACAACGTTGTGGACACTCTGATGGGCGAGATGAAGAACATCTTTGGCTTCCTGGTCAAGGGTCTGCAGGGCGTCGTTGACAAACTGACCCAGCTGGAAATCACCCCCGAGGAGGTCATCAGTGAGGTCGACAAGCTTGTCAGTGAGTTGATTACTGGCAATAAGCGTCATCTTTCATATACAACTGTTGAATTATTTTGACAACAGCTTCTGTACACAGTTTTGTTCTCAAAGATGAACAGTTTTATGACGATAATATGTATATGCAGGTGAATAATTTGCAAATGATAAGTAGTCTCATCACCAGAATGTTTTCATTAATTTTTAATCATAAACAATAAAAAACCTCGATAATATTTTGTAACGCATGGAGGTGATGGAAATTAAAGAAGTTCAGCTGAAACAATCACCATGTTGATCATTTCCACACACCTTCGTGACATAACATAATCTTGATTGTAAACCCTCAACCTGACACGACAAAATAAAGAATTTGCATCACTTATAATTTTGGTCACTGATGCGTCAAATTTGGAAATGTCCTCCACATGTCTACTTTAACTTTTGGAATGGTTCCTGGGTATTGGGTATGGTCACCTTGGCAGGGTTACACCATCAATACATAATGTATTATTGCGTGTCCAGACGTCCACAACCTGGTTGCTGATTCCTTCCTGAAGACCATCAAGGACAAGGCTGAGGAGGTCATCTCCAGCCTCATCAAGAGCAAGAGGAACGCCTTCACAGACTTCTTCGCTGGCATTGGGCAGAGTCTGACCAAAACCTTCCAACCAGTGGTTGATGGTGTCAAGACTGTACGTTTCTCCTTAATCATGTTTTGTAACTTGAAAATCGAAATGCGACGCAGGGATCAGATAAACATAATGGGTGAAGGGAGGGGCAATGGAAGGGGGTCGGGGAAGTGAACCTGGCCCACACCTCGCCATTGTTTGACGGTATCAGGAGTATATGTGTCTCCCAAAACGTGGGTTTTAACTTGCAACGATGAAGGGAGTAATGGATGAAGGATTGGTGATTGACTTGTAAGAGGTAACGTTGATGAAAACACCAATGACTGTCAAATATTTAGAGATACCCATCCATGGCTGAATTGTATAAACTATAACTTGCTGCGATATGCGCAACAATGGCTAAGTATATTGAGGGATATTGAGCCATGACGGACCCCATCGATACACTTGAAAGCAATATTATTTTTGGATGTATACGAATTGTACCTGACTTCACATAAAAAAAACGTGATAATGGCTAGTCAGAAATCTTAATGGGCATCGTGAAATTACTCCAGACCATTTTTCAAATGCTCAACTATTCCAATGCCTCTCCTACTGATGAAAGATACACGGCCTATCATGTATGTGCTCCTTTCCCACAGTTGGCTACCGTGGCTGGAACTGCTATCAAGACCGGAGCCACCAACCTCCTCCAAAAGGCAAAGGACTCCGTCGCTCAGCTGGGACAGAAGCTCCAGCCCCACATCGCAAACCTCGGCTCCCAGCTCGGCACAATCGTGGCCCACGGCAGCAACGCCTTGGGCGCATTGAAGGCGGCTGGCAGTGACATCCTGCGTACGTACTCCATACAGACAGTATCTCACATGACCCCAAACAACGTACAAAAAATGTGTGATGAATTTCAATCAGTGTGTGTGTAAGAAGTTGCATGGAACCAAGACGATGTGTAGGGGATTATGTGTCGATTTGCAGTGAGGTTCCGTGTTGACCAATTTTGACCCTTTGCGAGGTTTGTGTTGACATTACAGTCCCTGTGTGAGTGGTTGTGTTCATATAACAGCCCCTGTGTTTAGTGTTGTGTTGTCATTACAGCCCCTGTGTGTGAAGGTTGTGTTGACATTACTGCCCCTGTGTGTGAAGGTTGTGGTGTCATTACAGGCCCTGTGTGTAAAGGTTGTGTTTACATTACAGCCTCTGTGTGTGAAGGTTGTGTTCACATTACAGCCCCTGTGTGTGAGTGTTGTGTTGTCATTACAGTCCCTGTGTGTGAGTGTTGTGTTGTCATTACAGTCCCTGTGTGTGAAGGTTGTGTTGACATTACAGTCCCTGTGTGTGAGTGTTGTGTTGTCATTACAGTCCCTGTGTGTGAAGGTTGTGTTGTCATTACAGCCCCTGTGTGTGAAGGTTGTGTTGTCATTACAGACCCTGTGTTTGAGTGTTGTGTTGACATTACAGCCCCTGAGTTTGAGTGTTGAGTTGTCATTACAGCCCCTGTGTGTGGGGTTGTGTTGTCATTACAGCCCCTGTGTGTGAGTGGTGTGTTCACATTACAGCCCCTGTGTGTGAGTGTTGTGTTGTCATTACAGCCCCTGAGTTTGAGTGTTGAGTTGTCATTACAGCCCCTGTGTGTAGGGTTGTGTTGTCATTACAGCCCCTGTGTGTGTGTTGTGTTGACATTACAGCCCCTGAGTTTGAGTGTTGAGTTGTCATTACAGCCCCTGTGTGTGGGGTTGTGTTGTCATTACAGCCCCTGAGTTTGAGTGTTGTGTCGACATTACAGCCCCTGTGTGTGGGGTTGTGTTGTCATTACAGCCCCTGTGTTTGAGTGTTGTGTTGTCATTACAGCCCCTGTGTGTGAAGGTTGTGTTGTCATTACAGCCCCTGTTTGTGAAGGTTGTGTTGTCATTACAGCCCCTGTGTGTGAAGGTTGTGTTGATATTACAGCCCCTGTGTTTGAAGGTTGTGTTGACATTACAGCCTCTGTGTTTGAAGGTTGTGTTGTCATTACAGCCCCTGTGTGTGAAGGTTGTGTTGACAGTACAGCCCCTGTGTGAATGGTTGTGTTCATATAACAGCCCCTGTGTGTGAGTGTTGTGTTGACATTACAGTCCCTGTGTTTGAGTGTTGTGTTGTCATTACAGCCCCTGTGTGTAAGAGGTTGTGTTGACATTACAGCCCCTGTGTGTAAGAGGTTGTGTTGACATTACAGCTGCTGTGTGTAAGAGGTTGTAATGAGTGTCCATTCTCTATGTGTAAGAGGTTGTGATGAGTGTCCAGCCCCTGTGTGTAAGAGGTTGTGATGTGTGTCCAACCCCTGTGTGTAAGAGGTTGTAATGAGTGTCCAACCCCTGTGTGTAAGAGGTTGTGATGGGTGTCCAGCCCCTGTGTGTAAGAGGTTGTGATGGGTGTCCAGCCCCTGTGTGTAAGAGGTTGTGATGTGTGTCCAACCCCTGTGTGTAAGAGGTTGTGATGGGTGTCCACCCCTGTGTGTAAGAGGTTGTGATGGGTGTCCAGCCCCTGTGTGTAAGAGGTTGTGATGGATGTCCAACCCCTGTGTGTAAGAGGTTGTGATGTGTGTCCAACCCCTGTGTGTAAGAGGTTGTGATGGGTGTCCAGCCTTTGTTTTTAAGAGGTTGTGATGGGTGTCCAACCCCTGGGTGTAAGAGGTTGTGATGAGTGTCCATCTTCTTTGTGTGTAAGAGATTGTGATGAGTGTCCAGCCCCTGTGTGTAATAGGTTGTGATGGATGTCCAACCCCTGTGTGTAAGAGGTTGTGATGGGTTTCCAGCCTCTTTGTGTTTAAGAGGTTGTGATGGGTATGCAACCCCTGTGTGTAAGAGGTTGTGATGGGTTTCCAGCCTCGGTGTGTAAGAGGTCGTGATGAGTGTCCATCCTTTGTGTGTAAGAGGTATCCAACCCCTGTGTGTAAGAGGTTGTGATGGGTTTCCAGCCTCGGTGTGTAAGAGTTTGTGATAATCGCCCAGCCTCGGTGTGTAAGAGGGTGTGATGAATATGTGGCCTCTATTTGGAACAGGACTGATAATTGTGAGTTGTTCTTCTTCAGAGCAAACACTCACCAACTTGAAGGAGCCCCTTAACAACATCGGCAAGACCGTCGTAGATGCTGGACAAACCGTCGTCGGCCACGTCGCTGGGGCTCTATTGGGCACCAACACCGATCCTGCCACAACCGTCGCCCCCTCTCCATAGTCCGATATGAGTTATTATTGAATAAATCCTTAGCCAAGGACTCTTGACTCATTTCTTTTCATTCGCGTTCTTGATGCCATGAAAATATCAAAGACATTCACGCACACACATCTCTGATGCTATATACGAGTAGGGCTGGTGGGGTAAGTCGGTGGGTGAAGCGCCACTCCAGGGCTAAAGGTTCACAGTATGAAGGCCCTGACTAGTGTCATCAGCTGGACAGTTGCGGGATGGAGTGTGGGACTGTGAGTTACCTTACTGGTGGTAAGTGATGAACCACTTGGACTCTTATTGTATATACAACATCTTAAAGTGCACCTTACAACGATGGTTCTGATCTGTGAAGAATTGATCTTTGGCAACCCATGCTTATTTGACGAGGCTTGTCTTTAGACGTGGCAAATCGGACAAGGCGGTCAGGCCTGCTGACTTGGTTGATGCATGTCATCGTGTCCCAGTTGTGTAGGTTGATGATCAGCCCCTGTGTGTGAGTGTTGTGTTGACATTACAGTCCCTGTGTTTGAGTGTTGTGTTGTCATTACAGCCCCTGTGTGTAAGAGGTTGTGTTGACATTACAGCCCCTGTGTGTAAGAGGTTGTGTTGACATTACAGCTGCTGTGTGTAAGAGGTTGTAATGAGTGTCCATTCTCTATGTGTAAGAGGTTGTGATGAGTGTCCAGCCCCTGTGTGTAAGAGGTTGTGATGTGTGTCCAACCCCTGTGTGTAAGAGGTTGTAATGAGTGTCCAACCCCTGTGTGTAAGAGGTTGTGATGGGTGTCCAGCCCCTGTGTGTAAGAGGTTGTGATGGGTGTCCAGCCCCTGTGTGTAAGAGGTTGTGATGTGTGTCCAACCCCTGTGTGTAAGAGGTTGTGATGGGTGTCCACCCCTGTGTGTAAGAGGTTGTGATGGGTGTCCAGCCCCTGTGTGTAAGAGGTTGTGATGGATGTCCAACCCCTGTGTGTAAGAGGTTGTGATGTGTGTCCAACCCCTGTGTGTAAGAGGTTGTGATGGGTGTCCAGCCTTTGTTTTTAAGAGGTTGTGATGGGTGTCCAACCCCTGGGTGTAAGAGGTTGTGATGAGTGTCCATCTTCTTTGTGTGTAAGAGATTGTGATGAGTGTCCAGCCCCTGTGTGTAATAGGTTGTGATGGATGTCCAACCCCTGTGTGTAAGAGGTTGTGATGGGTTTCCAGCCTCTTTGTGTTTAAGAGGTTGTGATGGGTATGCAACCCCTGTGTGTAAGAGGTTGTGATGGGTTTCCAGCCTCGGTGTGTAAGAGGTCGTGATGAGTGTCCATCCTTTGTGTGTAAGAGGTATCCAACCCCTGTGTGTAAGAGGTTGTGATGGGTTTCCAGCCTCGGTGTGTAAGAGTTTGTGATAATCGCCCAGCCTCGGTGTGTAAGAGGGTGTGATGAATATGTGGCCTCTATTTGGAACAGGACTGATAATTGTGAGTTGTTCTTCTTCAGAGCAAACACTCACCAACTTGAAGGAGCCCCTTAACAACATCGGCAAGACCGTCGTAGATGCTGGACAAACCGTCGTCGGCCACGTCGCTGGGGCTCTATTGGGCACCAACACCGATCCTGCCACAACCGTCGCCCCCTCTCCATAGTCCGATATGAGTTATTATTGAATAAATCCTTAGCCAAGGACTCTTGACTCATTTCTTTTCATTCGCGTTCTTGATGCCATGAAAATATCAAAGACATTCACGCACACACATCTCTGATGCTATATACGAGTAGGGCTGGTGGGGTAAGTCGGTGGGTGAAGCGCCACTCCAGGGCTAAAGGTTCACAGTATGAAGGCCCTGACTAGTGTCATCAGCTGGACAGTTGCGGGATGGAGTGTGGGACTGTGAGTTACCTTACTGGTGGTAAGTGATGAACCACTTGGACTCTTATTGTATATACAACATCTTAAAGTGCACCTTACAACGATGGTTCTGATCTGTGAAGAATTGATCTTTGGCAACCCATGCTTATTTGACGAGGCTTGTCTTTAGACGTGGCAAATCGGACAAGGCGGTCAGGCCTGCTGACTTGGTTGATGCATGTCATCGTGTCCCAGTTGTGTAGGTTGATGATCATGAAGCCCTCCACTCAATTGTCTGGTCCACACTCGATTATTTATAGAATATATAGCTGGAATATTATGAGTGTGGCGTTAAACAACAAACAAACAAACAATTTGGTTGTCTTATTATATGTTTTAGTTAAAAAGCGAGTCGGTGGTGTCAAATAAAGTTTAAAAAGCACACTCAATAGTCTTGAGTAGCTGCCTGGGGCGACATACTACCCGAGCAGAGTCCCTACTCCGACGTCCGCGCTCTGTCGTCACCCTTATACATAAGCTCAGTGCGTACGTCAGCGTCGGTGCCCCCGGTGCCTGTTCAAAGACCAGACCTGCTGTCCAGCAGTGCATACAGAAGCTGGTTACGTAACATGACGTTCGACCAGGACTTCTGTTGATATATATAGACTGGTGCCGTGGCAATATATACCTGTGTAGATTATTAATACCCTCTGTGTGCTTAGATCGGGGATCACATACCATGTACGGACACCAGTATGACTGTTTACATCATACGTGTTTACCCCTTAGATCAAGTGTTTACCCTTTAGATCAAGTGTTTACCCTTTAGATCAAGTGTTTACCCCTTAGATCAAGTGTTTACCCCTAAGATCAAGTGTTTACCCCTTAGATCAAGTGTTTACCCCTTAGATCAAGTGTTTACCCCTTAGATCAAGTTTTACCCCTTAGATCAAGTGTTTACCCTTAGATCAAGTGTTTACCCCTTAGACCAAGTGTTTACCCCTTAGATCAAGTGTTTACCCCTTAGATCAAGTGTTTACCCCTTAGATCAAGTGTTTACCCCTTAGATCAAGTGTTTACCCCCTCGATCAAGGGTTTACCCCTTAGATCAAGTGTTTACCCCCTCGATCAAGTGTTTAACCCGTCGATCAAGTGTTTACCCCTTAGATCAAGTGTTTACCCCTAAGATCAAGTGTTTACCCCTTAGATCAAGTGTTTACCCCTTAGATCAAGTGTTTACCCCTAAGATCAAGTGTTTACCCCTTAGATCAAGTGTTTACCCCTAAGATCAAGTGTTTACCCCTTAGATCAAGTGTTTACCCCTTAGATCAAGTGTTTACCCCTTAGATCAAGTGTTTACCCCTTAGATCAAGTGTTTATCCCTTAGATCAAGTGTTGCTGTTTAAGATTTCTCCCCTTTGATATCTGTTCAGTGTGTACTTTGTCCTTGATATACATGTGTCGCCAAATCGTCTGAGGCGCTGTAATTAGCTGTGCAGAGTTGCGTCCCTTGGACACTCCAGACACCTATGCTCGTGAAGCTGAATCCCGGTTCGACCTGATTATCTTACAGTCTGTCAGCACCATACCCGTGCTCGTGGGCTTCACCAAAGTGGTAAACGTCTGAGACCTGCATCAATTCGGGCTCTTCTCCAACAAAAGCTGACTCACCGTGATATGACTGGAATACTATCAAAAGCAGCGTTAAACCCAACCGACTCACCTACTGAAGTAACAGAAATGTTTTTTCCAAGGCGTTTGACAAAATATGGAGGAGGTTTTGGCACTTTTGTTCAGACCGTTTTCCCGGTTTTTTCAAACACTGTAAACTCATATTATGAATGTTACTCTAGTATTCCTTTGAGAGTGTTTATTACTCATCATGGCTGATGTAAACAAACCAACGGTGACAATGATTAAGAGGGCAAATAAAAGCATTTGCCCACACTGACTAGGCCTCATGAAGTACACATTGAACTGGATAGCAACGTGGGAATGTAGGGGAAGGCCTGTTTGCAGGTTTGTGCCATGGGAATAATGATTCTGAAGATATTGGTGTTATCGAGGTTTTAGTACAAGATGTTGGGGCTTCACATTTGAACAGCAACTCGGAGAGATGAGGGAAACGGAAAAGAGAGAGTGAGAAAAAGAGGGTTTGAAAGAGAAGTTGCGAGAAAAATAAAACGAGTGAGTGAGTGAGTGAGTGGGTGGGTGGGTGGGTGAGTGAGTGAATGAGTGAGTGAGTGAGTGAGTGAGTGAGTGAGTGAGTGAGTGAGTGAGTAAGAGCGAGCGAGCGAGTGAGTGAGTGAGTGATTGAATGAGTGATTGAGTGAGATGATACAGAGATTAAGAGACAGTGGCTGATAGTACGGGGAACGACCCACACCGTCAGAAGACGATGAGAAACAGTCATCCAGGTCAAATACTTCACACATCGAGCCCCGTTCTGTTATGCCCTGACTTCTGTGCACGGAATCGGGTGAGCGAATGTCCGGGGTGAAGAAGTGTCCAGTCCAGTTGCCAAACACTCTCCTATTGATGAAGGAATGTCCTCCCCATGGGAGATTGTCCTAACCCAAGTCACTCATTGGCCAGGTGTCAGTCTGAGCCCTGTTTGCTTTAAATGCACCATCATCCCACCTGTGGACAATTTATGCCATTGCATCTGAGTCGTGATTACTACATCCCGCCCCGAAATTCAGAAATGGTGACATGAGAACAAAATCTCTCCCAGTACTGTCAATGGAGAAGGACTATTCTAGATAACGAATAACATGTAGAAGGAACACAGGGTAAATAATCAATACAAATTGGTCACCGGATATTAGAGGATGTTTTTTTTCTATCCCCAAAATGCCAGTGGTAAACGTCCTCTTTGTTTCTATCGATGATACAGTTGTCAGTTCCACACAGATCCGCACCAGGGATCCAGTGCAAGAATAGATTCACCTTTGTCCTTTAAACGATTTTATCACGCTGGTCACGGCTCGGTCAGATATAATCAACCGTCTTATCTCTGTGTCAGAGAACCATAGTTAAAGCCTCGCCATAACATCAACACCAGGAGGGGAACCAACTTGCAATAATAATAATAATAATAATAATAATAATAATAATAATAATAATGCGCTTAATCCAGACGAGAATGGCTGCTCAAAGTGCTACACGGATGACAATAAACATAATTCATGTAACTTTGAAATTGCTTATGAAACAATACACAAAGAGGGAGAAATGAGGTTTTGAAAACTACTACAGCAGCTTACAGACAGGTAGGTGTTGAGGCTCCTAAAATTTCAAGACTGGCATAGTGCTTCAGCTCAAGAGGGAGTTCCAAAGAACTTTAGCAATGTCAGAGAAGAGTAAATATCTGAATTCTTCCCTAGTCGACAGCATTTCAACTTTACCACGAATACCTGTAAATAATCGAGTCTGGCAGAAAGTGATTGATTAGAGGAACAACTGTTGACACTGTCGGGGTAAAAACCACTCAGTCATTCACGTAATAGTTTGTAACGACATGCATGATCCGTTTTAGATGGCTCTTAGGGCAAGCGTGGTATTATGGGGGCTTTTCTGTCCCTGAAACCAACATTGGTATTACGCAGACTGTGATCGAAACACCGACCTTCCGCTCTCAGGGCAGATACTCTATCCACTGGGCCACGATTCGAATCTCGACAGGGGAAGTAGCGGGCCGCGTAGCTGAGAACATTATCATCAGATGTTACTGATGCCGAGTCATAATCAGCTGATTGTGAAATAGAAATAGCACCAAGGCCCTGTAGGTTGACTTGTATATTTTAAGTCAGCTTAAATTTGAAGGACATATGTCAGATAATGCTTCTAATTACTGTGGGTATCTGTACGAAGAATCGCGCCACTGCTTTTTCCTATGTTCAGAATACCCATTTTATGAAGTGAAATTTCCCTGATGTCAAAGGATACGATATCAATACAGAACTAGGTGGAATGAAAACAAAAATCGCATACAAAATTCAAAATATTGTCAAATCAAATTAGTTTACACAATTCAATACACAATTGAATAATGACCTTTTCAATAAAATGTATCTATTTCGTAACTTTGAAATAGCTTGCTTAACATATTGTGGTGTACAGTGTTTTTTTCCATTTTGTTTCTATTCCTGAAAGAATGTTTGTTTTCAGAAAGTGTTGTGATGGTGGCGTATTCACATAAGCCGACATGTGTTGTTTATCGGTCCATATTCAGACTGAGTAAACATGTTTCAATCTAGTGAGCTGAACATGGCATGAGTGTAATGTGTAGGCATATTACTATGGACATTGTGGCTATCAATTGGCTCCATAACGCGCTCGGTTTCATATGGAAGAGAGGACTATTTCATAATATTCGAAGAACATCGTTTGGGCAACAAATGAGTGAGTTCACCTTAAAGCGGCGTTGAACAACATGTCAGTTATATCACGCCGTGTCAACCGGGATCGAACCCACGACTCTGCACATCCAATTTTAGCGCACTAGACGACTGGGTCAGTTATATAAAGAATCACCACATTGGTTAAAATATAATCGGAGCTTCAAGACAAGTTATGTTGCAACATCATCAACAAACAGTCCCATTTTAGTGCAGATGATGGTGCCGCAAACCAAACTTTGAGTTATTAAATATCGACCAATCTGTTCTTATTTCAAATTCCGTGGCCAGTTCAGATTCGGGCCAGCAAACCGTGCTTGTCGTAGGAGGCGGTTAACGGGATCGGTTGATCGGGGTCGTTGACCTGGTTGACATATGCAATCGTACATCGATGCTCATGATGTCAATCCCTCGATAGTTTATAGACCGCTGTCTTATGGCTGAGTGCGGAATTAGATAACACACAAACAAAAACCAATATCAGCTGCCTGTATTCTGAGCCTCCTGGTTTCTGAGATGACAAGGCTCAAACATTTTCCTCAATTTATCCCCGTGTTATGGGTTTTCGGACGCTTAAGAAACATCGTAGTGTTCTCTCTAATCACATCAACAACTATAAAACATCTCTTTCAATATTAAAAGACAACTTTCTCTGAAAAGCAAGCCATCATCCGAGGATTTACAATGTCTGTGTGATGCTACACCCCTCGTTATAGCGCGAGTAATCGCGATAAACATGGTAGTCCGAAAACGTATAACGTCAAAAAACCTTTGATACGAGGATATACATATTTGAAATTTAAAAATCCCCCCAAAATTTGTTTTAAATTCATCAAAAGAAAAAATCCATGTATTGTTCTTGACATGGTCATGACATTTCAGCTTCTGTTAAATTCAAGTGTCAGATATACATGACCAACCGTATAACAAACACACACGTTATAACGAGGTAAGGGGAAGCTTAAGGCATCAATACCTATCAAGACCCTGACCATGTCAGTGCTGAGAGTTTCCAAGTCGGTGACTGTCCAGTGACGCATGTTGGGTGGGGTGTGGTGAGTAGGGAGGGGGAGGGGTGTGGTCTTATCAATAACTCGAATGCGAACATGCTTATCGCAGATGGTTTGTTCTCAAAACATTGCATAAGTCAGGCGTATATAATGAGTACCTCCGCTTGCCGAACTCAATCTTTGCCGAACTCCGTGATTGCCGAACTCAATCTTTGCCGAACTCCGTGATTGCCGAACTCAGCTACAGGTAGGTTTCATCCCACAGCTGCCTTTGATAACTCTCTTAACTTTAGAGTCGATCATTAAAACAGTTTTTATCGGATCATTCTTCAAGAGATCTTTCAAATACAAAGCTGAATTAATGTTTCTATCGAAAATGAATTGTGTCCCCTGGCTGTGCACATATACTGTCAGGCAAAAGAAAGCATGCCTGTTTGATGGTGGCTAAAATTATACAAAAAAAACCCAAAAAGATATTGATGGTGATATTTGATACGGGTGTCATGTTTGTGTTTTGGGTCTTACGTTTGCAGTGTTTCAGCAAATGTTTTCAACCTGGTTAAGTTCTGATAACGTTTGTATTTTGTCTGGCACTTTAGATTAGGTTAAAAGTCACACTGTCGTTGTTTTCATTAAAACTTCGGTAATTTTATTTGAAAGTGTCTGACATGAGTGTGTGGCTTTCGGAAAAATGGGTATTGATAATTTTATACAATCTGGGGTTTCTTAGTATAGTGTCCATGGGAGTGTTTTTGTGTGTAATGCAACTGTTACCATACCTTCAAGCTATCCACGAGTCTAAGAATGAAGGTCGTCGTCCTCTTCACTCTGGTTCTCCTGGCTACGGGGGGAGACGCCGGTAAAGTCAAAGACTTCTTCCACAACGTTGGACAAAAGCTGGGAGACTTCTTCAAAAGTGCTGGACACACCATCCTGCACGAGCTTGACCTACACGGGGGCGAGCTGCTGACTGCCGGGGTACAGGCCGGGAAGATGTTACTTTCTCAGGGCATCCAAGGTACGTCGTGTCGTACTGTTTCAGGGCATCCAAGGTACGTCGTGTTGTGCTGTTTCAGGGCATCCAAGGTACATTGTGTTGTGCTGTATCAGGGCATCCAAGGTACGTTGTGTTGTGCTGTTTCAGGGCATCCAAGGTACGTTGTGTTGTGCTGTTTCAGGGCATCCAAGGTACGTTGTGTTGTGCTGTATCAGGGCATCCAAGGTACATTGTGTTGTGCTGTATCAGGGCATCCAAGGTACGTTTTGTTGTGCTGTTTCAGGGCATCCAAGGTACGTCGTGTCGTACTGTTTCAGAGCATCCAAGGTACGTCGTACTGTTTCAGGGCATCCAAATTACGCTGTGTTGTGCTATTTCAGTGCAACTAAAGCAGATCATGGTATTTCAGTCATACATTGTATGTCATGCAATTTCGGGGAATCCAAGGTTCGTTGTAGGTATTCAAGTAATGCGTGGTATTTCAGGGCATGTAGGATATGTCGTTGCAAATAGACTTCTTCGTGGGAATTTAATGAAATCAGGGAATGTCGGTGAATTTACGCCCGATGTAGAAAATGAAACAGTCGGCAGCTGAGTGTCCAGTAACCATTTGAACAATGCATTCGTGGTAATCGACAACGTCACCCGTCTACTTTAATTATGCTTTCTGTCGCCGACTCGCAAACATCGTTTCCTTCAAGTGGAAGCACAATAATGTCTCAAAGTGGGGGCAAATTGTTTCCAAGCATTCACTTATGTACTGTGAAGTTACAAAGGGCTGTATGTTACTCATTTCTCAATGAAGTGAAAGCTTAAACAACAAAACTTCAATGTAAGACACTTCTCTCTTCCTTCAAACAACTTTTTGTCACTCTCCCTCCCTCGTTTTCTATCTATCAACTATCTTATGTCTCTTCTACAGTCTTGTATGCATTAAATTGAATTATGTAAACAATAGGGGTGGGCCATATATGGTGAAGGACGTGTCACCACTCTTGTTCACATCTTGAGTAAATGCATAGGAATAGTGGATTGAGTTGATAAAGGGGTCGCTAGTGATAACAACGGCTCGCCTCCTGGACGTTGGGTACTCTCTGTATGTTGTCCTTCTCTGTCCACATGTTGGGAGCACCATACACGTCGGTGGTAAGAAAATGACTGATAAAGGTCGTTGTGTGAAATTATAACGCAACGATTATTGAAAGTCCGATTGGCATAGCGCTATGATCGCCTTGTGGAACATGAAATTGAGATGTAAAATTATACGTGTGTGTGTGTGCCTGTACTAGTTAGGACTGACGCCGAATTTATTGTGCCAGCCCACTGAGATACCATTCCGCAGTTAAACAGGAATACCCCACTCAGACACAGTCCTTGTTTTAGTCCCTTTATGCCGAGCGCAAGACAGGGTAACAACATATAACAAAATGACGTAACGTCATTCGACTATGAAATCTAGTGACGAGGACAGCTATCTGTAGTACACAATAAGTTCTCAAAGCAGGCCATCCCTAACAAATGAAAATGAGCCAGTATTAGAGAATAATATGCAAGACCAGAATGGAAACGTTTGTGTAGTCATATGTTCAAGGGAAAAACAAAATCACAATACAATATGACATAACAAGCCATTGTTAGTATGTTGTGTGTTGCAGCGCTGGCGTCTAACACAGCAAATGCCTTTACAAGACCAGATAAAAGATCAGACATGATCAGGTAAGCACAGAGCATCCTCATCCCATGATGTAACCGTCATGCATCTAGGTCAACAACAGGAGTGAGTGAGTTTGGTTTTAAGCCGCTTTATGCAATATTCCAGCAATATTACGGCGTAGGACACCAAAAATGGGCTTCACACATTGTACCCATGTCGGGAATCGAACCCGGGTCTTCGGTGAGACGAGCAAACGCTTTAACCACAAGGCTACCCGACCCGTTATGTACAGGCCGCTTTGACATAGCTGGATTTCGGTGTAAAACAACATTCAACCATCCTTTCATACATATATTACCCCTGCACTGACTTGTCGCACGAGTGAAACGTGAACAGTAAATAAAAGCTACAAATCCTTTTCCATAATATCATATGAAAGCTCTACTGTAAGTATAGTCCTTTGTACGATTCCGACTATATCGTAAGAATGCATTCTTAAAGTAACTGTCAAATACTGGTGATACAAGCTGTGAAAAAGTGAACGAATCCTGCCTCCCCGGTGGCACCGGTCACAAACACATGCGAAGGCAAGTCAATTGTTAACCTGAAGAGATACGGGAGCATGAGGTACATGTAAGAGTGGAGAATTGCACCAGACATCTATCTTTGTATCTACCGTTGGATCTGTTGACGCTAATGCCTTAAGTGTGTGTTTCTGAAGTTTGTATTTGGGTGTTATATTTACTGTATTTTTTGTTCGCAACAGCCAGCTGTTCACTACTCTGGAGCAGGATGTCCACGGGGTCATTGACAAGGGTCAGGCAGAGCTCAAGGCCGTTATGGCGTGGTTCCGGCAAAGTCTCAGTGAAGTTATCGACATGGCCGCCAATCTCGAATTGACACCAGAGGAAATAGTTCAAAAGATTGATGCTCTTGTCGGTGAGATATATATGACGTCATACCTCCTTGTATACTTAACATAATAGTTGAAGATATGTTTCATAAAGGTAATGTATATATTGAAAAAGGAAAAGTCCAATAATAATAATATATCAGCTGAGCACGAACCGCTAAGGGTAAAATTATGAGAGTGAGTGAGTATGGTTTTTAGCAATAGTCCAACAATATCAAGCTGGGGGACACCAGAAATGGACCTCTCGCACTTACCAATGTGATGGCCCGTGACGATTCCGGGGTAGAATAGGTCTTCAGCAACCCATGTTTGCCGTGAAAGGCGACTATGCTTGTCGTAAGAGGCGACTAACGGGATCGGGTGGTCAGGCTCGCTGACTTGGTTGACGCATGTCGTCGATCCCAATTGCGTAGATAGATGATCATGATATTAATCACTGGATTGTCTGGTCCAGACTCGATTATTTACAGACCGCCGTCATATAGCTTGAATATTGCTGAGTGCGGCGGTAAACAACAAAACAACAACAACAAAAACAACAAAACAACCAATGTGATACCGTTATTTCATTTCAAATGGTACTTTTAAATGATATTTTGTACCATATAAGTATGTAAACCTGTTCACTCAATACATTTGTTATTAAAAAAGAGTTATGACAGATGTAACTAAAATACACGAAAGTGTCGATATTCGATTTCTTATTTCATATTTCATTCGGCGGCTACGGTGGCCCAGTTGTCTAAAAGGCGCCGCAATTAACATACACGGAGCTACGTCTGAGGTGTGCCAGAACTCCACCATCTGATACGCTCTGATTATGTTTCTAGTTTTGTCAGCACCACAACCGAGGTCATGGGTTTCACCTAATTTAAGACTTGCATCACTCCATAGTTGTCAATACTTGACACTCAATACTTGCCAATACTTGTCAATACTTGACACTCCATACTTGTCAATACTTGACACTCCATACTTATCAATACTTGACACTCCATACTTGTCCATACTTGACGCTCAATACATGTCAATACTTGACGCTCAATACTTGTCAATACTTGACACTCCATACTTGTCAATACTTGAAACTCAATACTTGTCAATACTTGACACTCCATACTTGTCAGTACTTGATGCTCAATACATGCCAATACTTGACGGTCAATACTTGTCAATACTTGACACAATACTTGTCAATACTTGACACTCCATACTTGTCAATACTTGACGCTCAATACATGTCAATACTTGACGCTCAATACTTGTCAATACTTGAAACTCAATACTTGTTAATACTTGACACTCCATACTTGTCAATACTTGACGCTCAATACTTGTCAATACTTGACACTCAAAACTTGTCAATACTTGACGCTCAATACTTGTCAATACTTGACGCTCAATACTTGTCAATACTTGACACTCCATACTTGTCAATACTTGACGCTCAATACTTGTCAATACTTGACACTCAAAACTTGTCAAAGCGGCGTTACACATGACTCACTCGCTTGTGTGGACTCCAGGGGTACACAACACCATGGTGGACTCGTTCCTCACCACTGTGATCTCTGGAATAGAGAGCGTCATCAGGTCAGCTCTCAAGTTACACAAGAGAAACGGCTTCACCGACTTCTTCTCCAACGTCGGCAGCTCCATCGCATCAGCCTTCTCCCCCATGGTGGATGGCGTGAAACAGGTACAAACTTCCTTTAAAACATTCTTTAATAAAGATTGTGTGGTCTGCGGGGGTGAGATGAGGTGAAATAGCAACGTGTGTTTGTGTTTGTGTGTGTGTTGGTTGTGTGTGCGTGTTGGTTGTGTGTGTGTTGGTTGTGTGTGCGTGTTGGTTGTGTGTGTGTGTGTGTGTGTGTGTGTGTGTGTGTGTGTGTGTGTGTGTGTGTGTGTGTGTGTGTGTGTGTGTGTGTCCGGATTAGTCCAGATTAATACCGGTTTTACATTGCTCCCCACTGAGATACCATATCGCATCAGGGGCAAAATAGCTGTGAAATTTTTTGAATAAACAAGTGAAAATCAGTGAAAAGATAATCGCGAAAAGTGAAATCATGTCCTGCCCTACCGGTAGCACCCGCCATTCACACAATTTTCATAAAAACATAGTATTTATTGACTTACGCCTCACAGCAGTAAAGCGTGCATGAATTAGTACAGACGGCTGGAATGTAACATATTCTTAGCACATATTTCCCCTGACTTTATATACTACACATGTTGCATGTGCTGCAGTAAAGCCAGTTGTTCCCTGTTTATGTTCACGTTTGCAAAGTGCGATTCTTGTGACACCTGTGTGACCCTTCCATTTAGTGAGTGAGTGAGTTAACACTGAACGTCGCATTGGCATGGTTTCAGCCATGACATTGTAGCGCCTCGTTAGTTTTGGTACATATTATGCCAAGGACACACTCATATTTCACCCTTATGAAGACGGTCTGTAAATAACTGAGTCTAGGTAAGACAACCTGTTGGCATGCAGTGAATTTATTTTGCAGAAGGGGTTATTATTACTTGAGAAGGAAGATGAGTTTTATTTTCTGTTAGTTTGTTTTAAATACGACCAGCTTAGAAGTAATTATATCGAACTGCCATTTTAACAAAACCTTATATCAATTATGTCAACAACTGAAAACTCTCCATAATTGTATAACATTACACTCTATCTCTTACCAAAGTGGTAAATGTTTATGCTGGTTCAGTTACTCTGTCTGACGTTACCATTATCGTTCGCAATATTGACTTGATAGAAATAACGTCTATAGCTTATTTGGGAGTTTGAATATTGTGAAAATTGCTTTATGATGGCAAAGGTCCACTATAGATGACATGTCAGTCAATTATTCTTGATACATCTGTAAACTGTCAGTTGGAATACCACGATTCACGACCCGTGAAGATCCGGGGTAGAATAGGTCTTAAGCAACCGACGTTTGCCGTGAAAGGCGACTATGCTTGTCGTAAGAGGCGACTAACGGGATCGGGTGGTCAGGCTCGCTGACTTGGTTGATGCATGTCGTCGTATCACAACAGCGTGGATCGATGCTCATGATGTCAATCACTGGATCGTCTGGTCCAGACTCGATTATTTACAAACCGCCGTCATATAACTGGAATATTGCTGAGTGTGGCGTTAAACAACAAACGCAACAAAAAACAAATCTATTTTGTTAGTAAAAAAAAGAATACTGTCTTACTATTTTCGGGTTGTTCATACACATTCGTTTAAATGAGTTAAATGAGTTTGTTGAGTGCGGCGTAAAACAACAAATAAACAAACCACGACTCACTCCCCCCTCGTTTGTTCAAGATGGCGACGTCAGCAGGAACGGCCATCAAGGCAAGTGCAGCTGGTTTTGCCTCTGCAGCCAAGGATTCCATGAATCAGCTGGGCGAGAAGCTCAAGCAACACCTACACACGCTCGGCCAGCACGCGGGGAAGCTCGTGCAGCACGGACAGAACGCGCTCAGCGCCATGAAGGACGCCGCCGGAGACATCATGAGTATGGGCAACCTTGGAATGTTTTTTCATCAATTGAAACTTGACTATCATTTTAAATGAAAGAGCAACACGCATAGGTAAAACCTCCGCCCGTAACCCCTGCATCGACGTTTTTAAAAATCATAAACCCTGACTAGAATAATTAAAGACTAGAAGACTTGAAGTCTTTCCTTGAGATCTTCTTCGAAATTCCAGTTCCCACGCTCGAAAAATGACGCTTAAATTCGAATGAATGTCACGTGGTATTATAAAGCTGGCAATAGACGAAACAGATCGTGTGTTTCTTTTGTCATGGTAACCGTGTTTCTCTGATTATGAATTGATTCAGAATCGTGGCTACTAAATAATAATCCTAAACAGTCAAGCTATTAATATATTCATCGTTGTCATTTGTTCTGTCTGTATGGTTTAGAAATTGAATATTATGACTCTTCTTATTAAATGCGGTAGTTTAATGCTTAAAAAACTATCAACTTTAATGTCATAAATATCACTTCAACGGTAGAATTACAAGGCGACGATATCGTGTGTTTCTTGGCTATGATTGTCAGTTTGTTGGGGATCAAATACAAGATTCCCCCTGATTGTTTAGCCAGTCAGCAAAATGTCACGTCATTACCCCTAAGATTTCCTGGGGTAGAAATGGTCACCGGTAACCAATGCTTTTCGTAAAGGCAGCTAAAATTGATAGTTTGCCCAGACTGTGCCCCGATAGCTTGGATCAATACTCTTGCTTTCATTCACAGATTTGACCGCCCAAAATTTGATAATTAACAGGCCGCTATGATGATGATGATGATGATGATGATGATGGAAAGTTTACGAGCGCTTCCAGGAGTTCCGATTTCGTACTCAGAACATACCTTGAAACATATTAAAGAAATGATGAAAACCGTTTAAATTTGAACCCCCGGGGTAAATAAAGTTAGGGAAGTAAAATGATTATACAGGAGTAAGGGGATATTTTGGAATAACGTACTGGCTATGTTCATACAGGTGGCTTAAAAAAGTGACTATGCGTGTCGTAAGAGGCGACTAACGGGATCGGGTGGTCAGGCTCGCTGACTTGGTTGATGCATGTCATCGATCCCAATTGCGTTCATCGATGCTCATGTTGTCAATCACTGGATTGTCTGGTTCAGAATCGATTATTTACATACCGCTGTCACATAGCTGGACTATTGCTGAGTGCGGCGTTAACAACAAACAAACAGACAGTGTCTGCGACGTTACATAACATCACTGGAAGCTGCATCTGACCGTCATTGCATTTCTCAGGGTAACAAAAAGTACCATCTGTTCACGTCTTTTGGTATGACGCCGTCGGGGATCGAACCCTCGACCTGTCCACCAGAGCACTGAGGCGGTCTCAGCTTAGATATACGTGATTTTGACGTTACATTACGTCACTGACCGTCATTGTACGTCTCCGTTTCAGAGCAGACCCTCAGCAACATGAAGGATCCACTGACAGGGATCAAACAGACCTTGACCAGCGCCGGGGGCACGATTGTCCAGCAGGTGCTTAACGCCATGAGTGGAGGAGACCACGCCTTGGCAGGAAAGGACGCCGTCCCCACTAACCAATAGAAGGAAGGACTTGGCCTCTGCTTCATCGCTCGCATGATCACCAGCTTCATCATTTCTTAATAAAACTGCTATTGTCGATGCTGTTTTATGTTTTATCAACACGTAGTTAACCAAGAACCACAAACAGGTCACGAGTGGCTGTGTGGACTCAGACGCAATTTGCGGAATGTGTGAGTATAGTTTTACGCCGCTTTTAGCGATATTCCAGCAATATCAAGGCAGGGCTCACCAGAAATGGGCTTCACACAATTTACCCATCTTTGGAATCGATCCCGGGCCTTCGGCGTGACGAACGAAAGATTTAACCACTTGGCTGACCCACCGCCCCTGATATAACTGGAATACTGTCCAATGTGGCGTTATACCAAACTCATTTATTCAATGAGCGCATGGTGATAGTATTTTCTTTTGACTTGGGTTGGATTCCCCCCAAAGGAAAACAACAACACAGTATTGAATCTTTACCAAATAATATGCTCCATGGGTGCTTGAGTTGCAAGCCAGTGTCAGGTACATATGAAAAAAGGCATGATACTCCAAGTCCGCAGGTACACCAGGTATGTTAGATGTTTAACGTTTGTTTGTTGGTTGTTTAACAATATGACGGCGGTCTGTAAATAATGACACATGAAGATCCGGGGTAGAATAGATCTTCAGCAGCCCATGCTTGCCTAAAAAGGTGACTATGCTTCTCGTAGGGGCGTCTAACGGGATCGGTTGGTCAGGCTCGCTGACTTTGTTGATGCATGTCATCGTATCCCAACTGCGTGGATCAATGCTCATGATGTCAATCACTAGATTGTGTGGTCCAGACTCGATTATTTACAGACCGCCGTCATATAGTTTGTATATTGCTGAGTGCGGCGTTAAACAACAAACAAAACAAAAAATAAAAATAATCAAATCTGTACCAGCTAAGCCAGTGATTGATAGCATGAGTATCGATCCACGCAATTGGGATGCAATGCGATGACATGCAATCAACCAAGTCACCACGCCTGACCACCAGATCCATTTAGTCGCCTCTTACAAGCATGGATTATTGGGGACCTACATTCTTACCAGGAATCCCCATGGTAAACCCACAGGAACTCGACGTTTGCCGAGTTCAAGCCCGTGTAGCGCCGTTATTTCCGGCCACCTTTTTCTGTTTACCTCAGTGGCGCAGCGTAGAGCTGACATTTGATGGTTGTTTTAAAATAAATACGAGGTAAGGTGACCGCAGATGAACACGATTGTGTAGCCTATGGATTGTTTAGCAAGTTCCAATAGATTGAAATAAGTGACATTCATATTTTATGCGATATCGTGCTGTGATTCGAACCGAGTGCGAAATCTTGCATAAGAAACAAGATGGCGGGTTTCACTCCTTGTCTCTATGTATATAGAGGGGTGTGATTTTTTTCTATACGAATATATTATGTTATACACGCTATCATCGAGTTCCTGTGGGTAAACCAGTGACGATAAACATAACCAACGTTCCTTGTCACTGGGGTTCCATGATGAGCAATCAGCTCACCTAGCCAGACCACCTATGTCTGCGGGAGTCGGCCACCATGGTCTCGTGGATAGAGCGTCTGCCGGAGAGCGGAATGCCTGTGGTTCGATCCCCTGGCCTCGTCATACCAAAAGACGTTACACGATGGAACTTGTTGTTACCCTGCCTGGCGCTCGGTAAGCGGATAAAGGACTGGTCAGTTCGGAGTGAGTATACTGTGTCTGAGTAGGGTATTTATTTTAAAGTGCGGCGTGGTATCTCAGTGGGCTTGCAATATAAACCGGACCAAGGCAGGGCTAACAAAAGCAACCACACACACATTGGTGCATGGACGAGACTACAAGCTACAATAATCTTGAGCGCGACGTTTAAACCAACTCACCTTACATCCCACCTTTTAGAATAAGCATTGTGTGTTTGCATCTATTCTGATCTGTTATCACCAAGGTTCCATTTAAAGTAAAGAAACACGATCAACACGAATTTATTTGTCAAATCCATTTATTCAGCTACATGCATAAATGGACAAATGTGTATGTGATTATTGTGGAGTTAGTGGGTGGATGAGAGTGAGTGAGTGAGTGGGTGGAGGTGAGTGAGTGAGTGGGTGGAGGTGAGCGAGTGAGTGGGTGGATGAGAGTGAGTTAGTGAGTGGGTGGATGTTAGTGAGTGGGTGGATGAGAGTGAGTGAGTGGGTTGATGAGAGTGAGTAAGTGAGAGTGCTTAAAGTCAGCTGAAACGTATGGATAATTATTCGAGATGTCTTACGAAGGGTACATACCACGAATGGGTTAAATGGGTCCACTTATCCGTTTAACCAGCACAACTTGCTGCTACTTCTAAACAATTTAACAGGATATTCTTTCAGCAAGACATAACAACAATTAAATGTTAAGGTCTTAGCCTTGCACCCCATCCTTCGTTCTGCTTATATAAAACCCCACAAACCAAACGTACTAATTGTGGAATGAAGCACTTCAAATTTCAGATCAACGTGTTCTTGTCAAATTATCCCTTTACAAATCCCTTCCAAAGAATGGTTTGTTTGTTTGTTGCTTAACGCCGCACTCAGCAATATTCCAGCTATATGACGGCGGTCTGTAAATAATCGCGTCTGGACCAGACAATCCAGTGATTGACATCATGAGTATCGATCCACGCAATTGGGATACAGTGACATGCATCAACCAAGTCTCGAGCCTGACTACCCGATCCCGTTAGTCGCCTCTTACGACACACATAGTTGCCTTTTACGGCAAGCATGGGTTGCTGAAGACCCATTCTAACCTCATTCTTCACGCGCCCAAAGAATTCAATACATAACACAAAAAGGGAAATATTCTGAAGTTAGAAAATCATGCTGATTCATTGGAATCCTGATAGTTTTGGATCAGGACATGTTCGGCTATATAGTGACGATTAGCATCTGAAATTTATTTTATGCCATCACAGAAATAATCTCTCTGTAACAAATCTTTCCGCACGGTGGAAATGCCGGGACGTTATCGTTGCTGACGACGTCTGAGAATTAGAGGTCGCTCTCACTCCCCTGTACATGGCGTTCAACAGACAGATTAGGATTGTCAAAGGAAGTTGCAAGGGCTTCACGTTTCCATTTCTGAAATGAAAAAATAATATTGAGCGAGTGAGTTAACACTTCGAACAGCATTTCAGTTGTTTCAGTTTATGACTTTCACTTTTTAGTTTTCATGATGACAAACACCGGATTGCCTTGTTCTCACTCGATAATTTACATACCGCCATAAAAAAGCTGGAGTTTTACTGAGAGCGCGATAAACAACAAACAAAACATACTTTTGTGAAACATTACATTTGAAAATTAAATTCAAAAGCTGCTTGTTGTGACCGAGAAGTTTACATTTAGGTGTTCACTTGTTTATTGATTCTAAAAAAGAAATACACCAAGGAACGGGAGTAATATATGAATGAAACAAAATATATAAAAGCGTGTCTTGGATCTCAGTGTTGGTATATATACTTACATATTTGGTTCTTTTGGTACTGTTCGCTTCAGCGCACAGACAGACAATAGCTAGAACAGCGCCGAGGAGGAACAGAACCAGTACCCCTGTAAACTTTCGCACTGTAACAGGCTTGTCATAAACCAAAGACCCCTTCAATCCCATTGTGTCGATAAAGTCAACACCGTCATATATGAGTTCTCTCCCCTTTGTCGCATCACATCCTCTGTTCATCCATTTCTCCTTGATCCTCAAGATCACATCCTCTTCTTTCATTTCAAGGATTTTGTTGTCAATGACGTTACATATATCGCTTGCAATGTTACAAGCAAACGCATATCCTTTGTCATTCAGCGGTTGTCCGAGCGTGATGAGATCACAGGGCGCACCTCCAGCTGCGTATTCAGCCATTGGTCCTTCCATCATGAAAGCATAGGCGCCACGAGATGCTCGTACTTTCGTGATGCCGGCGGCAGTTGTTTGGACCAGATTAGCATCGTCCCTGTTAATCTGCTCCCAGAGTCGCTTGGCTAACGGTTCCTGGGATGTCTCGAGGAATGATGCGATGTGGCCGTATTTCGCGCAGCCGAAGGATACGTCGTCTTGCTGGACAAGCTCCTCGAACGATGTAAAGGGCACGCTGTAGATGCTGGAGTCGTTGGTGAGGAAGAGCGCGGTGAGGCTGGAGACGAAGGACACAAGGACGAGGATGGAGAACAACCACCAGGCGGAGGTCAAGACACGGCCGGACGATGACCGGGGCAGACAACGGCTTCCTGGAATGGGAAACATACACTCGTGTGGACAAGAACGTTCAACAGGAACTTAACCTGCCACAATTCATCCAAGGTCCGACCTGTGAAGACCCGGGGTAGAAAACGTCTTCAGCGACCCATACTTGCCGTTAAAGACGACTATGCTTGTCGTAAGAGGCGACTAACGGGATCGGGTGGTCAGGCTCGCTGACTTGGTTGATGCATGTCATCGATCCCAATTGTGTGGATCGATGCATATAATATCAATCACTTGATTGTCTGGTCCAGACTCCATTATTTACAGACAGCCGTCATATAGTTGGAATATTGCTGAATGCGGCGGTAAAAAACAAACAAACCAATTGCGTTGACCGATGCTCATAATATCAATCACTGGATTATCTGGTCCAGACTCGATTTTATACAGATCGCCGTCATACAGCTGGAATATTGCCGAGTGCGGCGTTAAACAAAGAAACAAACACAAACGTTACGGAATAGAAGCATATATATACTTACTCTGCCACATCAGTGTACTCAGAGTGTGGAAGAGACTACTGGACAGGGACCTCTCCCCCAGGGGTTCCTCATCCTCCCTGCCAAGTATAAATGACCATTTCTCGTATGGGCTGTATCGGACGATAACGGTGAAGAGGGCGGTGATGACGGCCAGGGTGAGAGCCAGGATGCCCCACATCCAGAGGGAGAAGGGTTTGAGGAGGAGGAGGAAGGCGTGGGATGCCAGCCAATCAGAAGGCTTCGTGTACAGTATCCGGATCCCGGAGGACATGTAGGGCTGGGTGTAGCGGATGAACCTTGACCGCTCGGACACAATAACCAGAGGGGCGGCCGCGATATCGGCCTCCTGCTGGCAGAATTGACTGGCTTGTATAACTTATTGACATTAATTGTTCGTTTATTTGTTTCTTGTTTAACGCCGCACTCAGCAATATTCCAGCTGTATGACGGCGGTCTGTGAATAACCGAGTCTCGACCAGACAATCCAGTGATTGACATCACGAGCATCGATCCACTCAATTGGGATACGATGACATGCATCAACAATGTCAGCGAGCCTCACCACCCGATCCAGTTAGTCGCCTCTTACGATAAACAAAGTCGCCTTTTACGGCAAGCATGGGTTGCTGAAGACCTATTCTACCCCGGATCATCACGGGTGGCAGGACTACTTCTCCTTGTTGCCAGGCAACAAACACTCACTGTTAAATGCAAGGTGTGCGAGTGGCGGTTAGGGCAGGGCATGGTGACCCTTTTCGTTAACACCTAATGGCATCACTGATTTCAATATATTGTTTCACGCCGCACTCAGCAGTATTCCTGCTATATTACGGCGGTCTAAATAATCAAGTCTGGACCAGACAATCCAGTGATTGATATCATGAGCATCGATCCACGCAAATGGGATCGATGACCTGCATCAACCAGGTCAGCGAGCCTGACCACCCGATCCCGTTAGTCGCATTTTACGACAAGCATAGTCGCCTTTAAGGGCAAGCATGGGTTGCGTAAGACCTATTCTACCCCGGATCTTCACGGGTCTCGATCTACGCAATTGGGATACGATGACATGCATCAACCAAGTCAGCGAGCCTGAACACCCGCTCCGTTAGTCGCCTGTTACGACATAATAACAATAAAAAAATCTTTGGAATCGACACACTACAGAAAACGTAAGTTGATGGAATCTTCGACAAGCTGGAAATGGAATAACAAGGAGGTTCCCCGTGCAAGTGACGCACATTGTTGATGACCTCTCCAATCATCCCTGTCCACGTCCCGTCCTGCCGCCGTCTCCCCCACGTGTTGTCTTTCACCAGGTCGAGGGTGTAGGAGAAGTTGCAGCGCCGGGCGACCTCGTCAAGGATGTCGACGATGATACCCTCGAAGCCTTCACCAGTCTTGTGGTTGGGCATCAGGAAGGGCCAGTGCTGTAACAATAGGTGATAGGATTTGTACAGGCATCTACGTAACTCCAAATCCAAGTGAAATCGGATTAATAATGTAAAATAAAGTCATGATACGATCGGAATCTTGCCCACATACAGAGAGAATAACACCCTTGGCAGGTATTCGCAAAAAGGTGTGCGTACGAGTCAAAATAGGGAATTGCATCGGACATAATTTGTGTCAGTGCGTCAAATTTGAAAATGTCATTTGGAAATGTCCTCCACATGGCTATCATAAAACGTTTTGAAAGTTTTCTTAGGTATTGAATGTTGCAACCTTTTTTAGTCGAATGACGCTCTTTGAAATCTTGGTAGGAAGAGTACGCTCGATTGTACCTCAAATGTTTCAACACCAAATATAACTCGACATAAAGGGAAAGGTGAATACTGAAGGGCATATTGTGGAGATATATTTGACACAATGAATCTATATGTATAGATCTAAATATGAAACCACCTAGGTGAACTCCAGTATGTCGAGTCCAGGTGTTTAAATCAGAGGAAGGGAATTAATTGTCTATTTGACCGTTGTGAAACGATATCACATCAGCGATATACATGAAGCTGAATGTTTACAAATCCTAAGTCAGAACTTCCTGTTCACATGCATACAGAAACAGACCAGCAAGATGGGGGATGCAACACAACAAGATACACAGGGGTGCAACTTCATCTTTATTTTCATTAGGATTAATCTAGCGATTGTCCGTGTCTGCTTACCACCTTCAGAGAAAGTCTTGCTTACCTCAATGGTTGTCACGTGAATGACGCCAGGGATTGCAGTTGACGCCTTGAACACAAAGATCAATATACAGTATATATCATACACGCTCTTAAAAGAAGAATACAACAAAGTAAAAAGGATGTAACAAGGTCTTATAGGACGTGAGAAGGATGCATCAATGTCCTGTAAGAAGGGTACTAAAAGCTCTCGTAAGAAGGAAGCATCAACGTTTTTGGCGCAGCACTTTTGTGTAAGGATGCATTAACGTCTTGGGCGCAGAACCGTTGCGAAAGGATGCATCAACTTCCGATAAGAAGGATGCATCAACCCCCTAATAGAAGGGTGCACTAACGTCTTGGGTGCAGCACCGTTGTGTAAGGATGCATCAACTCCCTATAAGGATGCATCAACTACCTATAAGAAGGATGCATCAACGTCTTGTAAGTAGAACGCACCCGTACCCTGTAAGAACGCTACCACAATATCGTGTACGAAGGATGTCAAAGAGTTTTGTTATGAGGATACACCAACACCTTGTAAGAAGGATGCATAAACAGCGTGTAAGAATCACGCCGGTGTTTTATGCATCAACATCCCCCTGTAAGAAGACTTCAAAGATGTCTTGTAAGGAGGATGCATCAACGCATTGAAACAAGGGTGCAACAGTGTCATGTTACAAGGATGCATCAAAGTCCTCTGTGAGAGAGGGAGAGGAGATTTTAACGCCGCTTTTCATAGTATTCCAGTTATATCGCAGCGTGTCAGCTTGATATGGGAGGAAAGCCCGAAGTGATGCAGGTTTCAGACGTTTACAACTTTGGTGAAACTCACGAGCACAGGTATGGTGCTGACAAACCTAGAAACATAATCCGGGCGAACCGGGATTGAAACCCAAGATCATATACTTCTGACGTGATAAAGGAACGCTACACAGTGAATAGTGGTGCCTTAGAAGGCTGAGCCCCCGTAAGAAGGTTGTATCACATCTTGTCAGAAGGGGAAAAAACTTGTAAAAGGGATGGATCGACTTCCTATATATAGACGAGAATATGTATTACGTAGTCATATTCATACAGTAACATACCTATAGAAATAATGATCAGAATTATTTAAAACAAACAATAACCATGATGATATTCCAACTTAGAACGGTTTCTGAATACCTACTTTGTGTAGACTGGTCACAAGGACCAGAGCAAACAGTAGTGGCGCCATGTTGGATTACCGTGGATGTGTGGACCCCACCCTCCGGACCACGGTGTCGGGAACGCGGACTAGCCTTCCAGGCGGATGAAACAGTATCTGTGTCATAGGAGCCACCACGTGTCTGATAATGGCGCGTGATTGATAAGGAACAATGGATGGTCTCGTGAATGTGTGAAAGAAGTGTGCCACAAGCTCTTGTTTCTGACCCCCTCCTCTTCCATCCCCTGTGTTTGTCGCTTAACGCCGGACTCAGCAATAATACGGCTCCGTGACGCAGCCTGTATACAAGGTGATTGATGTTGTGAGCCAGGATCCACGCCATCGATCGGGGTATGATGATGTGTCATCAACCGAGTCACAGGGTCTGACAACCCGATACATGAAGTCGCTTAAAAACAGCATAGGTTGCCTGGGAGCAATGCTACCCCGGAATCCCAACAGATCCTCATGTGCTCTTAAGTTCCCCAAAATGGTTAACGTCACTTCAGACTCTCCTCCCACATCACGGAGAAACGCCGTGCTACAACTGAAATACTGTTCAAAGCGGTCTTGTAAAAAGCCATTCACTCACTAATTTGTTTTCCGTTTCAGACCAGGAATCGAGATTTTAATCTTGATGTGGCTATAAAACATCATGTACAGAGAAGCGAAATGCATGGGTTGCTGAAGGCAAATTCTTCGGGTTACTATGGCAACCAACTGAGCAAGTCTGACCACCCCATTCCTCCATGCGTCTGCCCCACGAAAAGCATAGGGTGCTGGCGATCCATGCTGTACCGAAATCGCATTAGGCCCGCTGAAAGTACAAACTTTGGGGGCTGCAAAATATGGTCACCACACAACAAATCTTTGTCAGGGTGACTTCCGGTATTCTCGATCAGTATGAATGTAATTTTAATGGGAAATAAAAAGTAATAATGCTTTGTATCCAGAATAAATAATGATGTGCAGTCACGACATCGGCCCCTAACTATCGACTTCACAAATGTCAATGTCGTTGTATTGTGTTAAAAGACCATCCGTGACTGTTAGTATCAAGAGCATGTTGAATTTGTCCATGGACAACTGAAATGCATGGTGCTACTTGCGCGGCGCGGGTCCTGTGTTATGTTTTTTGTTTTGTTTGAGACCGCCCGACTCAACATTTTTTCCGGCTATATCACGACATTCTGTAAATAATCGAGCCTGGACAAGACAATCGGGTGATAGACGCCATGGGCATCCAATCACAAAATAATACGATGACATGCATCGAGCAATTAGATCGTCGCTTACCAAAAGTGACAGTCGAAATGTGTTTTCTGATTATGCAACCTCGAAACGGATAACACGAGGTATTCCGAACGACAATAACGGGCTGTACGATTGATTCGTCATAACCATCACCTATTTCTCGCTTCAGTGGGATAAACATTTCAAAAGGAAGAGACTTCCCATAGACCGAGAGAAGTACTGCCACTCTCGATTGTTCAGTGTTCAAATTTGGAATCGAGAACATTTTCAAATTATTTTTCAAAGCGTCATATCAACTAATCACCAAGTCTTATTAAAAGACTATAATACTGTTACCTTGCCTGAATTTTAGGGGATAAAACAAGAACTGGTCGGATAGAAGCCAGTGTGTGTGTGTGTGTGTGTGTGTGTGTGTGTGTGTGTGTTGTTGTTTAATGTCGCACAAGTCTTGACCAGACAATCCAGTGATTGGCATCATGAGCACCGATCCAAGCAACTGAGATACGATGACATGCATCAACCAAGTCAGCGTGCCTGACCACCCGATCCCGTTAGTCGCCTCTTACGCCTCTAGTAGAAGCAAACACACATACACTCGTGCACATAAGTGCAACAATCTTGAACGATACGTCTACCCCCATTTCAGCTCCACTCTTCTATCATTCATCATACAACAACCGTCGTCTAGGAACTAAGAGGAGGCATGTTCGGTGCAAGATCTTTATTTCCTTGGCGTGTATTTACATCGAACTGGGACTATCTCGGAGTATTGTATAAGACAAAAGAGGAACCATATTTGGTGTTCACTAAATCATGTACATGTATTCTCATTCACGAGAGTATTTACATATTTAATGTGAGTCAGTACCGTTAGATGATTATACAGCTGAACACAATATGTGACCGGTCATTTGATATTCTAGTGGTCCTGGGATTACGTACGGAGAATTCATATTTTTACAGCTACAGCTGCAAAACCAGATATTTTAAAATAAAAATATACCGTGGGCCTGAATATTTGTCTTCAGAATATTTTCTGAAGAATATTTTTTCAACAGTCTGAAACATAAATATATTTTTTCCTCCCGATATCCCCCCCCCCCCCCCCCCCTACACACACACACACTCCCCCTACCCCGCCCGAAAATCAAAAGGTCGTTCCCCCTCACATGATATATAATGTATATATGAACTAATATTACCTACACAACAGGTACGATCCTTACAGGAGGAGGCGCTTTCATATTACGAACATTAGACACAGAAATACAGACAGAATCACATTTGGTCCAAGCTAGTGTGCAATCTCGATATACGGACTTCTATGAATGAAGAAAACCTATCGGTGGTACCGCTTACACATATACTAATACAATGATCTATGTACACTGATCCACGCACACAACATGCTGAACACATCACAGAAGAAGACATGGCCTTACAGGGATTTTCAGACACAAGTTGTCCATTTAGGCAACCTTTACGTCAATCTTTCAAATAATGGCTTTACTGTTATTAAAGGGGGGTAACTCCCAATGTCCTGGGCTGTCTAAGTATCTACTACAGTTATCTGCCGCTGTCAAATGAGTCTTGGATTCGTTCTTGGTCGGAAGTACGCAGGCTGGGAAGCACCTACACACAATAAAAAGAAATTAATTATTCATCACGTGTTTGCATGGTGTCTAAATATGATAACATTCAGTGGCGAAAAAAACTGACCCATCGTTGTGTTTTCTTTGCCATCCCAAAATGTATTGTCATAAATTAAGTCATTATTTACATTTCATTTACAATTGTTTTACTACATCACTACACTGATCTCCCTGCAATATTGCAAGATAAAAGTGTTACTAAATATGTCATCGGTATAAATCGCAAAAAGAACTGTAACCGGAAAGATTAATCTAGGAGTATGTTTTTAGCAATGAATTGAATGTGTTATTCCGGTCCGAAAGAGAATAAAGTTGTTTGCAGAAGACATATCCCTTAACAGAAAACTCCACAGAATAGGCAATTTTGACACATTCCCTCTGCCAACTGGTCTTACGTCTTCATGACAATAAGATGTATCGTATCGCCTAGACTGTCTCCCAGACCCTAGAGAATATATTGAAACAGGAATCCAACTGAACTCACGTTTAGAATGAGTTGGCAAGTCTAGATTGTCTAGCATCCATTTACATTTTTTTACTTTTTATACTTATACTTATTTTAAGTAGATAAAATAAAAAAAACTTTATTTCTTAGACAAAATATCAGTCTGTGCTTGACCGTACACTTACATTGACAGAGTAACCACTCTTCTTTGCGTAGACGATTTCCCCAATAAGACAGAGCCCAGCCAGGAAAATCCCAAGGAAGAGGAAGATGAACCCGGAAGCGAATCTCTTCAGGGTCACAGACTTGTCTTTCAGTAGCCCGGACTTCCGGCCGAATGAGTCAAAGAAAGGCACACCGTCGTATACGAGTTCCCTCCCCTTGTCGACATTGCAGCCCCTTGAGGCCCATTTGTTTGTGGTGTTGATAATGAAGTCCTCTTCCTTCAATTCAAGGATTTTCTGGTCGAGAATACCGCACAGGGTAGACTTGTTACTGCAGGCAAATGCGTAGCCACGGTCGTTCAAAGATTCTCCGACGACAGTGAGGTCACACGGCGTCTTTCCAGCCATGTACTCGGCCAGAGGGCCTTCGACAATAAATGCGAACTTCCCAGCCCTGACTTTCTGGACGCCTTGGTCAAGGGTTCTCATCAGTGTGTTCTGAGCGTTCATCGTCGCCCACATTCTTTTCGCGAGGTGACTCCTTGTCGTTCTGAAGAACATCTCAGTGGACCCGTATTTGAATGTGCCATAGCGTATGTTCTTCTGCCTGACAAGTTCTGAGAAGGTTGAAAATGGAACCCTTGACACGTTAGGTTCCTGAGTGATGAAGAAGGCGGTGAGGTTGGCTGTGAAGGCGACGAGAATGAAGAGAGAGAACAGCCACCAGAACGCCATCAGGATGCGCCCTGATATTGATCGAGGGGAGGGGGTGTAGTCTGAAACATATTAGCCAAGTTATTCAGGTTATCTGGCATTCTGGACGTTTAAAATAAACTATAACTTGCTCCATAAAGGCAATACTTTGTTATTATTCCATATCATTCTACCGGTTACCAATTCAATGCTGGTTAAACAGAGGCATATTTTGAACAAAGTGATTTTCTTAAAATAAACTATAACTTGCTCCATAAAGGCAATACTTTGTTATTATTCCATATCATTCTACCGGTTACCGATTCAATGCTGGTTTAACAGAGGCATAATTTGAACAAAGTGATTTTCTTAAAATAAACTATAACTTGCTCCATAAAGGCAATACTTTGTTATTCTTCCATATCATTCTACCGGTTACCCATTCAATGCTGGTTTAACAGAGGCATATTTTGAACAAAGTGATTTTCCTAACGAGACATCACATGTGTTACATGTGCTTCAGTGTCAGGCACGGCCGAATGCCTAGAATCTCCCTGGAGAAAGGCTTGCCAAAGATGGTCATCAATCCCCCTACTTTCCACGACCAACGTGGATAAGCCTGTGCCTAATTTGTGACCTGTACATTGTACTCGGAACCGCGTGTCGATGCCGTGAAGCACACTGTCAGGACCTTTCAGTTAGGAAAGCAGCGATTCTGCTCTAAATAAGACGACAACGTGATAGAGAAAGGAACTTGATGACATGACACAGAATGATGTTGCTATGAGCCAAAACAACGTGGCACTTTGGTTAATCATGTCGGTTCGTATGTGTCGCCACATTTGACTTTGATATCTTTGAAAAGGCATATTTTGTTCTATGTATATGCCAGTTAATGTGTATGTTTGGTTTCTGTTGATATTCGTGGATGGCAATGACGATGTAGGGTAGGCCAATGGTTACAGCAATAGATAGGACCGGGTTTGAGGCCCCTTATGTAATGGAGAACTGGTAAGGGCGAGTTGATTCTACTACCGGAATCAACAGGTGGATTGAGTTCTCTGACTTAAGCTATGTTATGGTTGGTATATAATGTCTCTATAATTTTGCTTGAGGACCATGAGTTGGAATAGTTTCACTTTGTTTGAGTGAACGGTCAGTGATTTCCTGGCTGAGAATCAATTCACAACAATAACATGACGTCATCTTAATGCCTGCTGTGATTCCTACTCTTTCGCTGCTTTTCAGTTTTCGATTCCTTAACTGAATCACATTCGAATTTGTTTGGAGAAATTAATCATCGTCATCAACTGATATTAACTCATCAAACTTACTCTGCCATCCAAGCACGCTGAAAGTATACAGGAAGCTGTTGAGGATAGTCAATCCCGCGTTTTCTCGTTTCTTCTCGCCAAGTGAAGCGTCCTCTAACGGACTGAATCGAGCAATGACGTGGAGAAGAGCTGTAATGGCGGCAACGAGGAGAAGGACAACGATCCACAGTCCAGGACTGAAGACAGACAGAAGGATAAACAGAGGTTCGCTGTTCATCCAATCAGTGGGTCGCTTGTACAGGATCTTCAGTCCGGCGTCAACGTATGGCTGCGTGAAACGCACGACCGCAGCTCTCTGTGGCATGATGGTCAGAGGTGCAGCAGCAATGTGCGCCTCCTGGTGGCAAATATTGACGTTTTCATCACAAAATCATAGAGACAAAGGGAGAGAACTGAAGTGTCGAACATCAGGGAGAATTACGAATGGATGTTTATCAAAGAAGTCAAGGTACCAGCGGACCACCAGTTTTGTTCGTTTGTTTCGTTGTTTAGCGCCGCACTCAGCAATATTTCAGCTAAGTGATGGCAAGGGTTCCTGAAGACTAATTCTAACCCGGACCTAGGAACTACCCGTTGTCAAATATGGAGCCAACGCAGTGGTTGATAATATGAGAATACTGGCGTCATTTTGACTACTCGTCTCCATATTCCGCTTGCAAAAACGTTCCAGATACCTCCCAAGTTTGGAGAAGAAATACAACAAGTTCATCCCACTCCACCTGGTACCATAAACGTAACTCTGAATAACGTTACCTTCCCACAACGCGGGGGGCGGTCGGGTAGCCTAGTGGTTAAAGCGTTCGCTCGTCACGCCGAAGACCCGGGTTCGATTCCCGACATGGGTACAATGTGTGAAGCCCATTTCTGGTGTCCCCCGCCGTGATATTGCTGGAATATTGCTAAAAGCGGCGTAAAACCATACTCACTTACTCACTTCCCACAACGCAGAACGTCGTAGCCTTTTAGACATTTCGTCAAGACACACTCGTCTCCCTTACTTTTTTACTCAATACAATGTTTGGTGAGGGAGTGCATGGCATAAATCTGATTATGATTATGCACTAATTTAATTAAATCTGCTGAAACTGTCTAGTCTCATGTGGTATTGATTGCATCGATGTATTGCCATCGAGACATGAAGAAATGGTATCGACACCTCAATCAAACATTTGAACCATACACGACATCTGTACTTTTTGAAACCATACACATACGTACATTTCGTAGAATTTCCCCAATCATTCCGTTCCAAGTACCATTTCCTCCTCTATCAGGGCTGCCATAGGAACCGTCTCTCACAAGTCTGATCGTGTAGGTGAAGTTGGCGCGCTTGGAAAGCTCTTGAAGAATATCAATGATGATTCCTTCAAAGCCCACGCCGTTTGCTTTTTGCATCACGTGAGGCGCATTCTGTAACAAGACAGGGTGTTTAATACAAGACCACACCTTTGGATTGATCAATCAGAGGTTATATTGATTGACAGGTAGTTTCAATTCAAAATAGACAACCGTTAATTTACATATATGTATGTCCTATGCCTGTTTTACAGCTAATTGTCTATCAAGTTTCGGATAAACATTGTTGTTTTTTAATGATCAAACAGTTCTTTGTTCATTTGCCGGCTCTTATCGTCACCTGTTACTGGGAATCTCATGTGCCCCGGAACTTAGGCTCTGGGTTCTGGTTTAGTTAAGCTTTAACAAGGAATACAAATATTAATATTTCAGCCAATAAGATAAAAGCCTTTTTTATCAATTCATCAATGACCATTCATTGTACCATTTACATAAACATATACATACAAATAAATATTGACTTAATAGTACAGTTGAGGATGATACGGGAATGATGTTCAAGGACGTTCGTCAAAAGGGATTTGCACACTTAAGTACTGCATCCTTTGTGTCTTATGGTTGAATATCTTTTAGATCAACGCATTTGTTTTTAATGATCAAACATTCGTTTGCCTGCCAATGCGCGATGAACATCTATACGCATCAATAATCAATATGATAATGTCAAAGTCAATGAACCTCACACAGTAAACAGGATTAAAGGACACACCAAAACTGATGCACGTCTTAAAATAGAAATTAATATCTAAAATCGTGCCACTTTAACGCGTGTAAATGGCACAAAACGTAGTCGACAAAATTAAAATTTCAAACTTTGATGACAAGTGCACTTGCAATCATCATGGAAAAGAAGTAAATTTGGAGTCATGAACTTTTAATAAATCACAATATGATTAAAAGGAACATCCATGGGGATTGGTCGCACCCCATTTGTCTGACACCTTAAAATCACATATATCTCAGTTGAATTCTCCAAATGTCCAATGGACCCGTGAAGATTCCGGATAGAATAGGTCTTCAGCAACCCATGCTTGCCGTAAAAGGTGACTATGCTTGTCGTAAAGGGCGACTAACGGGATCTGGTGGTCAGGCTCGCTGACTTGGTTGATGCATGTCATCGATCTCAATTGCGTGGATCGATGCTCATGATATCAATCACTGGATTGTCTGGTCCAGACTCGATTATTTACAGACCGCCGTCATAAAGCTGGAATATTGCTGAGTGCGGCGTTAAACGCCAAACCAACCAACCAAATGTCAAATGCATGTTGGCCAAATGGTAAAATTAATAATTAGTCCCGATCATACCTTATTAATCAGAAACTCACGAAATAACCAGGGTTAGAATAACGCCCTGCCTACAACCTATACTAGTCGTAACATGACGCTAATATTAATTAGATGGAGTGTTCAGGCTTGGTGACGCTTGTCAAACTTTTAACGACTATTTCACTCATGTTAACATTAATCCGGATTCATGGCGATGGAAATCTTTTTCAGAATCGTTCATGCTTTTAATTTTTCCGATTCCGACCAATCAAGTGTGACGCAAATGCACCCGTCTGGATTAACGAGGTCGCAGTATCGCTCAAGGCCACGCGGCATCTGTAACATCCTTACCACCACCGTTGTCACTTCGTAGTTGGGCAACGTTTGTCCTGAAACCTGCAAAGATAAAACACAAAACCTTGTGTCAACACATTGTCATTGACCTCTTGCACACAGCGAGCTTTGCGATACGACTATTGTGAGCATCTGTTAAAGGGAACACAATACATTTTGAGTGAGATTGTTTGTCAACTCATTGTATGAGGAAAGCCGGAAGTGATGGAGGACTACTTGGGTGACAAGCTCCTCGCAGCGATACCCCGTTCGCGGAGCTCTCTATACTATCGCGGCCACCAGTCAAAACTCCCCACTGTGATAGGTGGCCCCAGCCATGCTTGGAGTTGAACACGCAGCCGAATGACCGTTATGTTTACAAACAAGTGACGACTGTCATGACGCCGAATACACTTACCCCTGCTAAATTACTTTCTTTCTTTGTCAATTTGAATTTCTATTTCATTAAAACTATCATGTTATTGATATAGTAAGAATCTAAGGGAGAAGTTGGTTGATTTTCCGTTAGTCTGCAATCTCGAACCAATCTGATTATGCAAACAACAAAGTAAATTCATCTGGAAAACATGGTCAGTCGTAAACCTTTTCAAAATTCCCTATGATGGCATTCCCAAAGGCATAAACAAAAGTATGAACGTTACTACATTTGGGGATAGAGGCCAAATTTCAAGATTCTTGTAATGGCCGCGCCCACACTTGTGGCAGCGATGTTGCCCATTCGTCAACACTCGCCCCTTTCCGTAACCTGCAAGATGACTCGTCCCCCTATCGATGAATGTAATGTGCGAACATGCGACAAACCAATCAGAATGCGCGTATGATTTCAAGTTCTTTGTCAAAGAATCCTCAAAAAATATTTTTTGATTTTACATATGTCTTACATCTAAAAATATACCCACGACACAGTTAAATGTGTTTAATCATACTGTATAATTCCGCACGTCCCGATGTGCTTTAAATTGCATCTGAAATATAAATAAATATAATGTATGGGGAAATACATGTGAACTATTACGCAAATAGTTGACAATTGTTTTAGGTATATCCGATTGCCTTAAGACGGAACCCGGTCGCAAAAATGGCCACGAGAGGGGCACGAGTCGCTATTCGGCTTGTCCCGGAATAACACGAGGTGGTCACGAATGCGATGTTACCGTGAGTGTAACGAAGGTGTCACGCGCTGGGAAGGAGCGTGCTTGGGTGAAACTGATGAGTACGGGCATATTACTTCAGGTGTTAACGACAGTTCCACATAGTTTAGAAACGCTTTGCGAACATACATATAATTGATTTGTTAAATACATTCGACATCAAAAGCGCATTTTAGGCATGCAATACATTATCGCGTCAGCTGGAGTCAATCAATGTCATTCTTATGTTGGGGTCGTGCCAGTAATGACCATGTAGGGGCCCCTGAACATCCGGGTTACACTTGGTCTTCAGCAACCCGCGTTCAGCATCCTCGGAGTCAGTATACTGTTTCTGAGCGTGGTATCCATGTCAAACTGCGGCATGGTTTTTCATTGGACTTACACTGTAAGCCGGCATATAGTTGCGACAAGAACAAGCAATAATTACATTTGAATACATAGTCGTGGTATATTTTCCCATCGGTCTGTTTCTATTGGTAGTTTGTTGTTACCAGTTCTAAAATGAAACAGTAACAGTTTAGAAATATGATCTAGAAGGAGTACAAACTTCTCAAAGTACGGAGAATCTTGAAAGAGTCTATAAAACTGCGCTGAAGGACATTGATCACTTCTCCATGAGTGGAAAACATTGGTTGTGAGTGAGAGAGTGAGTGTTGTTTTACGCCGCTTTTGGCAATATGCTAGCAATATCACGGCAGGTGACACCGGAAATGGGCTTCCTACATTGTACCCATGTGGGGAATCGAACCCGAATATTCGGCGTGACGAACGAAGGCTCTTACCACTGGTCTACCACCCGCCCTCCATTGTCTACTACTCTTGTCACAATGCAATTTCTATTACACTCACTAGGTTTCTCAAAAACACATCAGATGTGTTCAATATAGTTTAACAAGGGATATAAATTACCAAGTTTGTTGCGTTCTGTCCTATATTTCGGCGTAAATGACGTTTTCGTATTAACTTGTGTCTCATCTGCTTGATGATTGGGAAAACACATTTAGTACAATTACAAATGTATAAGCATACAAGAATGAGTGAATGAAGTTTATGCGTATGATAAACATGATAAATAATGATGTGACTAATTCTAGATATCACTTTCATCTATGTGTTTTGTGATTTTTAGGCCCCCAGGTAATCCCTTAAGAATTCAGGAGTGGGTTCTTCCATGCCTACGGCACCTAATTTAATAAACCCAGATCACCTATTACCTCCCTTAAGGGTAAAAACTAGGTGAAGTGGGTGGACTCTCTCTCTCTCTCTCTCTCTCTCGCTCTCTCTCTCTCACTCACTCATAAACACATACACTCACAAACACACATATACGCTCACACACACACTCACACACATACTCTTACACATACACACTCAGAAACACACATACGCTCACACACTCTCACACACACACTAACAAACACTCTCTCTCTCAAACACACACATACACACACACACACACACACACACACACACACACACACACACACACACACACACACACACACACACACACACACACACACACACACACACACACACACACACCTGCATGCACATATCAATACAACTGAAATAACAGTGAACGCGAGGTTTAATCCCACTACAGTTCACCTCTATATATTTGATCTCATGTCACGAACCTTAACTTCCTTAAAAAATGCATGATAAAAATGTCTTTTGTAGTAATGCCATATCTTTTCTAAACTTTCTAAATGTTTTTGCCTTAGGAAAATATGAAAGGAACAAATGTGAGTCTTTCTATGCGCACCGAAGCCTGTCTATCCAAGATGACTACGGTGGGGTTATCGCAAGGGGCGTCGAGCTGTTCAACAAAATTAATGTCTCAGTAGGGGATTTGAGATTATTCAGTTGTTCCCCCACCGGCGAATGATGCCCCGAGGCTACCTCAAACACAGAGTGACGCGAACACAAAGTACACCTATTGCTACATATTCATTGCATTAATTATATATATATATATATATATATATATATATATATATATATATATATATATATCAATCGTCGAGATGCATGTCAACGACGTCAACACAATCAACAATTACGGTTTTTACGATTACTTTTTTCAACATTATAAAACGTATTATTTATTATATTTTGTCATGTCAAAGGATCCTTTGTTAAATCTTAAATCCATATTCTTTGTAGCGTTGCAGCAATCAGAGTATATCTATGACCTGTTTTAAGTGTGTTCTCGGCGAAGTGACGCAACATATCCACATCTTAAACATCAGCTGGTTGAATGCCGCACTTGCAGGTAAGTAAAGCATTTAAGTCCTTGAGTGTACAAGTAAATAACTATGACGCTTGTTTGTGGAAACGAAAACCATTAATGTAACTGGTAGTCCCCAGGGAGCTGAGAATGACATTCGCGAGCACACTGTCTTATAACTGGGTTCGTAATGAAGCTGCGATTTGCGTATACGAGTATATGAGACCTAGCGCGTCATTAATGATTATTTTAGTAACAATCGATGCATCGCGATTATACACGGCCCGTGGCTTTTTTGTTTGTTTGTTTGTTGTTTAACGCCGCACTCAGCAGTATTCCAGCTATGTGACATCATGAGCATCGATCCGCGCAATTGGGATCGATGACATGCATCAACCAAGTCAGCGAGCCTGACCACCCGATCCCGTTAGTCGCCTCTTACGACAAGCATAGTCACCTTTTAGGGAAGCATGGGTTGCTGAAGACTTTTACTACCCCGGATCTTCACGGGTCGGCCCGATGGCACCAGCGAATAGATAATACTGATGCCGCACTTCATTATCTGTAGAATCAACTGACGGAGTAACGTGAAAAGCTGCAGGAAATGAGTTACCTTCCAAGTTTCTTTGTTGTCAACATAAACAAACAAATAAAGTAGCCGTTTCCTCGACTCGAAAGTTTGATGAATCAGGTTTTGTTTTGTTTTTGGAACCATTGGAGATCATTCTTAATCTGTATTTTTATTTTTATTTTTATAAGTATTTTTATCGTACGTAATTAGACCTTCAACATTCACCGCCACGTCCGAAACTCAGCATGCAACAACAGAAGATGATATCGACATTTTTAATCAGATTTACGAAAATGATATCCGTTTACTCCCCCTGATCCGGCCACGTTTGAAACAAGATATAGGGCGGTAGAGGGCGTTGTTGGTTGACGTGGAAACGGACATAAAGCACAGTGTGATCGCTAACGAAGGGGGAATACTTGTGAAACTGAACGCACTTACACCTAGATGATAGCACGAGTTGTGAAACATAAAACGACTCGAGCAGAACACTATCAAGCTGTGCTGATCAGGACGCGATAAATGTTGCCTGGTCTGCACTTGGAGGAGTGGCAAAGCGGCTGTCCCCGAGGCTGTTTGGTACGACAGTGTACGACCCATGGCAAAATGAAGGAGTTAAGGCAGTCCCTATGTTGGAGAAACTCCAGGTTTGAGTCAAGTCGCGTATAATCTAATTAGTCTAATTTAACTCAGTTTTAATGATCCATATTAAAGTAACAGTTGATGACCAAATAACAAGAGCATAATGCTCATTGTAACAATGGAAGGAACATCAACAGACAGGAAGATTAGCATTCTTTAACTATATGACGCGGTCTGTAAATAATCGATTCTGGACCATACAATACAGTGATTGACATCATGAGCATCGATCCACGCAATTGGGTTACGATTACAGGCCAGCGAGGCTGACCACCTGATCCCGCTAGTCGCCTCTTACGACAAGCCTAGTCGCCTTTTACAACTTGATGAAGACCTGTTGTATCCCGGATCTTGCGTGGATCGATGCTCATGATATTGATAACTCGATTGTCTGGATCAGACTGAATTATTTACAGACCGCCGTCATATCGCTGGAATATATTGCTGAGTGCGGCGTTAAACAACAAACCAAAGCTAACATCAATCAGAAATGGACTTCACACATTATAACCATGAGTGGAATCGAACCCGGGACGACGACTTGCCTGGACTATGCTTTAACAACAAGGCTATCCTACCGCAGGTGACAATAATCTTACGACCCTAATTATGAAAAAATGCTATTGAACATCTACCGAATCTTCCCGCCACGTGTATATTTGTGTAATCAATATTCTATATGGAAATGCGACTCCTTGATTAGAATCTGGTCAGCATGTCAGTCAATGACAATTCAATAAATATAGTCGCTTACCTCAAAGATGAAAAGCAATAATCCCAAAACTGGAAGGCACGGAGAAACCATTTTGCAAGGGACGATGCTGCTCTCGAGCTGGTCCTCTAATGAAGGTAAAGGAGACGTGTGCACGAGACAGAAGTCTCAGATTACACCCGCGACATCGGAGGCCATGGTTGATGCAGGCTGCAGTGTCAGGTGACAGTCATGTGACCGTGGGACACGGTACCAGGTGACGCCCCACGGTCTCAGTGTCACGAGGAAACACATGTTAGTCGTGTCACATGAACATATTGTAAATTCGGTTGTAACTCCTACAAGATACAAGATCGCAGTGCTAAGGGTATTACATATATTCAGAATCATTGAACTTATGTGGCAATTATAATAGAATGGTTTTGAATCCAACAGGGTATTTACTTGAGAACATAATACCAACTTCGGTACGTAATTCACAGATAAAGACTGTGGTGTTAATAACGCGACAATTGTCTTATGTAAGGGGGTGAACGACAGGGTTTAGTCAATTAAGTCGTACGAAGATAGTCTCTGATATTGGTGAGGTGAGGTGAAATTGGGTTTAACGTCGCGTCCAAGATTATTGCACTTATATAGCGACGTGCATGTGGCTGCTTGTACTAGTCCGGACTGATGCCGATTTATAGTGCTAGCCCACTGAGATACCATGCCGCAGTTTAACATGAATACCCCACTCAGACACAGTATACTGACTCCGAGCCGACCAGTCCTTGTTTTAGCCCCTTAATACCGAGCGCCAGAGAGGTACCATCTTTTAACGTTTTTTGGTATGACGCGGCCGGGGATCGAACCCCGGACCTTCCGCTCTCCGGTCGGTAGCTCTACCACTAGACCACGGAGGCGGTGTCTCTCAAATTAGCTCTCGGATGATATATTTATGTTGAGTATCTTGCTCATATAGAACACATTGCGCGTATCAGCAGGCTATTGTCCCAATGTTCCTATTTAGTTGGGATTTTTTTTGTTTTTGGTTTAAGCAGCGTTATTACAGCTATATGACGGCGTTCTGTAGATAATCGAGTGTGGACCAAACAAATCCAGTGATTGACATCATGAGCATCGATCCACGCAAATGGGATTGATGACATGCAGCAACCAAGTCAGCGATCCTGACCACCCGATCCCGTCAGTCGCTTCTCAGGACAAGCTTAGTCGCCCCTTTCGGCAAGCATGGGTTGCTGAAGACCTACCCCGGATCTTCACGGGTCTCATATTTAGTATTATATTTTGTCTGAAATGTACTTTTGAGACGTCACTTACTTAAGCTCACTGAAGCAAGTAGCATGCTGTCAACATGACCTCTTTCCGTGTATATAAATGCTGGACAAAACACGCATCCTGTGTTACAAAAACGGGTGGCCTAATAGTCTAAGGCACCACAATTCGCTGTGCAGAGTGGCATCCCCTGGGGGCGCCAGAAACCTATGAATGTTGGTTCGAATCCCGATTCGCCACTATTTTGTCTAATTTTATCAGCACCATACCCGTGCTCGTGGGTTTCACCAAAGTAGTAAACGTCTGAGACCTACATCACTTCGGGCTTTCCTGTCACGCCGTGATATAACTGGAATACTGTTCAAACCCAACTCGCTCAACTTCATAATATAACAAACAAAACAAATGTGACTTTCCCGAAGGGTTTATTTTGGATGCAAATTGATTGCCGCACTCACTATTGTTACTTTAATCACTCACTCGTACTCGGCAACCCATCACCGTGATACGTGTCATTCATTCTTTATGCTTCAACAGATTACAAGTTTAGACTGAAAGGATGGCCATGTTTCACGGTCTAAAGCCGTTCCAGTATACATGTAATTAATGTTTTGTGTTATAATATCGTGTCGTTTCTTATATACGTTTACATGCTATTTATGTTTTTCGTGGACTAGTACAAGCAAGCCACACACACACGTGCAAGCACGTAGCTATATAAGTGCAATTAGCTTGGATGCGACGTTCAACCTAATTTCACCTCATCTATTGTTGACAATAACAGATTGTTTTTTTATATGAGACAAAATATCGTCGGGATCCTCCTACCATTTGGGTTCACATCTTTGAAATCAATATGGATGCTGTCGAAGTATGTGCCAAAAACGGGTCAAAAGAGAAGAAGAACCTGTTGAATGTCTTTCAGAGTGGTATGTTGTCATTGTTGGTATGCAAAAACTGAAAACGAGGAAAAAGAATTAGGAAAAACCCATTCTGTCCAAGCCAGATGCCGTCCAGAGTCTTGCTGTCCAACATGAAAAGCTGATAGCTATTCCCTCTATCAAGGCCTTAAATAACATAACCATTACGTGGAAACATCACTACATCAATTGTTCGATCAAAGAAATGTATATATATGACATATTAAATAATGTCACATGTACACGTAAGCCAGTTTTGTTAACTGGGGTATAAACCTGGCAAAACTACGCAATAAAGTACTGTCGGGAATGCCGGAGAACTGCTTTTTTGGCTTCATTTAATAAATACGAGTCATAGAACTATAAAAAGAGCATGTATCAAAATAACGCAAATTGCCCTTATCTATCCTGTCCTAACTGCCACTGTGATCACCCTTAAAATGTACCCTTACAGGTAAAATGGTGATCAACTTAGAAAATATTTGTGTGTTGTCATGCATGTATGAAATGGCCTATAACCTGAGGTAATCACCTGACACCTGTCCCGAGGTGATGACCTCACACCGTCCCGTACATTCTCCCAGGTGCAAATGTCACCGAGTTGGGGGTGGTCTCAAAATATTGCTGTTATTGTACTTAGTTGACATGTGAGTGTGAGTGAGTGAGTTTGATTTTACGCCGCTTTTAACAATATTCCAGCAATATCACGGTGGGGTACACCAGAAATGGGCTTCACACATTGTACCCATGTCGGGAATCGAACCCGGGTCTTCGGCGTGACGAGCGAACGCTTTAACCACTAGGCTACCCGACCGCCCCTAGTTGACATGTTCGTTGATGGGGTAGCCATTAAGGATATGTACTGCATTATATTTGCTTGGAAACATGATGAAATAGTAAAGATCTATGAAACGGGATGAGTATTGGAAGGTTGCGGTTTTGGAATCCAGAAGTATTTGTTGTTCTACTGATGATTTCTTGAGGTAGCATTTATCTCCGCTGATGACGTATATAAATCTGTACTTTTGAAGGTTGTGTTACGTCTTGCCACGAACCCTTTACACTTAGCCAAGATGGGCACAGCAGGGTTGAGCTCACAATGTCTGACTGGCGTACGTAAGACAACGTGACCGTGTTGTGCCGCCAGCACATGTGTCCTGTACTTTACAGGGTTCTTATTCAGCCGTATTTTCTCCATGAGTTAAACTTTCGTCTTATATGGTCTGAAGTCGACAATGTCATATATACCTGAATGGTCGCCTTCAGACTACTCATGGTTTGGGTGACAGTATCTGATTCCCGGACGTTATATTAACCCGCGTTGTCCATGACAATGACACTGAAGTTGTTTAAAATGGGCAATAGCTGATGTTCCAATCAGTCTATGAACACATCACCTCCTATAATTTCCTTATGAAAATCACCGGTTTTCCTTTTCGCCTCGAAAACTAGCACACATCCACCAATAAGCCTCATATCATGGGTTGCAGCGTGCAAAACAATGACACGATTACACTTACCTTATGATCAGTAGTCATAGCAGTAAACATCAATTATATCTTTAATTCCTCCCAAATTCTCCTACAAGTCAGGGTTCCCTTCTGCTCATAAAGCTTGTACACTATACGCCTATCACCCTGTATCAAAGCTGTCTAATATTCCTTTTACGTACCAGTTTTCTTTTTGAGACCACCCCTTTATCTGCATTGTTTTATTTATCATATCGTAAACTTGATGGTGTGAATTGAAAACCACATAGCTTGGGCAGTTCGGTAATTCACCCTATCTAAATTAATACATGGTTTCCCTCTATCTCTCGAAAGTGTAAAGAACTTGTATACATTTCCCAATACAGATTCCGTAACGTGTACCTTTGTTGTGGCTATGCAAGTGTAATGTAACACGCATCATGGGAGCAATGTTAACAAAACAAACGTAACGTCATTTACCATTTTAGAAGATGCACATCATTTTCGCCAAATGATTTTTGTGTGTGGATTAGATATTTTATGAAGACTACATTATTATCATTATAACGGAGTCACGTGCTGTTATTTCTATAGTCTGTTTCAGACTGCCCTCATTTGACTAAGAATAAATGTGAACTTTCGTTTTCGTTCAAATTTGTCTCCTGTGAACTTGCCCTTGTGACTGCAATACTTCAAACCACAGGTAATACGATCGTTGGTTACTCGATATTTCAATAACAACAGTTTGTTAAAAAGTATATCCTTTTTTAACAGGCAAAAAGCACTTTCTAGCATTTCCGACAGTACTCTAGTATTATTCACTTTTAACTTGACTCTAAAACCTGTCGACATGTCAATTTCCCTTTGTACTGAATTTTATAGCACCATAAAAACTTCACGTTCTGACAAATAATTATGCTTTGAGGGAATACATTTTGCCAAATGTTGGACAAACCTGACCTGTAGGAATTGGACGATACTGATACACGTCCACGCTAGGTCATTGATGGCCAAATTGTATTTCATGCTCCGCAGTAGGGACGACAGGCATCACTGAAGTTCCTACATACAAACATTAGGATCCGGGGTAGAGTAGGTCTTCAGCAACCCATGCTTGCCGTAAAAGGCGACTATGCTTGTCGTATGAGGCGACAAACGGGACCGGGTGGTCAGTCTCGCTGACTTGGTTGGTGCATGCCATCGTACCCCAATTGCGTGGATCGATGCTCAAGATGTCAGTTAATGAATTCTTGTTATAAGGGTAGTTAGGTTATTCTTTTACTGTCTTGATCAAAGGGCTGAAGGCTAGCTCTTTGTCTTGGTTGATGATTATAAATAATTATCTATGTCACCAGCCATCATAAAACCTCTGACCACAGTCACTATCACAGCACTGCACCACAGTACAAGTTCAGATTTTAGTTAATATTATTACTTACGAAACTTAGTCTCTTATCTAAAGATATATTAATCCTACTGATTGCATTAAATGACTCGGGGCGGTCGGGTAGCCTAGTGGTTAAAGCGTTCGCTCGTGACGCCGCGGACCCGGGTTCGATTCCCGACATGGGTACAATATGTGAAGCCCATTTCTGGTGTGCCCCGCCGTGATATTGCTGGAATATTGCTAAAAGCGGCGTAAAACTCACTCACTCACGCATACGACATACTGGAAGGGTTGGCCGCCACTCAGGCTGAAAGCTACGCTCCTCTGTGTGTCTTGCAAACACGTTGCCTTTTTTGTCAATGCAGATAATTCTCAATACAAATCGGTATACCAGTAGGATCGGAAGAGTAGCACTCTGGTTAAAGCGTTCTCGACGTCACGCCGAAGACCGGGTTCAAATCCCCACATGGGTAAATGTGTGAAGCCTATTTCCGGTGGCCCTCGTCATGATATTGGTTTAATATTGCTAGAAGCGGCGTAAAACCATATTCACTTACTCAATCGCCCTCCTTCGCGATACATCGATATGTATGTTCATCGTACTCAACACAACGTGTGAGCCACTGTGGTTATTGACTTGCCTTTGCATGTGTTGGCGATGGGTGCCACCGGTGTGGCAGGATACGCTCGGGTATAGTCAGATATAGTCGGAATCGTACACTCTGAGAGAAAGTTAAATTACTCGTTAGGATCGACACGTTAGAAATGTCGGTCAATCGGCGCATGGAATCATATCCGACTGATTAAGAGTCATAAAATATTTTAAAAAAAACGAATCTCATTTTTAACCGCTTACATTTGTATCCGTATACATTTCACACCAAACATATCATCCTGGGGAATGTTTCAGATCGAAAACAGACATACAGGTTTGGAATCCACGATGGCGGCTACAGCTACCGTTTGTTCAGTTGCAAATATGGACTTAATTATAAATATACATTGTATTGCAAGGTGTACATATATATGCATTTTAACATGTGCTAAAACATTGTATATTCCTACACCATGACTACGCATTATTATAACAATGAAATATGTTCTAAGTATATCACTATAGTTTACAATTGTATGCCACAAATGGTGAATCATTATAACGCGTCTATGGAGATTAAATCAAGCAAAAGACTCGTTTAATTAGTATCCAATCAGCTTGATAGAATCTTTTAATCCACTGTACATCTGGCTTCGTTACCTGTGTGCTATTTGGCATTGTTTCTGTACATTAAGCTTCATCCAATTATCTGTATGCTCTAGTTATCTATTACCCGTTGTCGTCCATGTTAATCTGCTACTTATCACAACATGTCACGCATATATATACCTTCATTACTTGGTTGTAATTAAATTAAATTTCTGGGCCGCGTCCCAATCAAACCCTCTCATCCAAAACTTAATAAACCAAAATATCAGCCCCCAAAACCAAGCTCTAGCTCGTAAACACCCCTTACTTACCCCAATATCCCAAAGAATAACAAACTACCTAAATGAACACCAAATTAAAAATCTTAAACAAAACTGCAAACACCCCTAAACTTAAAATACCCAAAATAGACACAACACTAGCTAGCCAAATAAATAAACAAACCGACCCATTCATAGCTAAAACCACCGCACTAGCATACATACACGAAAATTGGCCAAATTGGTGTCACATTTACACGGATGGATCTTCAGATCCGACCTCCAAACACACAGGTTTCAGAGTCCATACCACACAACCAACTAAAACCACACAATCCTTCCGACTCCCAAACAACCAATCAATATTCACGGCAGAACTAATGGGCATGGCCTCAGCCCTCCATAATCAAGAATCCCAATACAATACTTAAAATCCTAATACTTACCGACTCCCTAAGTGGACTACACGCCCTCCAAAACAAAAATACCAAAAACCGACCTAAATTAATAAATCAAATACTCAAAAGCTCCAACGACCTAACTAAGGCAGGCAACAAATAACCTTCTTGTGGATACCCGCCCACGTAGGAATATACGGTAATGAAAACGCCGAAAACTCTCTCTAAACTCAATCTAAACAAGGCTTTCACTCTAGAAGCAATACTAAACCCACAAAATAAACTAGAAAACTTCAAGGCCTTAGGCGTATTCTTAATCAAAACGGAACTAATAAAACGCATCTAAAAACACTATAATCTACCAAATCAAAATTACATAAAATAACCAAACATCCACCATACCCAGCTCCCTTAGTTCTCCTCCCCAATCCCATCGGCATCTATTCCAAATCTAAAAATTCCCAAATTCTATATAAGCAACCCCTAAAGCCCCCTCTTGGGTTGCGCACACCACTTTCGCCCCTTTCGGAAACACATTAAATGGCCTGGCCGGGCCCTTGTGCGAAATACGCATCAGTCGGAAAGCGCACGTTAAATCTCCAAAGTGAGTGAGTGAGTGAGTGAGTGAGTGAGTGAGTGAGTGAGTGAGTGAGTGAGTGAGTGAGTGAGTGAGTGAGTGAGTGAGTGAGTGAGTGAGTGAGTGAGTGAGTGTAATTAATGGTTAAAACTCAGAGATATATTACATTCCGAAATACTTCTCTGTCAGTCCTGGACGGAGCAGGTCAATGGAACAATAAATGGGGGTCCACCATTTCAAGTGAAAAAAAAAACTTTAGGATTTCTATGCAACTTAACAAGGGGAGCACACTGATAATTGGCGCTAATTGGTGATTAGAAATAGACAGCGCTGATAGTTGTGAACAACTGGAAGCCAGAGCCTAAATTATAACTGTAAAGTATTAGCTTCCATTGTGTCGTTAAACCCAACCTCACCTCACCTCACGTCATTTTTATGGCAAGAAATCTAAACAAATATATGCAAATTGTGTGAGTTAAGGGAAGGGTGCTACTGCTAAGCCGAGACTTGCTTAAATTACCCTTTTCGCGAACAACCAGTGTCATCGCTCATTTTCAGTGACCCTCTCATACAATATTTTGTTTTTTTATTACCGCTACGTTGCCTTTTCTGCCCAATGGAATCTGTTTCCTCGGATAATCCAGACTGGTTATTTATGGGATTGACGTTTGATAGTTATCACGATGTTCTAAATTTATGAGCTCCGAGCTCGGCAGACTGATCAAGAAAGCAAGAATTGACACTCGGATATGAGTCTAATCTAACCATTAAAGGTTTCCGGTCTTAGTGACAAAGGGTGTGGTCAATTGCAGAAGCATTGGCACTGATACCAGCGTTGGGGGGATCTAAACCAAACTGATTTTTCTTAGCAGCTCATGGAGCTGAAATGTTGAAATGTTCTCTCATTTAACTCAATATCACTACACATTATAGGCGTATCTTCAATCATTCCCTGAAATCCTTTTACATGTCGTCATTAGTCCACGAGTACATCGAAAGAAAGAAACGTCAAGATGTGAAAAGGGATTTCAGTTGACAGACTTGTAAGTTCAAACTCTGTTTTAAATAGACAAAAGTACAGTCGCAACATTGGTTAATCTCCACTGAAATAATTGGTTCGATAAGATCGGCAGATTTAGTTTCAGACTGTTTTAACTCCTTTTGGCATAGTGAGTGATGGTGCTGACAAACCTAGAAACATAATAGGGGCGAATCATACATTTCCGACGTGCCCAAGGGACGCAACTCTGCTCACCGAATTGCCCCGCCTTGGACGACTGGGCCACCCGTGCCCCAGAAATTTATCAGAAGTTATATAATAATGTATAATCACCCAATAACTTGAATGTTACCAAAATTGGACTTAGAACAATTTAAGGTCTAAGCCCGGATCATCACACGGGCCGGGACGTTTTGCATAGTTTGGTCTATCACACGTTCAGAGAGAATGAACAACACGTCTACTGCTAACATTAGCGTAATTGAGAGCTGTCAATTACCCCAAGTAAATAGGATTTAGATGTAAATATTGTAAATGACCCTTGTGATAAGTCATGCTATGATAAATAACAGAGCTCGTGTTAATTATTGCGTATATGCCTGAATACACCCCAATACACAAAAACAACTTCATTGAAATTTTAAGATGAAAAACAACTCCAGGCCTGATAAATATTCAATATAAGGTGAGGTGTCAGATCAACCACGACACACACGAAGGATCTGTGATCACATCTATTGTCCACAAATGAAAACTAGTGGACCGACCCTGCCAATCATCGTTACTGAAACAGCTGGCGCACGATTTGCACGTGAATACTGTCGCCCTTTGATCGAAGTTCGTTGTTGGGCCGACTTCTGCAACAGTTGAAACTATTTTATGTCCCGGAATCTTGCTTAATCGTAAGTAGACAGATATACGAGACTGTAGGTATGTATATGTTTGTTAAAAGGAACATGTTTTAAAGTACAAACAAGTTTTAGTTCGACCTCATGTGGCAAGAGCATGTTTTTGAAGGAACAGCTGAAATATGATGCGATGAGATTTATAGAATGTGATGGGTCTTTGCGGTTTTTGATGGATCATTTAGACACGTTCAACGAACATGTGTTCGTGTTTCACACTTAATGTATGTTTGATCAAGGAGGATTGAACACGTTCCTACGGAGGCCCATAAGGGCTATCCCATTTTATATTATTGTTAATAATGCAAGATAATATCTTGTTAATTCAAGAAACGTTTACGAAAATGCAAGAAACTAAGTTCCAATTCAGTTGACGATTCAACTAATGAGAAAATTGCACGATGTTGAAAATTCAAGATGGCTGAATTGAGCAAATGAAGGTTTTACTTTTTGCTTGGAGCTGACATTGTTGCCAGAAAGGAACGTGGACATTCAAGATAAAAAATATATAATTTGCGGCCATAATGGACTTCCATAGGTGGCGCACAAATCCTTCAGCAGAAGACCATATATCAAACAGAAAGAAACCATACCTCGTTACCACCAATCCCAATTGCGTGGATCGATGCTCATGATATCAATCACTGGATTGTCTGGTCCAGACTCGATTATTTACAGATCGCCGTAATATAGCTGGAATATTGCTAAATGCGGCGTTAAACAACAAAAGAATCAACCTTACCTCGAAAAAGAGAAGCGAACAAAAAAATGATCGAATCGCGCTGTCCGCTATGAGCGTCGCCTTTTAGAAAGTTATGACAAAACAATTATAGAAATTTAATAAAAAAAGTAACTCCGGTATAAAATTTTCAAAAGATAAGTTACGAGATCTTTAGATGGTCATGCCATTTCACATAAATTTCAAAGAACAACTTTTACGAGGTCGAACTTATTCAAAACGTATTTGACCGTGTATATTATAATGAATTATGAAAAGCATATTTCATGTAGTTGTTGAAAGTTGACGGTGACAAATACACAGTTCACGTGTCGTTTTTCAAAAATGATATCTCAATATTTTGACATGTTGTATTGAAGCGGAGGTGAGTGAAGCTGGTTATTTATGACAGGGTATATGATTTGTTTTTTTTAATTGTTTGTGTTGAACTCCGCACTCAGCAATATTCCAGCCGTATGGAGGCGGTCTTTGAATAAACAAGTCTGATTGAGATGTTGGCGTTCGATTAGGATGCGATTTAGGCATGGGACTGACCCATGTTAAGCTTCATTGCAGGTAATGAGAAAAAAGTAAATATAGAGCGTGCGTGCGTTTGTTCGTTTTAGGAGATTTCCGTAATATCGCAATAGGTATTGCATACTTCGATCAGCGGATGTTGGTGTGCAGATGCTGAACAGCCATCGAGGTCCGGTTTAAGCAGACATTATGCCTGTCACTGTGACATTTCAAACTCCAGAACCTTGTGCACATTCCACTAATTCATTGAAGTGATGTTAGCCCACCGCTATCGTAAGGCGCCGACAATTTGATATTCTGGGTGCCTGGAATTTTATCGAAGAAAATATATTGTTCGTGAAAATTCTTGAAAAAAAACATTCTCCTTCAAAATGTTGACAAAACAACTTTTCTGCCACAAAAAGTACATTGCTGCAACAAGTTTGTCTAAAAAATATTCTGGTTTTGCAGGTATTTCTATTCTCTTGGCAAATGGTCAAACAAATGAAATACACTGTTGATGCCTGCTAAATTTGGCGGCTCCAGTTATATCACGGCGTGTCAGCTTAATGTGTGAGGAAAGCCCGAAGTGATGCAGGTCTCAGACGTTTACCACTTCGGCGAAACCCACGAGCACGGGTATGGTGCTGACAATAATATAATATATAATCGGGGCGAACCGGGATTCGAACCCACAATCATAGGTTTCTGGCTTGGCCAAGGGACGCAACTCTACACAGCCAAACACGGCGCCTCAGACGTGCCCTCCAATGAACCATATAAAATTGTGACCATATAAATTGTATTCCTGTATTCACATTTCAGAAAAATGTCGACCCTGTCATTCGTATGCTACATTATTATGACAAGCGTCACCATGAACGTAAGTAAATCAAACACACAAACACAAGGAAATGTTTAACAATCTCACAGGGAAGTCTATACTGCAGTCCATTCTTTTCCGAAACAGGGTAGAAACATGGTTTTACACCATCCCGATAAAAACGCAGTCTGGATTAAGACCCGTGAAGATCCAGGGCAGAAGAGATCGGGGATCTGGCAACCGGATCTTAATTCTATGCTTAACATTTTATTCCCTTTGAAAGCATTTCTCTTATTGCTTTTGTTTGTTTGTTGTTTAACGCCTCACTCAGCAATATTCAAGCTATATGACGGCGGTCTGTAAATGGTCCAGTCTGGATCAATAGGTCTTCAGTTACCCATTGCCGTAACTGGCGACTATGCTTGTAAAAGGCCACTAACGGGATCGGGTGGTCAGGCTTGCTGACCTCGTTGATGCATGTCATCGTATACCAATCCAGTGATTACCATCATGAGCATCGATCAACTCAGTTGGGATCGATGACATGCATCAACCGATCCCGTTAGTCGCCTTTTACGACGAGCATAGTCGCCTTTTACGACGAGCATAGTCGCCTTTTACGGCAAGCATAGATTGCTGAAGACCTATTCTACCCCGGATCTTCACGGGTCGATTTATGTGATGAACAAAATATTTAACGATGTCAACTCCGTTGTCTATCTCATCTATTGGCATCATTAGAATTGATGATGCCACTTAAAACCACGACACATTATGATCTAACAATGTATTTATCAACCACCATTTTATATCCTCCATGTAACTATCCTCTGTTCTTGCGTTTCGCAGGCTGTCTGTGGCGAACATCATGAAGTCGTAACTCTGCTGGTGAGTATGGCGTTTTGTTTGTTTATTGTTTAACGCCGCACTGAGCAATATTCCTGCTGTATGACGGTGGTCTGTACACCATGAAGTCTGGACCAGACAATCCAGTGATTGACATCACGAGCATCGATCCACGCAATTGGGACACGATGACATGCATCAACCAAGTCAGCGACCCTGACCACAAGATCCAATGGGTTTGCAGAAGAACTATTCTAACCCTGATCGTCACGGATGGTAAGTATGTTGCGACACTGGACCAACTGTTGCCTCTCTGTGATGTTCAGGGCGCCGTTCTACAAAGTGATCTTCGTGCAAGATGATCTTAAACACAGACGTATCGATGCTCATGATGTCAACCACTGGGTTGTCTGTTCCAGACTCGATGATGTTGGAGGCCGCAGTGATACAGCTGGAATATGTCTGAGTGCGGCGTTTAACAACAAACAAACATAGACTTTTTTCTTTACTTAGTCTTAGCGTTACGATCTTTTTGTGGAATGCGATCCTTGTTTACAGTACTCATTGTGAGCATCCGATTATCGAACTTTTCATCTTCCTGAGGCAAGGGTGTTTACAAACTATAGAAGTCCAGTTTCCAACTTTGCCGAACTAGGCTGGAATTCCGGAGTTACATTTTGTCTGGACTTACGAGTCCTATCAAAATCGCGTAACCAACTAGACATTTGGTTCGTAAAGGTGCAGGGTCATGGGTGGCCCAGTCGTCTAAGGCGCCGCGATTCGCTGTGCAGAGTTGCGTCCTTTGGGCACGCCAGAAACTTATGATTGGGTTCGGGTTCGAATCCCGGTTCGCCCCGATTATGTTTCCAGGTTCATCAGCACCATACGGGTGCTCGTGGGTTTCACCGAAGTGGTAAACGTCTGAGACCTGCATCACTTCGGGCTTTCCTCCCACATTAAGCTGACACGCCGCGATATAACTGGAATACTGTTAAAAGCGGCGTTAAACCCAACTCATTCACTCACTCACTCACTCACTCGTTAATGTGCAGATTTCCGTCGACTGTAGGATTTGCAAAGCGTGTGTACCGTCAAATGGGCGTCGACAGATATATGCACCCCATTTCTAGTCTCAAGAGACGATTAACTTGGGAACCTGGGTAACGGGTTAGAATTGGTCCCTAGCAATCAATCCTTGTCGAAGGTAACGACTTGATGGATAGGATGGTTAGGCTCAGTTGATTACGTGTCAATGTAGCTCGACAGCGTGGTTGTTGCTCACAATATCAATCACTAGATTGTCGGGTCTAGTCTCGCTTATTCATACACCTGGAATATCGCTGAGTGGGGAGTGAAACGAGAAACCTTACGTGACAAAAGATATCTGATCATGATGTATCTGTATATCTGTGTTTCGAAAGTGTGGTATTGATCAGACCTAGACTTGCTTAGTGTGTTTGACCATGACATCGCTGCTCTGTCTTCAAGTGATGGAGGACGTGTTCTGTTCTAGGAGCCGCCGTTTGTGATGGAGAAGACCACTCAGCCCCCCTCCGACACCAAGAAGTATGAGGGGATGTTGATCGACATCCTGGACGAACTCGCCCGTCGCCTCCACTTCACCTACAACATTCGCGTGGTCTACGACGGCAAGTTTGGCTACGAGGTGGAGCCAGGGAAATGGAATGGACTTGTTTCGGAGCTGATCAATAATGTAGGAAAGACGAGAGCTTAGTTATTTTTAAAAATAATGCCTCCACTACTAGCATCCCTCCCACACACACACCTCCCTCCCTTCCAAATACGTCTTGCTTGTCTACTAGATGGGTTGGGGCGAGACTAGGCGACAGGTTTGACTGCCTGTGATCGTGCGGCGATGGCGTGGCTCGCTGCTCATGATGCCACTCACTAATTTGGCTGGTTCCCCTCGATTATGTACAGGCCGCCATTATGTAGTTGGAATACAGCTGAGTGCGGCATGACACAACATTAACTCAGTAACTGCCTTGTAACGAAGTCTATCCTATAACCTCTAAACCGGCCTTATGTCTCGAATTTCTCAACACCTGTAGAAAGGTGAACAATTGTAAAATGCAGTTAGTTGAAGGTTGTCAGTCGAAAGAGGCGACTAAGGGGTTGGGGTGGTCAGACTCGCTGACTATCCCAGTTGCGTACATCGATGCTCACGATGTCAGGACTCGATTATTTACAGACCATTTTAACTCACTAACTGCTTTGTAACGATATATGTCCTGCATGTAGCTGGAATATTGCTGTGTGGCGTGAAACAACAAACAAAAAACACCATCGGTACATCTCCTTGTTTGAATACATATAAAAAATTACAGAACCTTAAAAAACAAAATGCGCATTTAATACAAAAGTCGTTTTCAAGTCATATTAGCACATCTACGTGTTTGACTTTAGACAATAATTTCAGTCAAATGAAAATCAACTGATACGTCTTCTGATCATGAATATGTTTGAAAACCTGAAAAAATATATATTGAGTTTATCTCTCTCAGAACTCTGACCTTGCGTTGTCGCATCTGACCATCAACTCGCAGAGGGCAAAGGTCGTCAAGTTCACGCAGCCATTCATGTTAGCCGGCCTTCGCATCCTGTACCGGCCACCCGACCCGTGGACGAATCAGCAGCCTTGGTACATCATGCTTACGCCATTCACTGCCGGACTCTGGGTAGTCATATTTGTCTTGTGGCTTGTGATTGGCTGCTTATCATACGCCATAGACAGATTCAGCCCATTTGAAGACAACTTAGGACAACGATCCAATGATGTCGAGTGTAGAGGACTGCCCTGTGGAAAGCTATACACCCTGTGCTGTATACTCGTCCAGCGAAGTGAGTACTTCTTGCCCCTCCCCCCCCCCCCCATTGTAAACCTTAGGCACAGAGTTACTGTTTTTAATATGATCGCATAACTTGTATCATACTTGTACTTGTACTCATATATCATGAATATTGCCGAGTGTGGCGTTAAACAACAACACACAAACAAACAAACAAACAAACAAACACCGGTTTGCTTGGCCAAGATTCAAATAATTACAGACTGGATTATTGCTGAGTGCGGCGTTAAACAACAACCACGCACTCACTCCCGAGTAAAGATATCTATCCTGTATTACATCCATTATTTGTCAGGTATCTCTAGGTATTGGGTCCCTGTGGAGATACGGGTTATAATTAGAATTGTTTTGCAGCAACCCATGCTTGCCGTTAAAAGGCGACTATGCTTGTCGCAAGAGGCAACTAACGGGATCGGGTGGTCAGGCTCGATAACATGGTTGATGCATGTCATCTTATCCTTATAGCGTAGATCGATGCTCATGAAAACCATTGGATTATCTGGCCCATTCTCTTGTTTTACGGACCACTTTCATATGGCTGGAATAGTACTGAGTCTGGCTTTAAACGACAAACAACAAGACCGGTTCAAGTCCCATATTGGCTGTCCTTATTCATACCCTTGCCTTGGCCTGTGGGTTTGAACGGTGTTTATAAACGTCTATGACATACGCCATTTTGGGGTTTTCTTTCACATCAAACAGACAATATATCGAGAACTGTGAAATGTTGATAATTCGGACCCCGTTAATCCGGAAACCCTTTCTACCGGACGATAACTACACACAATGCGCGGGATTGATTGCCTCTCACTTGACCTGTAATTAGCATCAAATTGATATTGACGCTGACCCATCCCTTTGCTCTCTGCAGATCACATCAATTCCCCGCGGTCTCCGTCTGGGCGCTTCCTGGCCTCCGTCTGGTGGCTGTTCTGTATCCTCATCCTCATCACCTTCACCGCCAGCCTCACCGCCATCTTCCTCTCCCGCGACACTGTCATCAACGGCATCCCCTTCCACAGCTTCGACGAGCTGTCCCGCCAGACGCAGGTCCAGTACGGCGTGTTCAAACCAAGCCTCACTCTCGATTACTTCAAGTAAGTCGACGCTCAACAAGAGCAGATGAGTGAGTGAGTGAGTGATTGAGTGAGTATGGTTTTACGCCGCTCTTAGCAATATTCCAGCAATATCACGGCGAGGGACACCAAAAATGGCTTCACACATGTACCCATGTCGGAAATCGAACCCGGGTCTTCGGCGTTACGACCGAACGCTTTTACCACTTGGCTACCCGGCCGCCCCCAATAGCAGATGACCGACCATTTGTTGTTCTGTGGCAAGGGGCGGGAAGAGCGCTGGGACTTTCGTTGGGGAGACACTGTTTCATTCCAAGTGGTAGCATATGTCCGCAGCACCCCATTGTTGGCCGTAGGAGGCAACTTAATTAAGACTCTTTGGGAATTCCGGGTAAGAATTCGTCCCCAGTAGCCTACGCTGGTCGTGAGAGATAACGGGATCGGGTGGTCATGATCAGGTTCGCTGACTTCGTTGATGCATGTCATCGTTTCCCAATTGTGTGGATCGATGCCACTGGAATGTCTGGTCCAGATTGGATTATTTACAGACCGCCGTCATATAGATGGACTTGCTGAGTCCGGCGTTAAACAACAAACAAACAGACAAACAAACAAACCATACGGGAAGGTGTCAAAGAAGCTGTCAATGGGACCTGACCACCACCCATCCCAACTGATGGTCCACCTGTAGTGAAATGGGGTTTCACGTCGCGTTCAAGTGAGTGAGTGAGTGTGTGAGTGAGTTTATTTCCGCTTTTAGCAATATTCCAGCAATATCACGGCGGGGGACGGCAGAAATGAGCTTCACACATTGTACCCATGTCGGGAATCGAACCCGGGTCTTCATCGTGACTAGCGAACGCTTTAACCACTAGGCCGACCTCGCGCTTCCTGTCCCGCCTCTGGTGTTTTGAGCGTTAACGTTTAAATAATTGGGTCGTTCCTCACACGTCAAACTGCTATGTAGATACACAGCTGTTGAAAGCGTCATTAATCCAAACCGACTCACTCACACACACATATTTGGGCCGTGGGGTAGCCTTGTGGTTAAACCATTAGCTCGTCACATCGAAGACCCGAGTTTTATTCCCTACATGGATACAATGTGTGAAGGCCATTTCTGGTGTTCACCGCCGTGATATTGCTGGGATATTGGTAAATGCGTCCTAAAACCATACTCACTCACTCACTTACTCACTCCATCCCTTACTCCTCATCCATAATTTCCGTAAAAGGCGACTATGCTTGTCGTAAGAGGGTGGTTAGGCTCGCTGACTTTGTTAATGGTCCATGCCATCGTATCCCAATTGCGTGGATGATGTCAATCACTAGATTGTCTGGTCCAGACTCGAATATTTAGAGACCGCCGTCATATAGTTGGAACATTGCTAAATGCGGCGTTGAAAACAAACAAACCAAACAAACTCGCTCGTCACACCGCAGACCCGGGTTCTATTCCCTAGATGGGTACAATGTATGAAGCCCATTTCCGGTTCCTCCGCCGTGATATTGCTAAAAGCGGCGCCAAACCTCACTCACTCACTCACTCACTCACTCACTCACTCACTCCAGTCACTCACTCCTGTCACTCACTCCTCCACTCACTCATTCCTCCAGTCACTCACACACTCACTCACTCCCCCTGTCACTCACACCTCCAGTCACTCATTCACCCAACACCCATGAATGAATGAATGAATGAATGAATGAATGAATGAATGAATGAATGAATGAATGAATGAATGAATGAATGAATGAATGAATGAATGAATGAATGAATGAATGAATGAATGAATGAATGAATGAATGAATGAATGAATGAATGAATGAATGAATGAATGAATGAATGAATGATAACGTTTCTGTCAACAGGAACTCCGAGAAGCCGATGGTGCAGAGAATGTGGCAGGCCATGAATTCCTTCCATCCTAGTGTCTTCATCACAAGTACCAAGCAGGGACTGGACAGGCTGAGACAGGGGAATGGCAACTTTGCGTTCATCATGGAGGGACCCCTGGCGGAGTTCGAGGCCGAGAAAGAACCCTGTGACCTGGTTGTCCTTGGAACCCATATGGACGAACAAGCATATGGGTTTGCGTGCAGGTAGACGGTGTTCCACCCATTAATTCAACATTTGAATCTTGTTCTTGATCTAACACAGCTGGTGATTTGTGGAATAGGTTCAAGCCGAGGTGTTTCGCAGACACTCGTTGGTAGAATTCCCTGCCCATGTTCCCCATGCGTGTTGAGAGCAGGATGATATCGTCTGGTCGGTGTTGAATTTTTAAATCCAGACACACCAACAGTTGATAACTTAGTTAGGTCAATTGTTGCCGGTATGATGCCACACATTTCGTCTGTGACAGAGCCTGACCACATGGTTCCTGGTGGCGGTCGGGTAGCCTATAGGCATAGTGGTTAAAGCGTTCGTTCGTCACGCCGACGACCCGGGTTCGATTCCCGGCATGGGTACAATGTGTGAAGCCCATTTCTGGTGTCCCCCGCCGTGATATTGCTGGAATATTGCTAAAAGCGGCGTAAAACCATACTCACTCACTCACATGGTTCATGTGTTCGTCGCTTCGTTCGAATACCGGGTCGCCCCGATTGTGTTTCTAGGTTACAGCACCGTGCCTGTGCACGTTAGTTTCAGCAAAGTGGTAAACGTCTGAGACATGCATCACTTCGGGTTTTCCTCCCACATAAAGCTTACACGCCGTGTTATGAAAATAGAACTTAAAAAGCGGCTTTAAACACAACTCATTCACTTACCCTTTCGAGAAGCATCAGACACTTGTAACCTGTAAAAGAAAACCTGGAGGATTGATAGTCTAAAAGTCAGCGTCCATGTCCATATAGGGAAGAGTGTGAGTCATTGAGTTTAACACCGCTTTGAAGATTATTCCAGTTATATTACGTGTCAGGGTGCGTTGAATTGACCCGTGAAGATCCGGGGTAGAATAGGTCTTCAGCAACCCATGCTTGCCGTGAAAGGTGACAATGCTTGTCGTAAGAGGCGACTAACGGGATCGGGTGGTCAGGCTCGCTGACTTGGTTGATGCATGTCATCGGTCTCAATTGCGTGGATCGATGCTCATGATATTAATCACTGGATTGTCTGGTCAGACAATTCTATGATTAACATCATGAGCATCGATCAACGCAATTGGGATACGATGACATGCGTCAACCAAGTCAGCGAGCCTGACCACCCGATCCTGTTAGTCGCATGTTACACCAAACATGGGTTGCAGCTGACAAATTATAACACGGTTCTCCACGGAGACCCAATACCTAAAGATGCCTGACAGCAAATGAATGTAATACAGGACAGACATATTTACTCGGGAATGTCAGCGCAATTGAAATACGATGACATGCATCAACCAAGTCAGCGAGTCTGACCACCCGTTCCCGTTAGTCGCCTCATACGACAAGATGAGTCGCCTTTTACAGCAAGCATTGGTTGCTGAAGACCTAGTCTTCCACGGATCTTCACGGGTCAGGTCTCAGACATTTACCACTTTGGTGAAACCCACGAGCACGTGTATGGTGCTGACAAACCTTGAAAACATGATCAACGCGAATCGGGATTCGAACCCACGATCATAGATATACTGGCGTGCCCAAGGGACACAACTCTGCACAACGCCTTAGACGACTATGCAACACCCACTTTTCCCAAATAACAATAACCCAACAAGACTGAAAGTATTGTATTTTCCTGAACGCAGATGGGAAGGAAATCTCTGTGATCGGATCGACCACAAACTCCTCGAGATGAGGGAGGACGAGTTTCTCTACAAGGTCAAGGTCAAATGGATGTACAGTGGGTGCAAGGAAAGACGGCAGCAGGAAGTCTTCTCAGGCGGTCTCTCCTACCTTGACACGTTTGGTCTCCGGCTAGGTGGCACTGCAGCGAAGAGCGTCACTCTCAGAACCTTTGGTGCGGGGTTCCTGGTCTTGTTTGTAGGACTTGCCGTCACGATTCTCATCCTAGGGGCGGAAGTGACCTATGCAAGGTCACGGAAAGTAACGGTAAGATGTCATGAATAGCCGTTCTTATATCAGTTGTATTACGACCTGTTAGCATAATGTGGGTGAGTGAGTGAGTATGGTTTTACGCCGCTTTTAGCAATATTCCAGCAATATCACGGCGGGGGACACCTGAAATGGGCTTCACACAATGTACCTATGTCGGGAATCGAACCCGGGTCTTCGGCGTGACGAGCGAACGCTTTAACCGCTAGGCTACCCGACCGACCCGCGTAATGTGGGAGGTCGTCATGGCCAAACCCACGAGAAAAGAGATTGGTGCTGACAAAGGTTCGTACACGGAATCAATTTAGGATTCGAAAATATGAACATCGTAAACCACTTAGCACAACCCTCCTCCATCCCGTCTTCATCGCAAAAATTCTTCTGCATTTTGTTTCCCGATGCCTGATGTACCTTGTAGAGAGTGTTTGTGATTGATATGTTTGTTTGTTTGTTGTATAACGCCGCCCGTAGCAATATTCCAGCTTTATGACGGCGGTCTTTAAGGAATCGAGTCTGGACCAGACAATCCAGTGATTGACATCATGAACATCAATCCACGCACTTGGGTCGATGACATGCATCAATCTGGTCAGGTCACCCGATCCCGTTAGTCGCATAGTCGCCTTATGATTGAAATGAAAACCAATGCGACGATGAAGCCAAATTGACTCACTATACTTTATTCAGAAGGACTATCGTTTACGAATGTCAGAGATGACCGCCTCCGTGGTCTAGTGGTAGATCGTACGCCTGGAGAGCGGAAGGTCCAAGGTTCGATTCCCGGCCGCGTCATACCAAAAGATGTTAAAATAGGGTAGAATAGGTCTTCAGAAACCCATGATTGTCGTAAAAGGCGACAATGCTTGTCGTAAAAGGCGACTAACGGGGTCGGGTGGTCAGGCTCGCTGACTTGGTTGATGCATGTCATCCTATCCCTATTGCGTGGATCGATGCTCATGATGTCAATCACTGGTCCAGACTGGATTATTTACAGACCGCCGTCATATAGCTGGAATATTGGTGAGTGCGGCGAAAAACAACAAACCAAACCATGGTATCTCAGTTGGCTAGCACTATAAATCGGCATGAGTCCGGACCAGTACAAGCAGCCACACGCACGCACGCACGCGTGCATGCACGTCCCTTTATAAGTGCAATAATCTTGAACGTAACGTTAAACCCCCTCTAACTTCACCTTTTCCGAAATATCCGTTGTCACGTACTAACTCGTAGGTAAAGTTAAGTGACTAATATTCATCTGTTTCAGACCAAGTTCCCCGTGCATCAACCCATGAGAGACGAAGGAAGGGACCCTATCTGTGGAATCTCAACGAACAAACTCATGAATGATGATTCACTTTCATAACACACTTATTACAGATACATACTCGTCTCCTTACCTTTGTTATCTACATTGTTGTGTATGCATTCATAATCAGATTCCCGTTATCGTTACATCACATGGGCACAATGTTTGATTTACCGTTTTTCTATTTTTGTTATGCGATTAAACTGGACGTTATGCATTCATTGATACCCTGAGTGTTGTTACGATATGTTTGATATGTAGAGGTATGCATAGAATTGAATTGTGAAATAGTGAAATGACCACACAAGATTTATGTTGCTCTGTTTCTTTATGGGCAAAATCAAAACAAGGTAGTTTGGCAAAGAAGTTTAACTTAAGCTTCAGGTACATTTTATATCGATGATCTGTTATGGCTCAATATCCATCAAAAGCACATTCCCTTCCACTGATTTACCCACCTGAAGTAGAAATAAAGGAGACCAGTGAGACCGCTTCATCTCGTATTAAGATGTATGCATAAAGATTCAGATTTGCAAAACTCTGCACAAGCCTTTATGACAGCAGATTTGGCTTCAACTTTACAATATTCAACTTTCCATTTACGTGGAGCAATATTTCTGCAGCTCCAACCTGTGGTGTCTACATGTCACCACATTTGAGTACAATCGAGCATGCTTTTTCTGTGAAGATTTGAAAGAGCGTCATACGACTCTTGCTCAAATGTTTTCTGATCAAGGCCTCAGTAAAGGTTTACAAAAATGTCCAAATTTGACGCATCAGAGCCAAAATGATGCCCGATGCAATTCCCTATTTCGACTTTTATCATTTGTTTCCGTGTTTTTCAGTGACCAATTGACTTACCTTTGCATGTGTTTGTGATGGGTGCCACCGGGGTGGCAGGATACGTTTACCTTTCGGCATGGTATCGACACCCTTTGATGGTGAATCATACACACATGCTTATGAATTGTACAATCGAATGAGCTTTTAGAAGAGATTTCTTATAACTTTGGAAAGCGTTTGGTGCTCTTTTTAATGATAGTCATCTAATTCTTAGTTGACTCAGCATAACAGACATATGCGATGAAGGCTATGATAAAACTCGGGGACTTCAGAAAAATCGATCCCGGTAATTCTTTATTCAGACAGAGGCATCGTGGTTGTGGAAACAATCTGATATGAATGCGATTGAACAGAACAATAGCGCCTGGAGAGTTTGTGCAGGCATATACCCTTTGCGTACCGGGTAAAAGTCTGGTTATTGATTACCAACGACGTATTGTCGGGGATTATTGAGTATATTGACTTCTACATTCTTCAGAGAATGTCCCTTTTCCAGACCATCCAACCGTGTCCATACACTAGCTTGGAACGGAATCAGGAATGTGTTTCCTTCGTAATGCATTGGTTATTACGTGAAGAACGCTTTGCCAATCATCGTTTGATCTGAGGAAAAATGACAAGTTACAGTTGATCGAAAAACGTGTTATACAACCAATCAATGAAACTAAGGTCTGGCACGGGCTGAACTCTCAGACCCGCTCTCTTGATTAAACCTGTTTCCGGTGCCGTTGGGTGAACGTCAACCATTAATCAATTCCACCGGCACACCCTTGTAGATTTGTCCAAGTCAAGCCCAACTTTACTGCCTGTTACATTATTTACACTTTAGGCCTCGTCATCTAAAGCGCATCAATTCGCTGTGCAGAGCTGCATTCCTGAAGCGTGCGAGAAACCCATGATTGTGGTTTTGAATCCAAGATTCGTCCTTGACTTGTTTCTTGGATTGTCAGCATCAAATCTCATTAAAAACAGATCTTTTACCCTGACTAAACTTTTACTGCCGGGTCTAAAAGAAGGATCTTTGAAATTACCAACCCAAGTCGGAAGTTTTTATTTATGACCTCGAAGGTACATCTGTTTGGGTGTAGATGCCATGCCCTCAGAAACTAAAGGATGTATAAGATATCCACAACATGTAAAGTGCGACTTTTATTATTGTTCATTCGGAACTGTCCCGGATGTGGAACATCTGTACAATTCCAGGTTAGAGTTGTTCCCAATCATCTGGTGGTTGTGATAGCTGACATGATGGATCAGGTGGGCAGGTCGGTGACACGGTACTGCGCGCCATCGTACCCGGACAATGTGGATCATTGCTCTTAATATCAACCACTGGATTGTGTAGTCCACATTCGAAAAATTACCGAGAAACATCATCTATTGGCGAGTGGGACATTAAACAACCAAAAAATCCAAGTGATTAGTGATATGTTTTATGCGAGGCCCTTAATTCTATGATTGTATTGTATGTGTGTTGGGAGTGTCAGCACCAAAGCCCTCCTGTTTCATCAGCTACAGTGTCTGAGATGCAGTCCACCTTACTGTACTTGTATTGCCTGCACCGACAAGTCGATCGCCGGTCCCGCTTGAGTTGGTCAAAGCGTCACAGGGTACAGAAGGCATCAGATCAGCACAAGTGGGTAGCCGAAACTTATAGGGTCACTAACATTTTCATATGAAATAACTGTTATTGACATACATACACACACGCACGCACGCACGCACGCACGCACGCACGCACGCACATGCAACCCATGTTTGCCGTAAAAGGTGACTATGCTTGACGTAAAAGGCGACTAACGGGATCGGGTGGTCAGGCTCGCTGACTTGGTTGATGCATGTCATCGATCCCAATTGCGTGGATCGATGCTCATGATATTAATCACTGGATTGTCTGGTTCAGACTCGATTATTTACAGACCGCCGTCATATAGCTGGAATATTGCTGAGTGCGGCGTTAAACAACAAACCAACCAACCAACATACATACACACATACACACATACACACATGCACACACATGCACACATACACACACACACACACACACACACACACACACACACACACATTAAAAGGTGTTACTTATTACTCTGATTCTCGACTTTAAGGGGCGGTGGGGTAGCCTAGTGGTTAAAGCGTTCGCTCGTCACGCCGAAGACCCGGGTTCGATTCCCGACATGGGTACAATGTGTGAAGCCCATTTCTGGTGTCCCCCGCCGCGATATTGCTTGAATATTGCTAAAAGCGGCGTAAAACCATACTCACTCACTCACTCACTCGACTTTAAACCCCAATTCACTCACGCAAACCTAAAGCACCGTCATTGTTTCATTTTAAAATGCAACGGTTATCTATAATTGTAGGTTATTTTGCATCGAATGTCTCGGTATATTTTCACAGCTGGTGTATCGTTCACGTTATTACTTCAATGAATAGTCTCAAAGACCACCTCATCGGCCTAGGGGTAGAGCGGCCGATCCCCGGCCGCGTCATACCAAAAGACGTTAAAAGATGGTACTTGTTGTTACCCTGTCTGGCGCTCGGTATTAGGGGCTAAAACAAGGACTGGTCGGTTCGGAGTCAGTATACTGTGTCTGAGTGGGGTATTCATGTTAAACTGCGGCTTGGTATCTCAGTTGGCTAGCACTATAAATCGGCATCAGTCCGGACTAGTACAATCAACCACACACACACGTGCATGCACGTCGCTATATAAGTGCAATAATCTTGGACGCGACGTTAAACCCAATTTCACCTCACCGCATAGTCTCAAAAAATATTCACATTATATGAAGAGTCCGTCTGTATTTATATATGAATTTTTATTTATTAAACAGTTATATAGAATCTATATTATGTTACATCTCTTATATGTTTTTTTCCTTAGTGGGGGCGGTCGGGTAGCCTAGTGGTTAAAGCGTTTGCTCGTCACGCCGAAGACCAGGGTTCGATTCCCGACATGGGTACAATGTGTGAAGCACATTTCTGGTGTCCCCCGCCGTGATATTGCTGGAATATTGCTAAAAACGGCGTAAAACCATACTCACTCACACTCACTCACTTTCGTTAGTGCCATAAATGTTGTCTCCTGCTCAACGTTTTCGGGTCAGGGATTTAGTGTGAACAAGTAAAACAGTTGATATACTTTTCAGATTGTTGGGATGGAGAGTAAGTGAGATAAGTTTTACGCTGAGTGTAACAGCATTTCTGGGATACCAGGCAGGGTAATAATAACTACCACCTTTAGCATTTGTGGTTATGTAGCGGCCGGAACCACCAAACTTCTGCTGTCCTTGGAAGGGGCTCTATCAACTAGACCATTGCGCTAGTCTGAGAGGACAGGAAAACGGATTTGTAAGTAAACGGATAACGGCGTATTTGTTTCATCGACCTTTTCTTCTTTAATAAAACTAGGGGCGGTCGGGGAGCCTAGTGGTTTAAGCGTTGGCTCGTCACGCCAAAGTTCGATTCCCGACATGGGTACAATGTGTGAAGCCCATTTCTGGTGTCCCCTGCTGTGATATTGCTTGAATATTGCTAAAAGCGGCGTAAAACCATACTCACTCACTCACATTAATAATACTATGTTTGTTTCGTCAACGTTGATATGCTGAGAAGTTGAGAAGTTGATAGTTAGGCACACTGAGACGACGAAACAGAAACCGCAGACCGAATTTGTTCCCGTATCAAATAACACGTTGATAACTAGACAATAGATATATAACAAAAGCATAAACGACACATTTCCTCTGTTATCGCGTTGTCCAACTCAAGACACATGCTGGAATGAAACGTAGGCCAATCTCACTGCAGGGATATCACTACGCTATCATGTTTCGACATATTCCAAATTGGTCTGGGTTTGACATCGGTAACGAGATCACGCGAGACTTGTCTCGAGGTGAAACTGAGACATGGGGTCACAAGGCGAGATTCATACCATCTCAATGCCTTGTTCAGCTGCACGACTAACAGTCTACCGCTTGAATAATGACGCCACAAGCTCTCCTGTCTATCGTGATCGCGATATGCATTTCTCAGGTAAGTCAATTATATCCTGAAATATGGGTAGCCTAGTGCTTAAAGCGGTTGTTCATCTCCCCGGGTTCGATTCCCCACATTGGTACAATGTTAAGCTAACTTTGGTGACGCCCGTCGTGAAACGGGTTGTATAATGTTAATTTTGGCGTCTCGCTCACTCACTCAGTCACACTCAGTCACACTCACTCACTCACTCACTCACTCACTCACTGGGAATGTGTCTGAGGCAGGACCCAGATTAACCTCATCTTTATGTCAGTCCATATAAATATATAACGATAGGAGAACTATAGTTCGTTTGCTGTAAAATCTTTCCGATAAGGGGGCACGGGTGGCCCAGTCGTCTAAGGCGCCGCGATTCGCTGTGCAGAGTTGCGTCCCTTTTAGCACGTCAGAAACCTATGATTGTGGGTTCGAATCCCGGTTCGCCCCGATTATATGTTTCTAGGTTTGTCAGCACCGTACCCGTGCTCGTGGGTTTCACCGAGGTGGTAAACGTCTGAGACCTGACCCGTCATGATCCGTGGATGACTAGGTCTTCAGCAACCCATGCTTGCTGTAAAAGGTGACTTCGGGCTTTCCTCCCACATTAAGCTGACACGCCGTGATATAACTGGAATAATGTTAAAAGCGGCGTTAAACCCAACTCACTCACTCACTCACTTTCCGATAAAATGCGAAATAGATATAAATCCGAAAGCTACAATTCGTCTTAAATGTCCTGAAAGTTGTTTATTTGTCCATACCAACGCGTCACCATAATTTCAGACACTGTCATAAAGTGTAGAAAAAATAGCTTAACAAACTTATCAATGGTGATTTAATGCCTGTTTTTACAAGGGATCCGCGCAATAAATATAACAGCGGAAGGGCATCGCGGAACACAGGGATAGTCTCAAAACTTCTATTCTGAAATATTTTCATTGTCACTGTTACTGCCAACTGAAATAATAATTTGACTGACATGGTCTAAACCGTCTCTATTACAATATGAAGCTTTAATTCCGGTTTCAACTTTGACAACGCAACCTGCCCAATTTGCAATAATCATAAACGTGAAATACCAAGGTTTTCAAATCATCTGTGAATTTCATCACGTGCCGTATTGTTATGACTTATTGAGCTCGTTCTGTTTATTTGCATTTGAAATTAGCTGAATAACAATACCAAGAACATCACTAACATTGCTTTGAGAATATGTTTCAGATTCTCATTGTATATTTCGTTTAATAACTACTACAGAAAGATATACGCATTTATAGATTTATAGATTATAGACTTTTCAGTTGACAGGATTTTATTTCATAAAAACATAGTAGTTTAGCCTAACACGCGCGAATTTCACGTAATAAAGGAGGGCTGTTCTGTTTTGCAGTGCAGACACCCTTATAACAATAGGCATTAAATCACCAAAATTACATGAAAGTTTGGTAAACAACTTTTTCTATCCCTCATGACAATGTCTGAAATTATGGTGTCGAGGTGGTATGGACCAACAAAAAACTGTCACGCCATTTAAGACGAATTGTTGCGTTCGGACTAATATTTATTTTGCATTTCATCGGTACGAATTTGCAGCATACGGACTATAGTGTCCCCGTGCTTAAAGGCACTGAGAGTATAGTTCTGTGGCATGTCATTGGGCATGTCAAAGGATCAGGTAATTCCAAACCAATCCAATATTTTGCCGGACCACAGCTTTTTCGGCACCCGTTCCTTTACCACTGTGGTAAATGCCTTTGGAATTCCTTCCGTACAACGAAAGGGAGCACGGGTGGCCGAGTCGTCTAAGGCGGCGCGATTCGTTGTGCAGAGTTGCGTCCCTTGGGCACGCCAGAAACCTATGATTGTGGGTTCGAATCCCGGTTCGCCCCGATTATGTTTCTAGGTTTGTCAGCACCATACCCGTGCTCGTGGGTTTCACCGAACTGGTAAACGTCTGAGACCTGCATCACTTCGGGCTTTCCTCCCATATTAAGCTGACACTCCGTGATATAACTGGAATACTGTTAAAAGCGGCGTTACACCCTACTCACTCACCGTACAACGTAAATATAAAGCGTTAACGCCCGAAGGTAGCCACACTCGATTATCCGCCGAAAGAGAATCTATTGGATGATAAGGGAAAAAAGGCGGTGAAAATTATATGAATGAATTACTGAAAATCGCGAAATCCAACGTGCCAGGAGTCGATGAGGTGAATTATTAGTAAGTACACACTGTCGTTTATAACCTATCTAAATGTAGGGACAATTAAAACAGGTAGGGTGTTTTGTTTTATGCGGGATCGTTAAGCACGTCCATATTAATTGCAGTGTGTCCAAAAAGTGTCTACTTACTGGTTTAGTCTTAATGATGGCCCGAATTGATAATGTCAACTTCAAGTCGAGGAATATTCTAACTAAGTCTGTTAATATCTATTTATTAGTAATCTTCTGTGTGTAAGTAATGAGATTTATTTATGTAGTTGCTCTTAGTCTATAGTTCATATTTCAGAGTTCAAGCCAGTCTCTAAGTGGCCGAAATCTTAGAATCACCACCATACACGTGAGTACAATATACGGACTTGTTTGTTTGTTTGTTTGTTGTTTAACGCCGCACTATTCCAGCTATATGACGGCGAGTTGTTCATACTGCCATAACGTGCGCTCGGTACTACGTGATAAACTCGACTTAATGACCGTATCTCCTAAAATTCTTTAATTCAGATACGAGACCTCCCCGTGCGAAGATTTTAGGACACCCCATAGGATTTTTCGTACGGTAGACTTTCTAATCTTTATGTCAAAGTCGAGGCTCCGTACGAGTGAGCGAACCCTTCAGACAAGCATATCTGATTTCTTGTATCTCGAAAACGAAAATAACCGAGGAATTCCGAATGCAAAATCAGTTTGTTGTGTATATTTTAATCACGATGTCGTTTTTAAGCGCTTTGATGGTAACTTTATCCAAAAGTGTAAACTATGGAGGTTATATCGGTGCTCTATGGCTGTTTTATTTGATGACCTCGAACTTTCCGAAATGAGGTGGTACAAAAATAAAGATGAATCGTAGTAGAATGCTGACATCTGATTGGCTCGGAACCCACTCATTCTTCATTTAGATTGACTGGTCAAATTTCGACCGGGGTTCAATCCCCATTATGTTATTAATCCACACAAGTTAAATGAGCCACTATATATTTAAGTCAACGGAAACTCTTTGCGTAACTGTAAAAAAAATGAACAATGTACAGTAATCTGTGTTTTCGTACGGACGTGCAGGGGGTACCGCTGCGTATGTCTGAGCTTGATCTCCGCATACTTCTTGTATGTCTGAGCGTGATTTCCACTCACCTAATGTATGTGTGAGCTTGATCTCCGCTCAACTCATGTATGTCTCAGCTGGATCTCCTCTCACCTCATGTATGTGTGAGCGTGATTTCCACTCACCTCATGTATGTGTGAGCTTGATCTCCGCTCAACTCATGTATGTCTGAGCTGGATCTCCTCTCACCTCATGTATGTCTGAGCTGGATCTCCGCTCACCTCATGTATGTCTGACTTTGATCTCCGCTCACCTCATGTATGTCTGACTTTGATCTCCGCTCACCTCATGTATGTGTGAGCTGGATCTCCTCTCACCTCATGTATGTCTGAGCTGGATCTCCACTCACCTCATGTATGTCTGAGCTGGATCTCCTCTCACCTCATGTATGTCTGACTTTGATCTCCGCTCACCTCATGTATGCGTGAGCTTGATCTCCACTCACCTCATGTATGTCTGAGCTGGATCTCCTCTCACCTCATGTATGTCTGAGCTGGATCTCCTCTCACCTCATGTATGTCTTACTTTGATCTCCGCTCACCTCATGTATGTCTGACTTTGATCTCCGCTCACCTCATGTATGTCTGACTTTGATCTCCGCTCACCTCATGTATGCGTGAGCTTGATCTCCACTCACCTCATGTATGTCTGAGCTGGATCTCCTCTCACCTCATGTATGTGTGAGCTGGATCTCCGCTCACCTCATGTATGCGTGAGCTTGATCTCCACTCACCTCATGTATGTCTGAGCTGGATCTCCTCTCACCTCATGTATGTGTGAGCTTGATCTCCGCTCACCTCATGTATGTCTGACTTTGATCTCCGCTCACCTCATGTATGTCTGACTTTGATCTCCGCTCACCTCATGTATGTGTGACTTTGATCTCCTCTCACCTCTTGTATGTCTGACTTTGATCTCCGCTCACCTCATGTATGTCTGACTTTGATCTCCGCTCACCTCATGTATGCGTGAGCTTGATCTCCGCTCACCTCATGTATGTCTGACTTTGATCTCCGCTCACCTCATGTATGTGTGAGCTGGATCTCCGCTCACCTCATGTATGCGTGAGCTTGATCATGATCTCCTCTCACCTCATGTATGTCTGACTTTGATCTCCGCTCACCTCATGTATGTCTGAGCTGGATCTCCGCTCACCTCATGTATGCGTGAGCTTGATCTCCGCTCACCTCATGTATGTCTGACTTTGATCTCCGCTCACCTCATGTATGTGTGAGCTGGATCTCCGCTCACCTCATGTATGTCTGACTTTGATCTCCACTCACCTCATGTATGTCTGAGCTGGATCTCCGCTCACCTCATGTATGTCTGACTTTGATCTCCACTCACCTCATGTATGTCTGACTTTGATCTCCACTCACCTCATGTATGTCTGACTTTGATCTCCACTCACCTCATGTATGTCTGACTTTGATCTCCACTCACCTCATGTATGTCTGACTTTGATCTCCACTCACCTCATGTATGTCTGACTTTGATCTCCGCTCACCTCATGTATGTCTGACTTTGATCTCCGCTCACCTCATGTATGTCTGACTTTGATCTCCGCTCACCTCATGTATGTGTGAGCTGGATCTCCGCTCACCTCATGTATGTGTGACTTTGATCTCCACTCACCTCATGTATGTGTGATTTTGATCTCCACTCACCTCATGTATGTCTGACTTTGATCTCCGCTCACCTCATGTATGTGTGAGCTGGATCTACGCTCACCTCATGTATGTCTGACTTTGATCTCCTCTCACCTCATGTATGCGTGAGCTTGATCTCCGCTCACCTCATGTATGTCTGACTTTGATCTCCGCTCACCTCATGTATGTCTGACTTTGATCTCCGCTCACCTCATGTATTGTCTGAGCTGGATCTCCTCTCACCTCATGTATGCGTGAGCTTGATCTCCTCTCACCTCATGTATGTCTGACTTTGATCTCCACTCACCTCATGTATGTCTGACTTTGATCTCCGCTCACCTCATGTATGTGTGAGCTGGATCTCCGCTCACCTCATGTATGTCTGACTTTGATCTCCGCTCACCTCATGTATGTGTGAGCTGGATCTCCGCTCACCTCATGTATGTCTGACTTTGATCTCCGCTCACCTCATGTATGTCTGACTTTGATCTCCGCTCACCTCATGTATGTGTGACTTTGATCTCCACTCACCTCATGTATGTCTGACTTTGATCTCCGCTCACCTCATGTATGTCTGAGCTGGATCTCCTCTCACCTCATGTATGTCTGACTTTGATCTCCGCTCACCTCATGTATGTCTGACTTTGATCTCCGCTCACCTCATGTATGTCTGACTTTGATCTCCGCTCACCTCATGTATGTCTGACTTTGATCTCGGCTCACCTCATGTATGTCTGACTTTGATCTCCGCTCACCTCATGTATGTCTGACTTTGATCTCCGCTCACCTCATGTATGTCTGTCTTTGATCTCCTCTCACCTCATGTATGCGTCAGCTTGATCTCCTCTCACCTCATGTATGTCTGACTTTGATCTCCGCTCACCTCATGTATGTCTGACTTTGATCTCCGCTCACCTCATGTATGTCTGACTTTGATCTCCGCTCACCTCATGTATGTCTGACTTTGATCTCCGCTCACCTCATGTATGTGTGAGCTGGATCTCCGCTCACCTCATGTATGTCTGACTTTGATCTCCGCTCACCTCATGTATGTCTGACTTTGATCTCCACTCACCTCATGTATGTGTGACTTTGATCTCCACTCACCTCATGTATGTCTGAATTTGATCTCCGCTCACCTCATGTATGTGTGACTTTGATCTCCTCTCACCTCATGTATGTCTGACTTTGATCTCCTCTCACCTCATGTATGTCTGACTTTGATCTCCGCTCACCTCATGTATGTCTGAGCTGGATCTCCGCTCACCTCATGTATGTCTGAGCTTGATCTCCTCTCACCTCATGTATGTCTGACTTTGATCTCCGCTCACCTCATGTATGTGTGAGTTGGATCTCCGCTCACCTCATGTATGTCTGACTTTGATCTCCGCTCACCTCATGTATGTGTGAGCTTGATCTCCGCTCACCTCATGTATGTCTGACTTTGATCTCCTCTCACCTCATGTATGTCTGACTTTGATCTCCGCTCACCTCATGTATGTCTGAGCTTGATCTCCGCTCACCTCATGTATGTCTGACTTTGATCTCCGCTCACCTCATGTATGTCTGACTTTGATCTCCGCTCACCTCATGTATGTGTGAGCTGGATCTCCGCTCACCTCATGTATGTGTGAGCTGGATCTCCGCTCACCTCATGTATGCGTGAGCTTGATCTCCTCTCACCTCATGTATGTCTGACTTTGATCTCCACTCACCTCATGTATGTCTTACTTTGATCTCCTCTCACCTCATGTATGTGTGACTTTGATCTCCTCTCACCTCATGTATGTCTTACTTTGATCTCCTCTCACCTCATGTATGTCTGACTTTGATCTCCGCTCACCTCATGTATGTCTGAGCTGGATCTCCGCTCACCTCATGTATGTCTGAGCTTGATCTCCTCTCACCTCATGTATGTCTGACTTTGATCTCCGCTCACCTCATGTATGTGTGAGCTGGATCTCCGCTCACCTCATGTATGTCTGACTTTGATCTCCGCTCACCTCATGTATGTGTGAGCTTGATCTCCGCTCACCTCATGTATGTCTGACTTTGATCTCCTCTCACCTCATGTATGCGTGAGCTTGATCTCCTCTCACCTCATGTATGTGTGACTTTGATCTCCGCTCACCTCATGTATGTCTGACTTTGATCTCCGCTCACCTCATGTATGTGTGAGCTGGATCTCCTCTCACCTCATGTATGTCTGACTTTGATCTCCACTCACCTCATGTATGTCTGACTTTGATCTCCGCTCACCTCATGTATGTGTGAGCTTGATCTCCGCTCACCTCATGTATGTCTGACTTTGATCTCCGCTCACCTCATGTATGTGTGAGCTGGATCTCCGCTCACCTCATGTATGTCTGACTTTGATCTCCGCTCACCTCATGTATGTCTGACTTTGATCTCCACTCACCTCATGTATGTGTGACTTTGATCTCCACTCACCTCATGTATGTCTGACTTTGATCTCCGCTCACCTCATGTATGTCTGAGCTGGATCTCCTCTCACCTCATGTATGTCTGACTTTGATCTCCGCTCACCTCATGTATGTCTGACTTTGATCTCCGCTCACCTCATGTATGTCT